TAGCGTTTCCTAAATAATAAACGCTATAAAAAAGTCGTGTATCAGTCAACCATAGCAGAAACCCCTAATCCGCTATTGTCTAGTGCTATTAAAACCTGTTTTTCCTGTAGTGAGTATAAAGAACTTTTGATAAAACATTAGTTTGCTCCCAAGTCAAGTCTAAGACAAATAGGACATGAACATGAAAACCTAAAAGAACAAAAATAGCTAAGCCAAAAGAGTGAGAATGCTGACACGAAACCTGTAAATGAGAAGTCACACTCTTGTACATGAACTTGGCTTGGCCTCCAACAAGAAATCAACACCTGTCCTCACTCTAACTCTTCTAATAACTCGTACTTGTACAGAGCTGTCCTCACTCTAAGAACATGTTCTTCAAATATGGAGCAAGGCTGCAGATTTTTTGTGGTTTTGGTTTTGGTAGTGTTAGTCTTTTCCTAATGATACTTAGACCTTGGCTTGACTTGAGGTACTTTGCATCGTTAATATGAAGATCTTCTACCTGGTCTACAAAGACAGAAACACTATGAGCAGGACCCTGATGATAGTAACGTCCAAAACCTTGGATTTCAACACGTTGGAAAGTGTTCCTTTCGGGATTGAAGTAGAAAACGTAAAACCGCTCAGATGATGTATATTTCTCCGACAAAACAATTTCACCTGTAGCAGTCACTCCAGCGATGTTAACATTGCGGCGTTCAACAGGTGCATTCTCCGGCAAAGTGTAGACATTTTTCGACCATATCTCTTTCTGGACATCCTCTAGAACCTTCACATGCAACGCAAGGGTATTGCCACCTTTCACATCCTTCAATTTAATCCTACCTAATTTACCCTTATAGTTGAACAAGCCTTGAAGATACAATTTTGCCTCAATGATTTTGTATTTCTCAGATCTAAGATCAAAGCAAACTATCGCAAAAGAGCGTTCGGAAACTTCAGCTGAGTAATACATAACCCCATTGATGCATACAACTTCACTCAAAGGACACGGACACTGGATCTTCCTCCACCTTGAAAGAGTTCCCAATGTCAGAATTCTCTGATCCATCTTATCATTACAATATAGACGAGACATGGACAAGAACTTGAATTGCTTGTCAATGGGGTCAAACCCTAAAAAGCTTTCCGAGAAGTCCGTTTTCAATTCATAAAATTGGGCATACTGTCTGGTTCGAGGGTTATAAAACACATGCACTGCATCCTTATCCCTCTTTTGTGAGACCTCCCTTATACAGAAATAGATCAAACCAGATACAGGGCCACAAAATCGTTCAGTGCACATTTCTCTAGGGAGCTTCATATGAAAACCGACAGAAACCTTGCAATCGTATGGATTCTGAAGCTGTGGCGACGAAAAGAAGCTCCAGTCACAGGGATAGCCTCGTTGGAGGGCGAATAAGAGACGCGGACGAGACCGTGACCTTGTCAAGAACAACTCGGTGAAATAGGGAAGGTGAGACATGGAACGCCATTGCTTCGACACACAGCGAAACCTAGCTACTGACTTTGCAGGCAATCTCAAGAATATCTCTGTGATGAGATCATTAGGGATGGAATCTGGAATTGCTACTCCTCTATCTTCTGATCTGAGGGAGAGAGACATTCGAGTAGAAACTATTCCACCAGTCGGCGCTAACCTTAGACACCAAAATTGTGAGATTAGCGTACAAAAGTCCGTACAAAAGTTCCGGTATGGAAAATCTTGAGTAATTTAGTTTGGTTTTCTCCGGTTACAAATTTACTAATGTTTTGCAGACCAGTTCGGTTAAAAGGAGAGGACTAAAAAGTAAAAGCTGATATAATTTTAAACAGTCTTGAATAAAATTTAGTATACTATAATAAGCTACTTGTAAATTGCTTGATGGGTTTGATCTCTCAAGTTGACTTTATTGAAAAAACGGGTTGGATGCATTGTCAATTTCACAAGCTCACAAGTGACCTTATGTTTCAGTGATGTTGAAGGAATATAGATATATATTCTGAACTCAAGTACTTTAATGAATTCACATAAAAATGTCAAAACTTCTGTTTTCTGTTTGTATCGTCATCATCTTCAAGCGGGTAGGCAATTTAAATTTGTATTTGTGGAACTGATGATCTATAAATGGGTTCGAATTAGTATTCTCGTTGATTGATCTCTACACCAAATTATGAATATGAGAATGTGAACGGTTCAGTAAGTTGACCAAAAATCTTCTTTGCAGCCAAGAAACTTCGTACGAGATGGAATAGAGTTGCATAGGTCACGAGATGTATGACCTCGCCCCGATGATATGATGTTCAATGATAGAAGACAGCATTAATGCTATCAGATTTTAGTTGTAATTAGCAAATACTACAATCGAATTTTGAAGCCCTCTCCTTTTAACCTAGAGCCATTGCTTATCTCTTTCGTTTCCCTCTCTCTTTCTGTTTCTTCTCCTTACTCACAAGTGACAAGCCACACACCTCCTGTCCCTGACCCTTTCTGTCACCTCTTCCGTGATTATATTTAGGCTGTTCTTGTTCTTCGGAGATGGAGCTGAGATTTTTGCCTTGCTTTTCTTTGCATGGCTAACATTAAGATCCTCTACACTATCTACAAAGGCGTAAATTCCACTAAGATCCTCTACTTGATCTAGAATGGCGTAAACACTATGACGTGGTCCAAAATCTTGGATTTCAACACGTTGGAAAGTATTCTTTTCAGGACTGAAGTAGATAATAAACTCTAAAATTATGAACCACTTTATATGAATATATAATTTACATTTCACTTAAAAAAAAAAGTAGAACTGGTTTAAAAATTAAAAAAAAAACTTAAACTTCAAAAATGAATTTTAATAATTTTAAGTTTTTTGTAATATATATAAAAAGTTCCTCATTACTTACTAATATTTTTTTTTTCTGGAAAAGAGAAAAATGGGGGAAAAAAGATTTTGAAATGATATTTTTCAAAATTCAATTACTCTATCTCAAATTCTCGTAAAAGACGAATTCTACAAAATAGAATGGTAGAAGACTGTGTTTCCAGTAGAAAACAAACTCTACGGTTAGTAGATAACGGTATAATTACTAGAATGATATCCTACCAAATCTACCAAATCGTAGAATGTGGGATATTCCGTAGAAAGCAGGTTCTAGTAGTAAACAAAACATAACGATAGTCGAACTAATTGAGTTATCATCTATGTTATTCTTGTTATCATGAAACCCATCGTGTTAATATTGTTATCATTTCATGAAAAAACATAAATTATTGATTAACTCTCATTGTTGACTTTACCAGTTATATGCAAAATTGTTTTGATAACCAGATGATACTATAGCTAATCAGCCCAAGGAATTAAAGATGTAATGCAATTAGTCATTTTTGTTGTTTAAGATCAAACGAAAGCTCGAATCTTTGCTATTGATCTTGTTGAAGATTTTGTCATCTTTGTCACACATTAATTAGCTTACTTTGTCCGTCAACAAGAGAGATGCATTAGTAGTGATGACCTTTTTCCCCTTTCCTTTACCGTAATCGTACCCTGAAGCACTGATTTTAGCTTGAGGAAATTTCAAAACTACACCTTTTGAGGTGTCAATTTTCAAAAATACATCTCTATGGTGTCTATTTTCAAAACTACATTTTTTTCATTGATTAAAAGAATTCTAAACCCTAAAATATAAATCCAAAACACTAAAATCTAACATTGAACCCTTAAATCTAAACCCTAAACCCCAAAATCTAAACCCTAATTTAGGATTAGTGAACCCAAACATATATATTAAAATTGGGAAAAAGTGTATTTTTGAAAATTTCCACACTATAGGTGTAGTTTTGAAAATTTGCACCTCAAGAGGTGTATTTCATAAAATTTCTCTTTTAGCTTGTGCAGCCATTTATTTTTGCTTTTGATATATTGATTATATTAAACTTTGCTAACAAGATATAACCGCCATAATCGAGAATATGGTATAGAAAAAAAAGCATTGACTCAATAGTCTTCACTTGCAAACTTTATTTTTTGCAAATACCAACTCTATTTGTGACATTCGATTACAAATTTACAATATATGATATGAATAGACACCACATATCATTTCACACGAGAAAAAACCGATATAGACATGGATTTAAACCGATATAGACACGAGAAAGAACTCCGAAAAAAAAAGATATCTCTTTACCACAAATCAATTACTGATTCAGTATTGAAAAAGACATTGGTTTGGAAAAACATTAACATTTCTTCACATTTGCACCAAACAAAAAAAAACATGAACATAGACATGGATTTTCTTGTAGTGATAAGATGATGGCTGAAATTCCAGTTTTGATGTATGATCTTCACAAGAGCACTATCAAAGCAGATATGCATTAAATAATGGGAAAATAGACATTTGAATGAAGGCTATATATATATATGCATGCATGTTAAATTTCAAACTAAATTGTGCTTACAGACAATAGACAATATGCATTTACATTTTTGAACCGGAAGAAACTTTGTTTAATATATGTAAAACATAAGAAATCGTAGAAGTAATATATATTTCCTGATGATTATAAAAGAGATAAAAACAATCAAAGATCTACTCACCAAGCAGATAACAGGCTTTGCTCTATAAGCAGTAGAAAAGTGTTAAGAAATATAGAGCACAGAACCATTACGACTTACGAGACCTTCTTTGGTAAACTAAGTCATACTTAACCGAAATACGAAAGATCAAAGGTCAAAGCCTAACAAAATCTAGTTATTTCTCAGTGAGAGCGGAAAGAAGAGTGACTTAATTAAAGTCTGATTTTACTTTACCAAACAATAGTATAAATAACTTTTGATAAAACATTAGGTTGCTCCCAAGTCAACTCTAACACAAACAGGACATGAACATGAAAACCTCAAAGAACAAAAAAATAAATAAAAAGCTAGCCAAAAGAGTGAGAATGCTGACACGAAACCTGTAAATGAGAAGTCACACTCTTGTACATGAATTTGGCTTGGCCTCCAACAAGAAATCAACACCTGTCCTCACTCTAAGTCTTCTAATAATTCGTACTTGTTCTTCAAAGATGGAGCAGAGCTGCAGATTTTCTGTGGTATAGGCAGGGGTTTTAATGGTGTTGGCCTTTCCCTAATGATATCTAGGCCTTGGCTTGACTTGAGGTACTTTGCATCGTTAACATGAAGATCTTCTACGAGGTCCACAAAGACAGAAACACTATGAGCAGGATTCTGATGATAGTAATCTCCAAAACCTTGGATTTCAACACGTTGGAAAGTGTTCCTTTCGGGATTGAAGTAGAAAACGTAAAACCGCTGCTGAGATGTACGTCTCTCCGACAAAACAATTTCACCTGTAGCAGACACTCCAACGATGTATGCATCGTAGCGATCAACGGGTGCATTCTCCGGCAAAGTATAGACATTTTTAGACCATTTCTGGTTCTCGACATCCTCTAGAACCTTCACATGCAACGCAAGGGTATTGCCATCCTTCACATACCTCAAATTAATCCTACCTAATTTACCCTTATAGTTGAACAAGTCCTCAAGATACCTTTTTGCCTCAATGAATTTGTATTTTTCAGATCTAAGATCAAAGCAAACTATCGCAAAAGAGCTTTTGGAAACTTCAGCTGAGTAATACATAGCCCCATTGATGCATACAACTTCACCCAAAGGAAGATGGTTTAAGGGACACTGGATCTTCCTCCACCTCATATTTCCAGTTCCCAATGTCAGAATTCTATGATATGGACGAGACATGGACAAGACCTTGAATTGCTTGTCAATGGGGTCAAACCCTAAAAAACTTGCCGAGAAGTCCGTTTTCAATTCAGAAAATTTGGCATACTGTCTGGTTCGAGGGTTAAAAAACACAAGCACTGCATCCTTGTCGCTCTTTTGTGAGACCTCCCTTATACAGAAATAGATCAAACCAGATACAGGGCCACAAAATCGTTCAGTGCACATTTCTCTAGGGAGCTTCATATGAAAACCGACAGAAACCTTGCAATCGTATGGATTCTGAAGCTGTGGCGACGAAAAGAAGCTCCAGTCACAGGGATAGCCTCGTTGGAGGGCGAATAAGAGACGCGGACGAGACCGTGACCTTGTCAAGAACAACTCGGTGAAATAGGGAAGGTGAGACATGGAACGCCATTGCTTCGACACACAGCGAAACCTAGCTACTGACTTTGCAGGCAATCTCAAGAATATCTCTGTGATGAGATCATTAGGGATGGAATCTGGAATTGCTACTCCTCTATCTTCTGATCTGAGGGAGAGAGACATTCGAGTAGAAACTATTCCACCAGTCGGCGCTAACCTTAGACACCAAAATTGTGAGATTAGCGTACAAAAGTCCGTACAAAAGTTCCGGTATGGAAAATCTTGAGTAATTTAGTTTGGTTTTCTCCGGTTACAAATTTACTAATGTTTTGCAGACCAGTTCGGTTAAAAGGAGAGGACTAAAAAGTAAAAGCTGATATAATTTTAAACAGTCTTGAATAAAATTTAGTATACTATAATAAGCTACTTGTAAATTGCTTGATGGGTTTGATCTCTCAAGTTGACTTTATTGAAAAAACGGGTTGGATGCATTGTCAATTTCACAAGCTTACAAGTAACCTTATGTTTCAGTGATGTTGAAGAAATAGATATATATTCTGAAGTCAAGTACTTTTATGAATTCACATAAAAATGCCAAAATTTCTGTTGTGTGTTTGTATCGTCATCATCTTCAAGCGTTCAGGCAATTTTGATTTGTATTTGTGGAACTGATGATCTAGAAATGGGTTCGAATTAGTATTCTGCTTGGTCACTACACCAAGATATGAATATGAGAATGTGAACGGTTCAGTAACTTCACCAAAAATCTTCTTTGCAGCCAAGAAACTTCGTACCAGCTGGTGGAATAGAGTTGCATAGGTCACGAGATGTATTAACTCTGCAATCGCGGTTTTTGCATTCATTACTGTAGGGAGTATATTATTATAGAAAAGAAAACTTGATTAATCAAACAAAATAAGAAAGTAAAAAAAAGGGTATTTACTCCCTCCGTTACTTATGAAAAAAAAATTCTGAGATTTTCAAATCAAAGATTTTAAATTTTTTAAATCCAATCATAAGGGTATAAATATTTAAAATCGTACAAGTTTTTAGAATTTTAAACCAATTAATAGAAAGAAAAAAAAACATAACCATTGACTATAAAAACATAAACCAATCAAAAGTCTGATTTTTTTTTGTTTATGATTATAAAAGAGATGAAAACAATCAAAAATCTACTCATCAAGCAGATAACAGACTTTGCTCTATAAGCAGTAGAAAAGTGTTAAGAAACCTAGAGCCATTGCGTACCTTCTTTGGCAAATTAACTGGATTCAGACTTAACCGGAAAAAGAAAGATCAAAAGGTCAAAGCCTAAATAAAACTCGCTAGTTATTTCTCAGTGAGAGCGGCAAGAAGAGTGACTTAAAGTCTGATTTTACTTTACCAAAGAATAGTATAAAGAACTTTTGATAAAACGTTAGTTAGCTCCCAAGTCAAGTCTAAGAAAGTGAGAATGCTGACACGAATTTGGCTTTGCCTCCAATAAGAAACCAGCGCCTGTACGTCCTCACTCCAAGTCTTCAACTAACTCGTACTTGTCCTTCGAAGATGGACCAGAGTTGCATATTTTCTGTGGTTTTCGTAGTGTTGGCCTTTCCCTAATGATGTTTAGGCGTTGGCCTGACTTGAGGTACTTTGCATCGGTTACATGAAGATCTTCTACGAGGTCCACAAAGGCAAAAACTCTATGACGAGGATCCTGATGATAGTATTCTCCAAAACCTTGGATTTCAACACGTTGGAAAGTGTTCGTTCCGGGATTGAAGAAGAAAATGTAAAACCGCTCAGATGATGTATATTCCTCCGACAAAACAATTTCACCTGTAGCGGTCACTCCAGCGATGTAGATATTGTTGCGATCAATGGGTGCATTCTTCGGCAAAGTGTAGACGTTTGTAGACCATTTCTGTTTCTCGACATCCTCTAGAACCTTCACACGCAACTCAAGGGTATTGCCATCTTTAACATACCTCCATTTAATCCTACCTAATTTACCCTTATAACTTATCAAATTATCATAATACCGTTTCGCATCAATGAATTTGTATTTCTCAGACCTAACATCAAAGCAAACTATCACATAAGACCTTTTAGTTTCATCAGAATTTTCATAAGACGTTTTGAAAACTTGAGCTGAGTAATACATTACCCCATTGATGCATACAACTTCACTCAAAGGACGATGGTTCAAGGGACAATGGATCTTCCTCCACCTCAAAGTTCTAGTTTCCAATGTCAAAATTCTAGGATTGTTCATATCCTCACAATATGGATGAGACATGGACAATACCTTGAATTGCTTGTCAATGGGGTCAAACCCTAAAAAGAAGGTGGACTTTCTGTCCGTATTCAGTTGAGGAAAACTAGCATACTGTCTGGTTAGAGGGTTAAAAAAAACATGCAGTCCATGTGCATCCCTCTTTTGTGAGATCTCCGTCATAGAGATATAGAACAAACCAGATATAGGGCCACAAAAGCCTGAAGTGAACATATCCCTAGAGAGCTTCATATGAAAACCGACAGAAACCTTGCAATCATATGGATTCTGAAGCTGCGGCGACGAAAAGAAGCTCCACTCATATGGAAAGCCTCGTCTGAGGCAGAATAAGAGACGCGGACGAGACCGTGACCTTGTCAAGAACAACTCGGTGAAATAGGGAAGGTGAGATATGGAACGCCATTGCTTCGACACACAGCGAAACCTAGCTACTGACTTTGCAGGCAATCTCAAGAATATCTCTGTGATGAGATCATTAGGGATGGAATCTGGAATTGCTACTCCTCTATCTTCTGATCTGTGGGAGAGAGACATTCGAGTAGAAACCATTGACTAGTCGGCCGTCGGCGCCTAACCTTATACACACCAAGATTTGAGAATAGCGTACAAAAGTCCCTACAAGGGTATAATATTGTAATCAGATAATTATTGAGTAATTTAGTATGGTTTTCTCCGGTTACAAATTTACTAATGTTTTGCAGACCAGTTCGGTTAAAAGGAGAGGACTTCAAAATTCCATTGTAGTATTTGTCTGCTATCATTGAACATAATAATACCATCAAGAGAGGTAATACATCTCGTGACCTATGCAACTCTATTCCATCTGGTTTCTTGGCTGCAAAGAAGATTTTTGGTGAACTTACTCAACCGTTCACATTCTCATATTCATATGTTGGGGTAGAGATCAATCAAGGAGAATGATAATTCGAACACATTTATAGATCATCAGTTCCACAAATATACAAATCAAAATTGCATATACGCTTGAAGATGATGACGATACAAACTGAAAACAGAACATTTTTGGCATTTTTATGTGAATTCATTAACGTATTTGTTTTCAAAATATTCATTTATTATATTCTTTCGACATCACCACTACAGGAAAAAAGGGTATTCTTAGCATCCGAAAAACGATAGCGTTTTGACAAGCGCTTTATCATCGCCCGTCATTGTAGGTCAAAATATTCATTTATTATATTCTTTCGACATCACTGAAACTGACAATGCATCCATACCGTTTTATCAGTATAGCCAGCTTGAGAGATCAAACCCACCAATGAGATCGTCTCTTCAGTTCTTCTTGTCTTCGATCATCTTCCCTAAACTTTCTCTTTCGTTTCTCTCTCTCTTTCTGTTTCTTCTCCTTACTCACAAGTGACAAGTCACACCTCCTGTCCCTGACCCTTTCTGTTACCTCTTCCGTGATTATATTTAGGCTGTTCTTGTTCTTCAGAGATGGAGCTGAGATGTTTGCCTTGCTTTTCTTTGCATGGCTAACATTAAAATCCTCTACACTGTCTACAAAGGCGTAAATTCCACTAAGATCCTCTACTTGATCTAGAATATTGGCGTAAACACTATCATGTGGTCCAAAATCTTGAACTTTAACACGTTAGAAAGTATTCCTTTCAGGACTGAAGTAGATAATATAGTTATAAATATAGGACTGAAGTAGATAATATAGTTATAAATATAGTTCGTCGTCAACATAAGAAATTCACCCATAGCAGTCACTCCAACAACAGATCATTGACGCAATATTCAGCAAGCTCATCACCCGGAAAAGTGTAGACATGTTTTGACCATTCTTGTTTCTCAACATCCTCTAGAACCCACATACACATCCCACGTGTTGTTGACCTTCCACCAACGTTACCGTACTCCAGAAGAATACAACCTAATTTACCCTTATAGTTTATTAGTTGAGGTGTGGCTAATCCTAAGCATTTTGCGTCGATAAAATTGAATTTCTCTGACCTAACATCAAAGCAAACTATCACCCGAGAACCGTTATGTCTAGCTAAATAAAACAAAACCCCATTGATGCATATCTCTTTGGAGTAAGGACTATGTCTAGGACACTGGATCTTTCTCCACTTCATATCTCCCGTTCCAAATGTCAGAATTTTATGATCATCCCTTTCTTCACCATATGCAAAAAACATGGACAATACCTTGAACTTCTTGTCAATAGGATCAAACCCTAAAAAGCTTATTGAAATTATGTATCTTCTCAGTGTAGGTAAGGTGGCATACTGCCCTGTCCTAGGGTTACATATCACATGCACTGCATCCTCATAGTCTCTTAAGATTGTACGACGGTGACATACCAAGAACAAACTAGAGGCATAGCCACGAAATAATAGCCTCGTGTACGCAGAAAACTTGATATGAAAATCGGTGGCTAGTACAAGAGACGACGGCTTCTCATATATATTTTGAGGCAGAGGAGACGAGTAGAAGATCGTCTCACAATTTTGATTATATTCAAAGGCGGCGAAGAAGAGACGCGGACGAGACCATGACCTTTTCAAAAACAACTCGGTGAAATATGGACCACGAAGCATGGAACCCCATAGCTTCGACACGCAACGAAACCTTGAGATTGACTTCCAAGGCAATCTCGATAATATCTCAAGAAGGAGATCATTCGGGATCGAGTTCATTATTCTCGTTGTATTCATGATCGGTGAACGAAGAAAGAGATGCTTCATCGCAGAAATTCCATAATTTATAGGGGCCGGGACCTAGGGAATACAAATCTGAACCAAACCAACTCGAGTTTTGGTTATTTCGGTTTAAAGGCATAAACCGATCAGCAGTCCTTGTTATATTTTGTTATGTGGTCGGTTCTTTTCAGGTTCAAACCGACTTTAAAACTGAAACCGGTCAATTTGATCTGATAAAACGGGATCCAACTATACAATATTTATTTCTACTTCTCTTCTCTGTTTCTATACGAACTTCTAGTCAGCTTGAGTGTAGAAAATAAATACTGTAAATAAATTTGCAAATTGATCAAGAAGCCTAGTTCTTTTTTTTAGTGGTCCGGTTTCTCTACCCTCCGGATGGTGCTTTTTCCGATTCAAAATTATAGTCTCGGTTTTGATTTCTAAACTTGCTAGTTCTAATGTATTTTTATTTTAACTCATGGCTTATGCTCATTTTCTAGATAATCACTAGGAGAATCAACAATATCTTATCTCGTCGGCCGACAGTTCTGTTGACTTCTTTTTTTTTAACCTCTTTCGACTTTATTGGATACTAGATTTAGACCCGCGCTATGCTGCAGGATTATTATTTTTGTTTTTATTTTCTACATAGCTTTGGCTATTTTCTGCATAAGTATATCTTCACTTGTCTCATTTTTTTTAGGGTTTTATGTTTTGAAAAACTTTATCTCAACTTTCAAACTCGGACATATCTAAATCCTTCTCGGTAAACTTCAGAACCTGAGTTATCAACACATTCTTTTTAACGGAAGCTGAATTCGACTTATTGATTTATTTTTTTTTTTTTTTTTTTTTTTTTTCCATTTCGTGTGCTCTTGATCACCCTACCAATGTTGTTCTTCTTCTTAGAATTTTTTTATTCATTTTCAATGAGTTATTATAGAAAATTAGTTTTCTTGTATATTCAGTCAAACATATTATTTGCTTTGCTATTATAAAAATTGCCACAAAATACAATTTCTTCATTTTCACCTAAAACATGTTTTTTGCTTGGTTACTACTTTTTTCTGGTTTATAATTTAATTTTGGCATACCAGTGACACTATTTATGTATATTTGAAGTACTATATCTATAATGTTTTTTTATCTTGTCAAAAATCTACTCCCTTCCTAATTGGGTTTAATTTGTTGAAACATATGTGTAAAAGCCGTATATTTTCGTACTTTAAATGCCCACCAAGCCTCCTTTGACATCAATATTTTACACAATTAATAACTCTGCTACTGTTCAAATTCACTCATTTTCCGTCTTCGTAACATATACTGTATAAGTTACACTTTGAGTACAACAAATAATAAAAGACCAAAAAGGGTACTTGGAGTGAAAAGTAATCTTAAAGTCGATGCAATGCAACAACTCTATTCACACTAATCAATACAACAACTCTTTTAAAGAAGAAAAAGAAGAAGGAGCAGACATAATCTCAGCCTTCATTTGAATGTTGCTGGAGTTCATTTCTACTGCTCAGATTTAGCAGCCACGGAAGAAGTCTTATTTTCCTCTCCTCTTTTAGCTGCTTCTTCTCTCTTATCTTCGGGTTTAGCAGACACATAGCCTTTTGTTCCTCTATTCTTTTCTTTGCTTCTTCTTTCTTCCCGTCCTTTTTCCTTTCTTTGGCTTTCCCTAACTTCTCTTTAGTTTTAATAGGCTTTGGCTGAGACTGGATTTCTTCAGTGTAGATGATGATGAATCTTTTGGTTTTGTCACAACAGGACCAGATGTACCTCTTGTTACATCGGTGATACCTTTTGGCTCTTTGTAGAAATTGGGCATGGGTGGAGTCTTCATATAGTCATATACAGGTGTAGTCTGGGCAGAACGATCAGCTTATACCGTCTGTGGCTAATTAATATCAAATTGGTTGAGGTGGAATCTGGTTTAACATAATGATACTTGGTTAGCTACCGTCTATATATAGCTTCCTTGAAATAGCCTAACATTTGGAGAAGCAAAAAGATCCAAATTAAGCATAGACGCATATCTGGGTTTATAAAAAAAGATCTCAAAAACCTTACCCGTTAACTGATCTCCACATAGCATATCTGAAATCAAGATCGACGAACCATGAGAAGCAGAGAACCCGCCGTCATTATTAGAATCGTCAGGAACCATCTCCGAGCTACGGATTGAAATCACTAACACAGCAATACAACTTCCGCAAAATGCAAAAAATCGAGAAACAAAGAGAAGGGTTCTCTTCAAATCCAATGGAGGGTGAACTCTAAAAAGGAGAATTGTTAGAAAATCAAAGAGAGAATGAATCGGAGATTCGTGTGTTGTTCTCGTTCTCGAGGAAGAACTAAAAAAAATCGCGAGAGAAAGAAAGGATGAAATTGAAATTGTCTACACACAAAACCGAACAAATTAACCAAACCGGGTCTAAAACGTAGCAAGTAACCAAAAAAAAAGCTGACTGTGATTAATTAAAATGTTTCTATTGGTTGTGCATTTTAAATGATGTGTCACCTCTATAACACTTAAAAATGCTTAGGTGTCAACTACTGAAGCAACACAAGGGATGTTAGTGTATTGATTATAAGATATGATAGTTAAATATATTCTTCATTTTGTTCATTTGTTAATTTTGACCTAGAGCCCAAAACTCCAGTATATGTAATGAGCGTAGTGTGTACGTTTCTAAATCTAGTATATAATTTTGGAGTTGGGCTAATGGAATATGTAAGGTTTTAAATAAAATTCCGTGTCCCTATCGTTTAGGTGAAATTGCTATGAGTTGATAGTTTATATAATAGCTTTTGTTTATAGTAATGGTTGGTGCACGGGCACGGCTGCCAACACAACAAGTATCGCCACTAAAAGACAAACAACGTCGTCATGATTTGGATTAAAATGTTATCGTTTTACTCTCTAGGTGACGTCTATTAACAGATGGAAACCAAGTCAGCGAACTACTTTCATATGTCAACGGCTTCTATAAGTCTATTATGATCCCAAAACTATGTTTCGATTCCAAACCAACGACTTTATAATTAATAAACGAATACGAACGTTTTGAGCATATTCCTTTTTAATTTCTCTGTATGTAATTTTTAACACTTGCGTTTACGAGGGGAAGAAGATGTCACGGATTGAAACCAAGCCGCCGGATTCACGGCCATAGATGTCACAATGGGATATCGAATTTTCATTTTAGAGTTTAAATTTTGCAAATTAAAGTGTAATTTAAAAATATTTTGTTAATTTTTAGAAATGTAGTCTTTTCCAACATATAGACTATGTCCTTTAGAAACTTGAATCAAACCTCAAACGGAGTATTTAGGATTGGAATACATGTGATCCTTTTAACAAAAAAAAAAAGATTGGAATAAATGTTATTGCTTAGTTACTTCAATGTTTAGTACAGTCACATCAAATTTTGTTTGTTGAAACATTCTTCATTTACGTGAGTTTAGAACTTAAAAATGTTACAAGTCAACTTAGGCTATATTTAAAAATCAAAACAAAAAAACTTAGGCTATATATATATATATATATATATATATATATATATATATATATATATATATTTTTTTTTCTTTTTCTTTCAAACAAATGATCAGTTTGTACTCTTGTACTAATGTACAAGAACGTATTGTACACATTGACTATGGAGTGTGGCATATCCCTAACATTAATTTACTAGTATAGTAACTAATAGAAAATTAATAAGCATATCAGATTATTATAGGTATCATTCTTCAAACAGAAAAGAAACAATAGAAAAAAGGCTACAATTTTGTTTTCCTTAAAAGTACGAGAGCAAGTTTTGTTTTCATCAATTTTTGGCTTTATGGTTTAGCTTTTAGGATTATAGGATTTAAAATTTTAGTTTTCAAGACCATTTTGTTTCTTCATTTCTGTAATATTGTATATAATTTTGGCATACTCATGCCTGATCTATAATTTTGAATTCTCAATAATGTTGGTATTCTCATGCCTGATCTATAGTTTCTAAAATATATAATTTTATTTCTGCTTTTTATTATTATTATTCGCCTATAAACGTAATTTCACCTTTATGATCCTAAATTTACCACAAACTTTACTTATGCTTGTATTTTTTAGTTTTTTCTCTTTTTCCCTAGACAAAATTTAGCTTTAACGCGGCAATTATTATCAAATACTATTTCTGTTTCATATTAGTTGTCGTTTTGAGAAAATATATTTGCAATATATATGAATGTAGTTTAATACATCTATATATACTGCAAATACATTTTCTCAAAACGACAATCTTATTATATAAAGCTGGATGCGCACGACGTAGTTGCGACACGTAAGAATTTTTATAAAATTCAGGATCGCGACATGTGTCACTTTTAAGTTTATCTCCGTTAAGATCGTGACATGTGTCTTAGGAAAAAAAGAAAAAATAATAATTAAAAAAATTAGATAAAGATAAAAAAACGAAATTTTAATCTTTTATAGTTAAAAGAAAAAAAAATTATATTTGTCATATCCTAATAGAAAAAGGTTTCTCATTCATCAAATTTATATTATCCAAACACATATAAATTCAAATTAATGAAATAAATAAAATCCTATTAGTACATGAAATAGGTTAGGTAAACTAAATTTCCTATAACTGCATGGAATAAGTTACATGAACCCCTATAAAAAGAGAGTTAAAGTAGTCTTTTTTTTTCTCATTCACAAACTCATCAAAGCAAACAACATGATAACAATACGTATGATTTTTATAACTCACAAAATTGCGATATGTGTAATAAAATAATGATAATAAAAAAACTAACTAATAATGAAAATGAAAATTTATAATGGTCTGAGTCAAAAACAAAATTGAGAAAGAAACAATATAAATAGAAAACTAACAAATTAATTATCAAGCAACTAACTAATATTAAGAAAATATAATGAACCGATATTCTAATTTTAAATAGTTTAATTTTCAATATTGTTAGGTAAAAAATTATTAAATAAAGATTTCATCAATTGAAATCTCTTGAATGGAATAATAAAGTTTTGTTGAATTAATTAATCAGTTGATCATATTTAGACATATATAAGTCTTTCTATATTGGATAAAAATAAAAATAAAACAAATTAATTCATTTTTTATATCATGAATTCAAAAAAATATCAATTACAATAAAAACGTAAAAAGGTTACCGATCTTATTTTATTTAAATATTTTTATCGGGTTTTTAATATTATTCTGTTTACTTTAAAATGATCAAATTTGGTTTAATACTTTTCCATGATTTTATTACAAAATCTTAAAATAAACCCGCGTATACGCGGGTCTTAATCTAAGCTAATATATAAAACAGATGGAATATATCATAATTTAATTATGTTATTTCCAAGAGGACTTATTCAAACATTTTATATGCGTTGTGTAATTCATTCATTTCTTTAAACAAAACATGTGGACATTAATCAATTAGCAATGTCGATACTGACTTTGATTGACATGCTTCAAGTCTCCTTGTATAAGAATAGAACTCTCACTTCTGTATCAAACTCATTAACTCCACAAAAGCAGAAAAAAAAAAACAACGAGAAAAATGACTAAATTTCCTCTCATTACCATCACCGTCATTCTCCTCCTTGCCATCTCCCACTTCCCCGGAGCTCTCTCTCAATCCGTAAAAGATTGCAAACCCGCATCCGACAACACATGTACCGACAAGAACAAAGCATTACATCTCAAACTCATAGCAATCTTCACAATTCTCATCACTAGCCTAATCGGTGTTTGTCTCCCCTTCTTTGCTCGTTCCGTTTCCGCTTTTCAACCGGACAAATCTCTCTTCCTTATCGTCAAATCTTTCGCTTCCGGAATCATCCTCTCTACTGGTTTCATGCACGTTCTGCCTGATTCTTTCGCTATGCTCTCTTCTCCTTGTCTTAGCGATAACCCCTGGCATAAGTTTCCTTTCACCGGCTTCGTCGCCATGCTCTCTGCCGTGTTCACGCTAATGGTTGACTCTATCACCACCAGCGTTTTCACCAGGTCCGGCAGGAAGGACACGCGCGCTGAGGCTCGAACTGACGTGGCGCCTGTTGAGACTCCTGACCAAGAGATAGGGCGCATGGAGGTTCCGGTGGCCCATCATGGTCATGGTCACGGTCTTCATCATAATCTTCATGGAGATAACGATCTTGGTTCCAATTTACAGCTTCTGCGATATCGTGTTATTGCCATTGTTAGTAATCCCTTACTCTCTTCAATTACAAAATAAAAAATTTAACGTTTTTTTTTTTTTTTTTTTTTTTTGAAATAGGGCAATACAAATTTTTAACTTGATTTTATTATATTGTTAACACAAGGGAAAAACTAGTGTTAAAATTGTCAACGATGACATTTCTACATCGGATAAAGAATCAATTAAGCTACTACAATTTACATAAGACGGTTTTAATATGTCACTTTTGTAAAGTTATTTTTCTATAATGGTTCGTCAAAGTTAATTTTATTATTAAAGTTAAACAAAGTAAGCTGATCAAATGAGTCCATACAAATTTAAGGATTGAGTTAGGCCCAATTCTGGGCTGGAAAATTTCATAAATATCAAAACATAATAATGGAACAGGTATTGGAGCTAGGAATAGTGGTACACTCGATAGTTATAGGACTATCAGTGGGAGCCACTAACAATACTTGCACCATCAAAGGTCTCATCGCTGCTCTTTGTTTCCATCAAATGTTCGAAGGCATGGGTCTCGGTGGCTGCATTCTCCAGGTGAATTCCTCTCTTCCATGAAATTAGTTCAGTCTAGTTTAGTCATATCCATCATGGTGCTCTATACTAAGTTTCACATGGTTTTGTTACTCCAAAAAGTGTGTTTTTTTAATGGATTGACCTTGAAATCATTTGATGAGAAATTGAAAATACGCTTAGGCAGAATACGGATGGGTGAAAAAAGCGGTGATGGCTTTCTTTTTCGCGGTGACAACACCTTTCGGAGTGGCTCTAGGGATTGCATTATCTAAGACGTACAAAGAGAATAGCCCTGACTCACTCATATCAGTTGGGCTACTCAACGCTTCCTCCGCTGGACTACTCATCTACATGGCTCTAGTTGACTTATTAGCCGCCGATTTTATGGGCCAGAAGATGCAAGGGAGCATCAAGCTTCAGTTAAAGTCATATGGTGCTGTTTTGCTTGGTGCTGGTGGCATGTCCGTCATGGCTAAGTGGGCTTGACGAGCTACTTCATAATAGACACATATCTTGTATATAGCTAGTAAATGTAAATAAACCTTATAATTATGTGATCGGATTCTCAAAACTAGTTTCATTAGTACCTGATGAAATTTATGCTCATTGAACACTTAAATATGTTTGGCATTCTTCACATATGTAATTGTTGATTTCATTAGTATACTGTATGATGTTTTTATGCTCACTATAAAAGGTGATTTAATAAAACTACTGAAAAAGGACAAACTAGAATTACTAAAATGTGAGAACAACAACCGACTTAAAATAAATTCCAACTGCCTATTAACGGAGATAACCAGCCTTTAACCAAGCCTTTTTTCTATTCTTTTCTAAGTGAGGATCTATACAAATACTTTATATGCATGTCCCGAGAACAGCAGCTAGGACAATTTACTCCAAACTTTATTGTATAGTTCATTAACAAAACATGTCGACATTGATTAGTACGTAATGTCGACAAGCACTTTGACTGAGAAAGTCTTCGATTCTCTTCCCTAATACTGCTCACTGACTATATGACAACCATAAATATCTTCTTATCTGTTTCAAACTTAAAGACTTCCACACAAAGATTAACGAGAAAGATGACTAAAGCTCATTCCAATTTCTCTGCCACCAATGTCACCGTTTTTCTCCTTCTCTCCATTTACCACTTCCCCGGAGCATTCTCTGAATCCGAAGAAGAGTGCAAACCCGATTCCGACAGCAGATGTACAGACAAAAACAGAGCATTTGATCTCAAACTCATAGCAATTTTCTCGATCCTCAGTACAAGCCTTGTCGGCGTTTGCCTCCCGTTCTTCGCTCGTTCGGTTTCCGCTTTCCAACCGGAGAAATCTCTCTTCCTCATCGTCAAATCTTTCGCCTCCGGAATCATCCTCGCCACTGGTTTCGTCCACGTTTTGCCTGATTCCTTCGAAATGCTCTCGTCTCGTTGTCTTAAGGATGACCCCTGGCACAAGTTTCCTTTCACTGGCTTCGTCGCCATGATCTCTGCGGTGTTCACACTCATGGTTGGCTCTATTACCACCAGCGTCTTCAGTAAGTCCGGTAAAAGGGACCCACGTGCTGATGTGGCATCCGCTGAGACTTCTGACCAAGAGATGGGGCGTGTGCAGGCTCACGCGCACGCACATCATGGTCATGGTCTTCATCATAGCGATGGCCAGGATCTTGGTTCTAATTTACAGCTTCTACGATATCGTGTTATTGCCATTGTTAGTATTCCTTCCTTCTCGTGTTATTTTTTTAATTAACAAAAAAGATAGACCTCTTATGTCTTAACTTGATTCCAATAGATATATAAATTTAACAAGAGGAAATATAGCTTTTATGTTATAAACTCCTATACAAATGGTTTTGTACAACTCCATCTAATCCCACGTACCATTCAAAACATTTATACGTGAATGATACTGAAATGAACAAAATGGAACAGGTATTGGAGCTAGGAATAGTGGTGCACTCGATTGTGATAGGACTATCAGTAGGAGCCACTAACAATACTTGCACCATCAAAGGTCTTATTGCTGCTCTTAGTTTCCACCAAATGTTCGAAGGCATGGGTCTCGGTGGCTGCATCCTCCAGGTGAATTCCTCCCTTCCATGTAATTAGTTTCTCATGGTTCAATTTGGTCACTCCAAAAAATTGTGTTAATTAATTCTTGCATGAATTGACTTTGAGATCATTTGATGAGAACATGCTTAGGCGGAGTACGGGTGGGTGAAAAAGGCAGTGATGGCCTTCTTTTTTGCTGTCACAACGCCTTTTGGGGTCGTTCTTGGAATGGTCTTATCTAAAACATACAAAGAGAATAGCCCTCACTCGCTCATAACGGTTGGGCTGTTCAACGCTTCTTCGGGTGGACTACTCATCTACATGGCTTTAGTCGATCTCCTTGCGGCAGACTTTATGGGTCAGAAGATGCAACATAGCATTAAGCTTCAGATGAAGTCATACGCCGCTGTTTTTCTTGGTGCCGGTGGCATGGCCTTTGTGGCTAAGTACACTTGATGATGTGTTGTTGGTGGTATACCTTTGCCATGATCTTTTTCTTTTTTGGACACATGATATCTTGTGAGACAAATGTAAATGTATTTGCGGGACATTTTTTTTTTTCAAAAATACAACACAAAAAATAAAAGCAACATTTAAGAAAGGTTCCTAAATAATTTTCAACTTCTATGGCACCAGCTTCTTCAATTTTTTTTTTTTTTTAAATTCCTTCCTAAATATTTTTGTGAAAATGATTTGTATTTTAAAAACACATTGAAAAAATGTTGGTTTGATGGTAGTTTTCAAAATGTCATTTCACGAAATTTATGATCGATTTAGATTATCAAACAAACATGAAACATTAAAGTGTAAAAGTCTGACACTAAAGATAAACTTAACTCTGTGAGATATTTTCGTACTGATAAAAAAATAATGAGAGAATCCCATCAAATTTTATGAATTTCGAAAAAATGTGTTTAATTTCAATATTTCATAGTGTACACAATGTTTTTCTTAATAAACTATATACAGTGTTAATGTCGGAAAACGAATTGTAATATTTTAATTATATTGGATAATTGTTTACACTTTTTAGAAAGACTTTCAGAAATTTTTCAAGTTTGGAAGTGTTTTTCATTTTATTACCTCCCTTGAATTTATTTGTTTGTGAAGAAAAGGACATGGACCATATTTCGATTTCGTGGCTCGTTCGTGCTAATTAAAAACTATAGCCAATGCGGCTACCGCTCGTGGCCTCGAAATTAGGGTTCGTTAGTCTTTAAACAATTTCAATTAGCCTCCTTTGTTTTATCTCCCTCTCTCTCGTCCCTCTCAAAATCACCCACCGCCAATGAAGCGACGGCGTGTATCCAGAGTAAAATTCCACGAACCCGACCAATCAGCGTCGACCACGGCGACGGATTTCTCATTCTCTCTCACCAGAGTGGCCGTCAGTCAAATTTGCCTCTCTGTTGGCTACAGATCCACCTCTTCCTCAGCCCTCGACACTCTAACCCTAATCACCACCCAGTTTCTGCAATCCCTCGCCGGTCTCGCCGCGTCGTTCTCAAACACCGCTAATCGCACAGAGGCTAATCTCTTCGACATCGTCAATGGTCTCCAAGATATCTCCTTATCTACTTCCGATTGTTTTCCCGGTGGCTCAACGCTGCACGACACAGACGCGCACTGCTTGATCAAATCCGCTGTCATCCGGAACCTCTCCGATTTCGTCAGTTACGCTTCCGAGATCCCTTTCGCGAAGCCGTTACCGAGACGGGAAATCAATGGATCGTCGGGAGGAGACTTGATACGTATGCTCCGATCGCCGGAGATTAAATCCATTCCAGCTTGGCTTCCACCTTTCCCGGATTCCAGCCTCTACCTCGAGCACTGTACAAAGGAGAAATCCGATCACCTGTGGGAAAACTCCGATTCCGTAATTGGCCGTGAAACTCTGCAGGAGAATTCGAAATCGGAGAGTGCTAGAGGTAGAAGAGGTGGAAGATTGACGCAGAATAGAGCGAAAGTGAGATTCAAGGTGGAACGAAATCAGAGCAATGGCGGTGGTTCTCGTACATTAGATCGGTGGGATAATAAGGAAGGCGAATTTGGCCGTGAGCTTATGGTTAAGATGAAAATGAGAGACGAATACATCTACAGTGGCGAGTGGTCGATTTTTCAGTGAACGGGGAAAAAACATAGTTGGGAGGTTTTAGTTTGGATTCGAACCCGCGACGCTTCTGAGTATTGGTGCACATGGCCAACTCGTATATACCGCAAGAGCTGGATCTCTGAAAGTATCAGTTCACCGATTGTTGTTTCATAAACCATATAATATCAAAATTTATTTTCTTTCAAAATGTTACACTATTATAAAGAAAAGGATCTTGAACTTCTCTGTTTTAACCTTCACTCTGTAGTCAATGTTAACTTTGGTTAGTCATTGCACAATCACAGAAGCAGTTTGTTCTTCAACTTAAACATTGAAACACTTATTATGGATAGTTGTTTCTCAAGTAATTGGACTTTCTTATGTCTAATCAAATGGCAAAAAAGGATCATATTCGTTGGCTGTACCAACAAATATATTAATTTGGTGGATTAAAAACAAAATACAGTACAGTATAAAAACAGAAATGTCATGTGTTTGTTTGCTTTTCACCAAATTTATGTACTTATTTAAATGACTTTAAGCTACTTGACGGCTCTAGTGTGGCTTGGATAGACACATTTTAATACTTTATGCAGTCTTTTTCCTAACACTATTTTACTAAAGATCGAAATTAAGATCAACCGTCGATGCATCAGAGAAACAATACAACACGTACACGTGGCGCTCCACTTGACCATCGAGTTTCTTAGGCACAGGTGTTTATACCCCACCGTAATGATTCATATAAATACAAAACAAGTCATCTTCCTTCTCAAAATTTACTGAATAGCCACTGTTTTCGAGTTTATTACTTCTACGATCTCAGTGGTCTCCGATTCTCCGGCGGGCGGCGGTGATTCTCCTGATTGACTGAGCTGATTATCAGTGGCATCGGTATGATTGTTCCTTTTGCTTTTTTTTTCCCTTTGCATTTCAAGTTAGTAATCCACTGGTTTTGACTTAAATCTGAAAATTTCTACAGAATATGCCGGTGGCTTCTCTGGCTAAGGTTTCTGTTTCTCCTGCCGCGGCGGGAGATTTCACGGCTCGCGCTCCGTGCATTTACGGGAAACGGCTCGTGTCGAATCGCGTTTCCTTCGGAAAATCGAGACGCCGGAGTTGTATAGGCCATTGCGTAAGAAGCGAATTGCAGACTTCCCGTGTCGTCGGTTCCGTCACAGGTTTGAAATTCCTGACGCTGGATTTTTGTTATCTCATCTGGAAAAATTTGTTGATTTGGTTTTACACTTTCTTCCGAAAACTCAAATAGATTTATCGTTGGATGATAATTCCGTGGAGAATGGTCACCTTCCAAAGGGAGATTCCTGGGCTGTGCACAAATTTGGAGGAACTTGTGTTGGAAACTCCGAGAGGTTAAAAGATGTTGCCGATGTTGTAGTCAAGGATGACTCTGAGAGGAAGTTGGTGGTTGTCTCAGCAATGGCTAAGGTCACCGATATGATGTATGATCTCATTCACAGAGCACAGTCTCGGGATGACTCATACCTCTCTGCTTTGGATGCTGTTCTTGAGAAGCACCGAGCAACGGCTCTTGACTTGCTTGATGGAGACGAACTAGCAAAGTTCTTGTCTCGGTTAAATGAGGATATAAACAATCTCAAAGCAATGCTTCGTGCCATTTACATAGGTACTGCTTTTGTTTTCCCTTTGTCAAATGGTGATTGTATATTGTGTAAAGTGATTGAATTGAAAAGTTGTGTGTGAACTCTTCTACCTTTTCGCAGCTGGTCATGCAACGGAATCTTTCTCAGACTTCGTTGTGGGTCATGGAGAGTTGTGGTCTGCTCAGATGTTAGCTGCTGTTGTGAGAAAGGTATGAAGAAATTATATGGATAAAACTGTTCTTTTCATTTTATCTTTCTCAATTTGTTTTGCTTATTAGAGTGGATTGGACTGCACATGGATGGATGCAAGGGACGTGCTTGTTGTGATTCCTACGGGCTCTAATCAAGTCGATCCTGACTTTGTGGAATCAGAAAAGAGACTGGAGAAATGGTTTTCGCAGAACTCGACAAAGATTATTGTGGCGACTGGATTCATAGCGAGTACACCGCAGAACATTCCAACGACTCTCAAAAGAGATGGGAGTGACTTCTCTGCAGCTATAATGGGTGCTCTGTTTAGATCTCACCAACTCACAATCTGGACAGATGTGGACGGCGTGTACAGTGCAGATCCAAGAAAAGGTATGTGGAAGCATTGCAATTTGCAAGAAAAGGTATGTGTTCATCAGTTTCTTTTTTATTGTTATGCTAACGAATATGGTTATATGCAGTTAGTGAAGCTGTTATACTGAAGACTCTTTCTTATCAAGAGGCTTGGGAAATGGTAAATTTGCAACCTCTTACACTTGCTTTGATGCCTAATTTTCCATAATCATTGTGTATACAGTAATGTTCGTGTTCATGTGCTTGTGCAGTCTTATTTTGGGGCAAACGTTTTACATCCGCGGACCATCATTCCAGTGATGAAATATGACATCCCAATTGTGATAAGGAATATTTTCAACCTCTCTGCCCCTGGAACAATGATATGTCGGCAGATTGAAGATGAAGATGGATACAAATTAGATGCTCCTGTCAAAGGGTTTGCGACGATTGACAATCTGGCTCTTGTTAATGTAGAAGGGTAAGCTGAAATGTTGGTATTGTGTTACTCATTCGGTGCTTATTCTGTTTCTTATCCAAACTTTGCATTCTCTTTGCAGAACTGGAATGGCTGGAGTTCCTGGAACTGCCAGTGACATCTTTTCAGCTGTCAAGGAAGTTGGAGCTAATGTTATTATGATCTCACAGGTCTTTGGATCATTCAGTTCAGCTTTCTGGTTTCTTCCGTCGATTATATTTTTCTTTGTCGATTGTGGGTTCTTAATATATTACCTAAATGCAGGCTAGTAGTGAGCATTCTGTGTGCTTTGCTGTACCTGAGAAGGAAGTTAAAGCCGTTTCTGAAGCATTGAACTCACGCTTTCGTCAAGCTTTAACTGGTGGACGCCTTTCCCAGGTGCCCATAAATCTGTTTGTGTTCTTTGAAAGAATATCAACTAGCAATTCCCTTAACTTCCATTGTAGACGCGCACATGTCCACCACCCATCTTGAAAACCGCAAGAATCTTGTTTATGCATGGGCATTTTGCTAAACCTAAGGTTTTATTGCTCTTTTTCCAGATTGAAGTCATTCCTAACTGTAGCATATTAGCAGCAGTTGGCCAGAAAATGGCAAGCACTCCTGGCGTTTCTGCCACTTTCTTCAATGCGTTGGCAAAGGTAAATTAAGTGTAGTATTTGCAAAGAAAAAACTGGACGGCGGTTCTGCTAAGAAGCTCTGTTGATACATTGCCTTGTCGTAATACCTGCAGGCCAATATTAACATCCGTGCTATAGCTCAAGGCTGCTCCGAGTACAATATTACAGTAGTCATCAAGCGTGAAGATTGCATCAGGGCGTTAAGAGCAGTGCACTCAAGATTTTATCTTTCGAGAACCACTTTGGCAGTGGGAATCATAGGACCGGGTTTAATTGGTGGAACCTTACTAGATCAGATCAAAGATCAGGTGAGTAGCTGATGTGCATCTGTGAGACTATACTACTATAGTGACATAAGGATCAAGGTTCAAGCTGACTCATCTTTAAATTTCTTTTCACAGGCTGCAGTGCTAAAAGAAGAGTTTAAAATTGACTTGCGTGTTATAGGGATCACTGGCTCAAGTAAAATGTTGCTGAGTGAATCGTAAGTCGTTGAACTTGGTAAAGTACTTTGTTGGTGAACTGCACTGCTCTTCCTTTCCTTACACATTTGTTGTAATTTAGGGGAATCGACTTATCGAGATGGAGAGAACTTATGAAAGAAGAGGGAGAGACGGCTAACATGGAGAAATTCACTCAATATGTAAAGGGAAACCACTTCATTCCAAACTCTGTTATGGTTGATTGTACAGCTGATGCTGATATCGCAAGCTGTTACTACGACTGGTTGCTGCGAGGACTTCACGTGGTCACCCCGAACAAAAAGGCTAACTCAGGACCACTTGAGCAGGTAAAGTGTTTGATAGTTGCTTAAAATGACTATTGAGTAGGAAGCTTCAAATCTGCTCTTGTTGACTATATATCTCTATGAACAGAGAGACTAAACTAGTAACACTCTCCCCTGTGAATGCAGTATCTTAAGATCAGAGATCTTCAAAGGAAATCGTACACACATTACTTCTATGAAGCAACCGTTGGAGCTGGTCTTCCAATCATCAGCACTCTACGTGGTCTTCTCGAAACAGGGGATAAAATACTGAGGATTGAGGGTATTTTCAGGTATGTTCGGTTTAGCTTGGTATCACAGCAATTGATTTAGATAACAACACAAGAACGGGATGGCTTTGTCCGTCATTGTACCTGCACACTAATCTTTGTTCTTTGATTCCTTGCTGCAGTGGTACTCTAAGTTACCTTTTCAACAATTTCGTCGGCACCAGAAGCTTCAGCGAAGTTGTATCAGAAGCAAAGCAGGCAGGTTTCACAGAGCCAGATCCACGAGATGATCTGTCTGGAACAGATGTTGCCAGAAAAGTATTGTTTCTTTCTTGTCCTCAAAATCGAGTCAATGCACCTTGTGTTTTGAGACTAATTGAATAATATAGAACCTTCTCGTATCTGATTCTTCTGCAGGTGACAATTCTTGCGAGAGAGTCAGGATTAAAACTGGATCTTGAAAGCCTTCCTGTCCAGAGTCTTGTGCCAAAGCCTCTACAAGTAAGTCTCTGTATAGCCACACAATAAAGATCATCCTTTTGACATTTGAGTAAAATCTAATTCATTGTTTGATCACAGGCGTGTGCATCAGCAGAAGAGTTCATGGAGAAGCTACCTCAGTTTGATGAAGAATTGTCCAAACAAAGACAAGAAGCTGAAGCAGCTGGAGAAGTAAGTAGTGCCTCTCATTAACAAAAACTCCATTTACAAAAACACCAAAATGCACTCATTTCGGGATTGTCTTGTGTTTTAGGTCTTGAGATACGTAGGAGTTGTAGACGCGGTAGCGAAAAAGGGAACGGTCGAGCTGAAACGGTACAAGAAAGATCATCCGTTTGCTCAGCTCTCAGGCGCCGATAACATCATCGCTTTCACGACCAAACGGTACAAAGAACAGCCTCTGATTGTTCGTGGACCTGGCGCTGGTGCTCAAGTCACAGCCGGTGGAATATTCAGCGACATTCTTCGCCTCGCATTCTATCTCGGCGCTCCTTCTTAAAGGCACACAATCTTTTCTTCTAGTGAACAAATCCAATCATCAATCAAACCGTGTTTTTTCTACACTCTAGAATTTTGTAATCTGTGGAATTTCGTAGATTTTGATTCTTATAGATGAAAATTAAAACTTCATAGTAATAAAAACATCCTAGGAAACAAATGAATAAGGGGCTCTTGGTTTGTTTTTATACATCACAAGCATCTGGTGGCTCAAAATTTTCATCTCTTCCATATGATTCCGACACAACCGTAACAAAAATTTAGCTTCAGAAACATTTGTCAATCTCTATACTTTGGGCGAAACTTGTTCTACAGCCTGAAGTTAAGACTCTATGAACTAAGTTGAAACACTTTGTTTTGACTTCAGGTCATTTGTGGAGGATCTAGTAATACTCGTCAGGGTCTTCTCTGCTTTGAATGAGAGGAACACCGTCTTCTCTCCATTTAATCCGGTCTTCGCAAATCGCAGCCACAACTTCCACATAGAGTTTGTGTTCCTGATCCCAAAATGGACAATGAAACCTTCTGTGAATTGTGAAATTACAATGCTCAAAAGTATTCTTTATTCTTTAAGTAGTAGTAGTAACCTCATGAAGAACCCTTTTAGCCAAATCCTCTGGTGTATCATTAACAATCACGCGCACCGCGCTCTGAGCAAGTATCCGTCCTGTGTCGTACTCCTCATCGACAAAGTGAATCGTCGGACCTGAATACCTACACAGAAGCTAAACCGTTGGAACATTCCCGACGACCACAACATCCGTAAACATTGTATAAAGCTTGCAGACTTTTTTTTACCTAGCTCCTGATGCTAGAACAGCTCTATGCACTCTCATACCGTAAAGCCCTTTACCTCCAAAAGCCGGAAGAAGCGCAGGATGGATATTTAGAATCCGTTTAGGAAATGCTTGTACCAGCTCGACAGGTATAAGTTTCAAATATCCAGCTAGAAGAACAAAGTCTACACCATATTTCCTGCTTCACTAAGCAAAATGTTTAAGAGTTTTTTTCAAAGACAAAGACTCAAATGAAAAAATGGAGAGAGGGTAATGACCTAATAACATCAACGAGCTCTTTAGGAGAGAGTCCATCATCAGATTGCGCTTTTGGGAATACTAAAACAGGAATGCCATTGCTTCTTGCATATTCAGCACCTCCACAATCTGGATTTGATGAATATGAATAAAAAGTGTTGATAGCGTTCCGAAATCAAATGCACATTACACAAAGAGTCCTATTCAAATTCCCTTTTTAAAATCAATTCGAAAATTAGACTTTTCAATCAAAGAAGAAGAAAGGCCAAACCTTTTTTGTTAGTGACCAACAAGACAACATCCCCTTTAATTGAATCGCCACTGCATCCTTGATGAATCTTCTTGAAATTCGAGCCACCACCCGAGACAAAAACAGCGAGCTTCTTCCTCCTTATTGCTTCGTCTCTCGAACCGTCGACCTCCGCTGCCGTTGGAGGAAACGAAGCAGCTCTTACAAGCGGACGGATCCTCATCGAGAATCGGTTTACAGGACTTCGGAAGGAGAAGGAGAGTGAATTCTGGGGAGGAGTCAACGGAGCAATCGAGGCTTCACGCGGCGGATTCGCCGGGAAGGTTAATTGACTCGAGAACAGAACCCGTGAAGCCATTGTTAAGAAAACCGAAGACCGACGGTGTTGTAATCGGCGGAGAGTCGGAGGTTTTTGTCGGAACAAAGTGACTGTTCCTCGGAAACTGGTCTCACTGATTTTGATTTTTAAAGTTGTCATTTCAGAAAGTGCATAGAACACCGTGCCGTTTAAGTCTGGTTTTAACTTACTGCATGCCGTTTGTCGTATAAAAGAACAGCGCTCAGTGTGAAAAAAATACAATCATCGGGAAAGAAATAAAAAAAAGATACCAAAATGGCAAAATGGCAATATATTCTTCGACCAAACCTATTTTACTTTCTCAGCCGCTTTCGCTTAGGTCTTAAGTTCTTAACATATCTCTCTCTGCGTCTCCGTCCCATCATGGATTCCATCCCTAGTGATCTCATTAACGAGATATTCTCGAGACTACCTGCAAAGTCAATCGCGAGGTTCCATTGCTTGTCGAAGCTATGGTGTGCCATGTTTTACAGTCCCTATTTCACCGAGTTGTTCCTGACTAGGTCATCGGCTCGTCCACGTCTCTTATTCGCCGTCGAAGGAAAAGATGCGTGGAGATTCTTCTCGTTGCCTCAGCCTCATAATTCATATAAGAACTCGCCGTCTCTTGAAGTAGCCTCTAAAATGGCGTCCTCTAGTTACAGAGGAATTTTAAGGGGCTATGCCTCTGGTTTGATATGTTTCCGTAAGACACAAGGAGATGAGGATACAGTAGTATGTAACCCTATCACAGGACAACATGCCATCTTACCTAGAGTGAGAAAGGTCTCTTCCTCGAGACCCTTGCTAGGGTTTGATCCGATTGACAAGCAATACAAGGTACTGTCCATTGAAAGGGGTGGTCGTTATAGAATTATGACATTGGAAACTGGAAATATGAGTTGGAGGAAGATCCAATATCCTGCAAAACATAATATTTTGAGAGAAGGGATATGCATCAATGGGGTTTTGTATTACTTAGCGTACACTTATGATGATACTTCTTCTGTGAAGATAGTTTGCTTTGATGTAAGGTCAGAGAAATTCAAGGTTATTGACACATGCGTTTATGAGTGGCCTAGAAGATTGATAAATATCAACTACAAGGGTAAATTTGGTTGGACTGATTTGGAGTATGATTCGGCTAAGGAGGCTTATAAGTTGTATATGTGGGTTCTAGAGGATGTGGAGAAACAGGAAATTTCGAAATACGTCTACACTTTTCCGGATGACATTAAAGTTAAGCGCTGTCTTATGGTCGTTGGAGCGACTGCTACGGGTGAAATTGTTTTGTCGTCGACGTACCGTACATATAAGCCCTTTTATGTGCTCTACTTCAATCCCAAAAGGAACACTTTGCAAACTGTTGAAATCCAAGGTTTTGGTCTGAGTAATAGTAGAGTTTACGTCTTTGTAGACCATGTAGAGGATCTTAATCTTAATGATGCAACGCTACTCTCAAGTCAGGCATCTATGCTCCATCTATGAAGAACAAGCCAAAACCACAGCATCAGGAGTATGGTGCTGGTATGAATAGGGAGAAGAAACGTAGGGAGAGAAATGAATGAGACAGTAGGGACGATGAAGACACAAGATGAAAAAGAAGAGGGAGCGAAGAGGTGAAGATAGAGAGAGTAGTGTGGAGTGTGGAAGAAAGAGAGACGGTCATTGGAGTGATAAGGGGAGGAGAAGAGAAAGAGACAATGAGATAAGGAATAGGTGAAAACAATGTGCCCTTATCTATGCGTTAATGTTGTTCTTTAGTTAATAGACTTTAGCACCACCAAAAGGTTTTCTTGCCGTGTACGTCAGAGATAAACTGTGCCAAACTCTTACTTGAACGAGCCTTTTGTCGATAACGAGTTTTGATTTAAAGCCGATAAAGAGTTTTGATTTAATCTGTCAGTTTGACGTTCACTTGTCCTGATTCCTCAAGATACTTTTGTCGCATCTGAAGATTTTTTTCTCTTGAACATTGTTTACATATGAGATTTTTTTTTTCATGATCTTTACTTAAAATTAGAGCTGTCAAAGTGGACATCGGCCCATGGGCGAGCTCATGTCCATATAAAAATGGACGGACATGGACAAACCCATTTTCAATATGGACATAATTTGGGCATGTCCAATTTAGCCCATGGACAAATATGGACGGACACGTGTGGACATGGGCTGTCCAATGGACATAAATATCTAGGTCAAATTGATTTGAGAAAAAATCATTTTTCATAATCTGGGTTAAGCTTGGGTTTTCGGTAGGCCTGTCAATTTCAGACCCGAACTGCGGGTCCCGCCCCGATTGACCCGCGGTTTATAAGTTGTATATGTGGGTTCTAGAGGATGTGGAGAAACAGGAAATTTCGAAATACGTCTACACTTTTCCGGATGACATTAAAGTTAAGGGCTGCCTTATGGTCGTTGGAGCGACTGCTACGGGTGAAATTGTTTTGTCGTCGACGTACTATACATCTAAGCCCTTTTATGTTCTCTTCTTCAATCCCGAAAGGAACACTTTCCAAACTGCTGAAATACAAGGTTTTGGTAAGAATTATGGTAAACTAGTTAAAGTCTTTGTAGACCATGTAGAGGATCTTAATGTTAATGATGCAAAGCTACTCTCTAGTCAGGCATCTATGCTCCATCTGTGAAGAAGAAGCCAAAACCAATCATCAGGAATAGGTAAGAGAAAGGGACAGAGATAGGTATGATGATGGTGTTAGTAGGGAGAGAAATGAAAGAGACAGTAGGGAAGATGAAGACACAAGATGAAAGAGGTGAGATATAGAGAGAGGCGTGTGGAGAGTAGGAGAAATAGAGACGATCACTTTGAGTGATAAAGAGTATAAGGGCAGGAAAAGAAGAGAGAGAGAGAGAGAGAGAATGTTGAAAGTAATGTGCCCTTATCTATTCGTTAATGTTGTTCTTTAGTTATTGACGTTGGGAATCAAATTAATATATTGATGCTATTTTCTAATTTCTACCATTGTGCATAATATCATCGAGAAGAGGTCATACATTTCGTGACCTCTGCAAAAAAAAAAAAAAAAAAAAAAAAAAAAAAAAGAGAAACTTAAGCACCAACAAAAGGTGTTCTTGCAGTGCACGTCATATATTCACTGTTCTTTAGTTATTGAAGACCTGGAAAACCAAACAAACCAATGTGCTGAACAGATAAAACTCTGTTTTGATCAATGTTTTTCTCAAACGTTTACAAAAAAATCATCTTTCTCTTTACACACAAAAATAAAACATGAGCATCATTCTCCTATCATCATTACAAAGATCTTATAACATGTGGTAGGTGTGGCTTTGATATCTCTGCAAATTCTCATAGCAGCTGCGTTGTTGTTTTCGTGTTTAGGAACACTTGTGATGATTTCATCTGCTCATATTGCTCCCTCGGCTTTTGTTAAATGGGCATGATTTTGAGATTTCGTTTGCTTTGTGTTTGTTCTTGCTTTTGGTGTGATGTCTTCATGCTTTCACGAGTGATTTTTTTTTGTGTTACTTATACCAAAAACACTTCTATATAGTTGATCATAGAATTCTGACACTAGAAAATTGGGTGGAGGAAGATCCAGTGTCCCTTAAACCGTAGGCCTTTGTGTGAAGGGGTATGCATTAATGGGTTTTTGTATTACTTAGCGTCTGATGAAAAACATAAGTGTGTGATAGTTTGCTTTGATGTCAAGTTTGAGAAATTCAAGTTTATAGATGCAAAATGTTTTTGTGGTTTATAGGGTAAAATAGGTTTGATTAGTTGGAAGGATGTTGGCGATGGCAGTAACCTTGAAGACAGAAGAAGAAGCCGCGAAGAGATGAGAGACAGAGAGAGGCGTGTGAAGAGTGGAAGAGATAGAGAAGGTCATTGGAGTGATAAGGGGAGAAGAAGAGAAAGAGACAGTGAGAGAAGGCGATAGGTAAAAGCAATGTGCTCTTGTCTATGCGTTTATGTTCTTTAGTTATAGACAAAACTTTTGCAGAGATTGGATCAGAACCAGTCAGTATACTCGACGAAATCTCGGTTAGCCCCACGTCGTTTAATCAAGATACCAAGCTTCAAGACCGGTTTGTTGATACATGAAGCCTTTTGTTCAAGAAGTGTAACAGATATGATCATCTTCAATGTTCATAGTCCCAAACAAAAATCTTCTACACCTCAAATTCCGTCAATTTCAGTTCTTAGAAACGCTTTAGATCATAATAATGTAACTGAACATTTCAAGACAAAGTCTCTAAAGTTCTGTGTGATAATCTTCCGGCTTAAACCACAAGGAGAAATCAATTCCTTTCGTCTTCAAATCCTCAGTAGCCGGTGCAATTATATCCAGAAGCTACACAAAGGTTAAACTATAAAATCTCAAACTCAATCTTTAATCATAATCTAACAGATTCAAAAGCATTTAACAGTTTATGAAACCTTGGAATGAAGAACACCGTTGGACACCAAAACAGATCTATCAAACACAGAGAACTTCCCTCCATCCATTCGAGTCACAGCTCCTCCAGCTTCCTCTACAATCTGCGTTCAAAATCCAAGACATAATTCAAGCTCTACAACATACGTAGTTTACTAAGAAGAAGAATCAAGAAGCTTACAAGAACACCAGCAGCCATGTCCCATGGCTTCAAACGGTACTCCCAATACGACTCCGCAATCCCAAGCGCAACGTGACACATGTCCACTGCCGCAGCACCGAGCCTTCGCACTCCTCTGCTCACATCAGTGAACTCTTTGAACAGTTCCATGTTTGTACTCCACGCTTCATCATGTTCATACCCAAACCCTGTGATCAGAAGTGCTCTCTCCACCTACACAATTCATCCCCTGAAGAGATGAATTAAAAGAATACCAAAAACAGTCAGAATTCAAGATCATTTTAACTTACAGCATCTGTGTTACTGACATGAATCTTTTGCCCGTTACACAATGCTCCACCACCTAAAGAAGTGAGAGCTAGTTACACAAATCTTGAATACAGATCAAGAACTAGACTGTGATCATGATAAGCTTGAATACATTGTACCTGCAGTTGCAGAGAAGGTTCTAGTGTTCCAGCACATGGGACCACCCACAAACTCTACCTACATTATGAACATTTGTGTTACTTATCCTATTAACCAAAGAACCAGTAAAGCATATCTGTATATTGGATCTAACCACAGAAGCAGCGGCAGGGTTTCCACGATACAGAACACCAACAGAAACAGCAAAACTCGGATATCCATGAGCAAAATTTGTTGTTCCATCTATGCATTTAAAAAGGAAGAGTTTATTATTACTATATGCATCTCTAAAGCAAAGACATACACATGAAGAGTAAAGAGAGCTAAGAACCTAGTGGATCGATGCACCAGAGGTAATCAGAAGAGGTATCGCCGATAATACCTCCTTCCTCACCAAGAATAAGATGATCACTGAAACTCTTTTTCACTACTTCCAAAATAGCAGCCTCACTTGCTTTATCAGTACTGCAAAATTCAGCAGATACAAACACTTTCAATGCTTTAAGCTATCAAATGTTCATGAAACACTTCAGTCAACTATGTTAAGAGCTTTAAGAAGGTGAAGTACTTACTCAGTTACCAAATCACTGAGGCCTTTATAAGTGATATTCCTTGGCTTATTCACAGCTTCCATGACGACCTACGAAACCAAATCATCCAAAACCAGAAAAAAAAGGTGAAATTAATCAATTCAAGTTTGGATTTTTATTCTTCTCTATGAACCAAGAACTCGATTTTAGTAAACATTCAGCACAATTTCGCTTTGAATTAAAAGTTTATGTTCAGATTAATCCTCAAAAGAGCAAAACTTCTGATATTGTAATGTAAAGACATGAAATTGGAACCTCGGCGCCGGTTTTAGCTGCGGCTTCGACGACTTGAAGGAGCTCTGCCGGCGATACAGTCCCGGTGGTTTTAGCGCCGATTCTGGGATAATCGGAAACTTCAGATAAGACAGCTTTTGTTCGGAGTCTCGCCGTGGAATTGAAGCTGTTAGACGAAATCCTCGAACACCCATTTCGGAAATCTCTGGTTACTGTCCGGCATGAAAATGGGTTCTTCAGCTGAAGAGACGATCTGGGCAAGTGAGATATTCTCACTGACATGTTTCCCGAGAAAATCAAAGACCTTCCCATTTTCTTCCTTTCGATGTCGCCGGAGAGAATTTTCTCAGTTACCCGAAATCGAATTCTTATTATTTTTTGTTGACAATTTTGGTTTTTAGCAGTTATCGAGTGAGTGGACAGACGAGATAACCATTTTTATAAAATAATATCTGAAAAATTTACAAACAATGTTTGGGTAATTTATTATTTGTAGTGTAAATTACAAAATACAATCCTTCTTCTTCATCATCTTCTTCTAGAGAACAAAAATGTCTCCGTGGATGATAATTCGTTGATTAACGCTGCTCGTATTGTCGCTGATGACGAGAAAGACAGAGAGAAAGTGAGAACTGAGCCTCCTCGCACTGTTTGCGCTTAAGGCTAGTTCCGCCGCTGGAGCAAAACGACCTCACCACCTCGAATTCCTCCGGACAAGCCTCCGCCACAAAGCACTCCGCTAAAGCTTTGTTCAAATGTCTGCAACCGGATCTCCGTGCCGGTTCCGGCATACGACGATGGCACTGCAGCAGCGCTTCCTGCAACCGATCGCAAGATCTCATCGGCATCCCTGAATTTTTCCCGGCGAATCCGTCTGATGATCGATCTCACATGTCGTCTTTCTTTGATGAGCCAATTGTTTATTATTAGTTGGGTTTGGGCTTTTGTGTTCTTAGCCCATTTGGTAAATAGAGCCCACTTATATATCACACACCAAAAAAGTACATATTGTTTAACACACGTTTCAGAAAATTGTATGGTGGTTTAAGTTTCTAAACTCTCTGATATTTTCAGTAATCTTCTCCTGAAAATAATCTTTCGGAATATCTAAAATCCTCCAAAAAGTGATACTCTTGGTTCCTGTAATTCATTTTAAAGTCAATTACGTGTGGTTGTTATACGACTTATTAATCAAACATAAAAAGGTGAAAAGGTTTGTGACATTTTAGTATTTGTCAAAGTTCCTAAAGAGAAGTGGTTACCGATATGACTTCTTGCTATTGCTTGGACCAACTAATCATATTAGTATTTGCAAATCAATTTTCGTGAATGGAGCCACCACGTTAACTCTCAGCCGGAATTACCAAGATGCCCTTAATGAAAATCTATTATTAAATCTTCTGAATTTCCTTTTTTAATTATTTCACAATTTCGTTTTTTATATAAAAGTTCATTATTTCCTTATTAATTTCCTTATTAAATATTGATAATTATCCTTTTTTTTTTCCTCGATTTATATTTATCACTTAAATAAATATCCTAACTATCATATTACCGCACCACTTTTCTGGAAGAAATCAAATAATTAGGTATTTTAAAAAAACTCTAGATTTTACAACCGACTTAGTCCTATTTAACAAGCAAAATAAACAGAATTTCGTTTCTTCTTTTTCGTGTTCTAAATTCTTCGATTCCATATTTCATCTTTTGTCATGTAGGTTTATAGTTATTGCTAGATCTTAGTTGTATTAGATCTAATGTTTAACTGATTATTCGTTATTTTCTGGAAATTTTATTCAAAGAATCGCATCTAACTTCTACTTCTTTTACCTTTATAACAGTAAATTCCAGGTTTGTTAGCTAATTGAGTCAAAGAAATCAACTATGGTACCAACTCAAAAAAAATGCATTGACAAAAATTAGTGGTATGTACATCTTTCGTTTTTATTTTCAACTTAAATCTTATGAAACCCTAATTTGAATAAACTTATCTAAAAAGATTTTGTAAAATGTGGGTTTAGGTGTGCGGATTGGGGGGGAGGGGGTTGTTATTTGGTAGTGGTGTTACAATGTGGGGTTTGGGTTATTTAGGGGGTGGTGTTACACTGTGGGTTTGGGTTTAGGGTGTAGGGTTTATATTGATGGGGTAGGGTTTAGTTTTTGGTGTATTTTAAAAAAACTTGAATTATTACAGAAGAATTTCATAATAAAAAAATCATTTATTTGAAATTTATATCTACTTTCAAAATTACATTCACAAATAGAAAAAAAAACTAAAACAACTAAAGAAAATCCAGAATTGAAAGATAACAAAACTAATAAATTTTTAAAAGACCTCAACTATATAAAGATAGAATCTATTTCAAAAATATTGAAAATTTTAACTATCGAAATGAATTGGTAGGTGATATGCAAGACACAAACAAGACATAATAGATACATAAGTAAAAGAAAAGAAAACAGTGAAAAAGAAGATGAAAAATTTAGAAAAGAAAAAGAAAAGTCGAACATGAGGAAAAAGAAAGGAAAGAAGAAATAATGGAATGTGAAGAAAATTCCAAAACAAATGAAGAATATTACGTAGAAGAACAAGAAAGAGAAGATAAAAATAAGACACCTCAAGATTACAAAAATAAGAAGTTTGCGAAAACAAAAACGATGAATACAATAAAAAGTTGTACTACTTATATTATTTAAATCTTTAATTAATAATTGTATTTAAAAAATATTGTACCCGCACAAGGTGCGGGACAACCATCTTGTTTAAGCTGTATTACTAAATGAATGGTCTCCTTATGGTTAGTCTATTGTGTTTGGTTTTCAACTAATTAATTGCCATATGATATTCTCACATTTCTTGCCGTTTATTTGTCGAAATGTGTCTGTCTTTTTGCAAGGATGACTTTATTTAACATGTTAGTAATCAGTTCTCTCATACATTTTGGTTTTTGTCACACGGTTCTCATACATCTATAATTGTCATTTTGCATAAATTGCAAGTAGGTATGTCCAAAATTGTTTCGCGATCAAAACCTGAGCTCCACAAGTTTATATATATCATCTCTCAAACCCTATTTGTTACATCTTCCAAAGATATTTTAATTTGGTCTATCTCTTGCTTTAACCTCAAACCCATTGTATATATTGACCACTTAGTTTAAAGTGTGTTTCTATTAAACTAGTAATTATTGTTTCTACAAACCACCAAGTCGTTACAAATGAACATAATAAACTAGAAACCAAATACGAATTTAAATTACATTCTTGAGATGAAAGTCTGAGGAAGAATAATCTCTATGATCCAAAATACAATCCATCATGAGTCCTCCAAATTAAAGATCTTCTAAACAAATATTGGATTTGCTAATGGATCTGTGTCGATCATCGGTTATGTATGGCACAATTGATACTATAGAAGCTTTGAGCCATAGTCAATCGCACATATGATAGTGTAGACGTTGATTTGGTCCAGCATTTTAAACAACGATCTGCCAAAAAAAAATAAAAATAGTAACAAAATGCAAGATTGTTCTTAGGTGTATCTCAAAGATTATAAAACCCGACTTTATCCCAAAAAAGGTTTCAAACTTTTGCATTCAAACAAGTTTGTACTATTATTAGCTGTCGTTGCATAGCAAGCACAATAAGATCCCGTGTTGAAAACCTTATATAGTTTGAAAAACATCCACTAAACATGCAAAGCCAAACAAAAAAGAACATGAAAAGCCAAACAATCATCAATACGTATTAGTATGTACAATAAACACTTAATTGGCCGTTGATGATTAAACCATATACTTCCACTTATATTTTTACTGACAATTTTTTTCTTAAGTCTGAAATAAGACAAAGTGTTACTAATATGGATAATTGTGCATATTGTCACTAAGCTAATACATATGCTAACTAATATGTTAATTTGCCTAGACTTTGTCTAGATCCTAAACTTTCTTTTATTGTCACCAGATATTGTATATAACTATAAATTATAAACCTTTAGCGTAGGTCTAGGCAACGAAACACATAGGCACATGCAAACGCGTTCCTACCAACAAACATGAGCTTGTGGATATGTCTCTGTTTGCGCCATTGTATGTATGTGATATCTAAGTAGCCACATATTTCAGAGAATGAAGATGTGACAATACGTACTAACAAGTAAATAGTTGGATTTACGAGGAAGTTAAAATGTATAAGTAAATGTATTGTTACCTCGAATGATGACAGAAGGAGTCATAAAAGACAACGGATATTGGCTTTTCTAATAAAAACACAAGTTCATCGTTTTGCCATTGTTGGTGATTGAGTGAGTGAAGCTGCAGGATGGTCTGGTACTACTATCTATACACTAATACACACACACACTGTCACACGTACACACACACACACACGAACAAATAGAAACTAATCAATATTTTTAAAATTGTCATTTCTAACGGATTCAAATTGGTATTTAAACTATACCATACACAAACTCAATGCATGCATGTAGACACAAGCATGAATCCATGTATATAATGAAAAAGAGGTTCTAAAAAATCAAGCGACTTATTTTTGTGGGCAAAAAGAACTTTGATATGTGTGTGTGTGTGTGTGTGTGTGCATAATTATGTGTATAGAGATGCGTGTATGTCGTATGTAACGAATAGTGATTATCAGATCATGCTGGCAGCTTCAGCCTCTCAAAACCAACATAGAAGTAGATCTTAGAGCCCTATAATTGAAACTGATTGAAGCAAGGAGGCTGAGAAGGGAAATTGCTCTCTTTTGAAGTTTAGTTATCAAGATTTGGCTTTTTATGAGGAGAGAGCAAAAAGATTAACAGGAAGAAAAGAGACAACCAAAATGTCGCAACGGGATAGCGTAATTGAGATTCTTCACATGCAGACACACACACACACATATATATATATATATACACCTATAATATAATTACTTAATAGTTGCTTGTTTGGATAAATGGACCACAAATGATTTACCAAAATAAATAAATGGACCACAAATGTATTTCTTATTATTATATACTGTATGACCGTTCTTTATTAACAACCATGTGTACAAATGACAGAAATGATCAAACCTTTGTAATTGAAGGCTTAAAGCGGTAATATTTCTGTTGGAGCTGTAAAACTTATATATGCATGGTAGAATTAAATCTCAACTAAGGATCGGTTTGATGATTAACATTTACAAATTTTATATACGTTAAACGAAAAGAACCTATTCAAATGAAATTCAAAATGGGCATACGCACACCTAATCAAATGCTCAAATTCTTCGAATGTGATTTTTTAAAGAAATATCTTATATTTCGATCTTCAAAGGGTTTATTTATCAAAAATGTCATCTGAATAAACGTGGATGAAAACCATAAAAAATTATGTCAAAACATTAAAATATGTTAAAAACAATAAAAAAATGATGGATGAGGAAGAGAAGATAGGGTTTTGGGAATTAATGGCTGAGACAAATGAAAAGGATACGACCGAATCCGAAATCTCCGTTTGCACGCGTCTTCTGTCTTATTGCATCTCCTCTTTCTTTGTCCTGATTCCTCACCATCCATCCATCCAAGATGTTCACACATACACAAATTACATTTACATATTCTTATATATATTTTGATTCTTATTCGAAGCTCAGATTTCTTAATCTAAAACTAAAAACAAACATATTCCGAGAGAATTGTGTGTTTTACCCATTTGAGTTTGGTCTCCTATATACAACATACAAATATTTTCTTGTTATATGAATTTTTAGATTTTACTTGTTTCCGGATTGAAACTAAAACAGATCTTCTGTAAATAATCACACTTTCCACACACAAAAAAAAGCATTCTTCTAATTAATCACAAAACTGACCATGTTCAGATACTTTTTATTTATTTATTTTATTTTTTGATTTAACCTTCATTTATATAATAATTCCGACGAATGCCGTTACAACAAGGCAAGAGAAGACCGAAGTCTTTTACAAAAGTAATATCGAAACACAAGTGAAGCAGATAAAACAGAGAGGAATGGCTCTAAATTTGAAAGTGATGAAGGAAAATCCGATCACAAACTTCTTAACATCCGATACTTTATATTTGTATACACCACTAATTAGTAACATCAAGTGTATTAATTGGATTTGCTAAAAAGTACTAGTAATATATAAGACGTTGGTGTGACAAGATTGGTTGGAAGATGGAGTTGTCTTGAGCTAATGTGTTGTCATTTGTCATCTCTGGTGTCTTTGTGTTTTACATATACATTGAGCATTAAATTCTAGTTGTATGTAAGATTATATAATTTCCTAATTTTGCTTGACACATGCATTTTTCTTACAAACAACATCGAAGAAGTTAAAATCTTCATTAACATGACTCAATTAAGATGTGTTAGTTATGATCAACTTCAGAAAGAAGGCATCAACAGTACGTACCTTCATAAATATGTACATCCCTTGTCTTCACAATAACTACAAAAAACAAGAAAACAAGTAGTATAATGCTACGAGTCTACGAAACTCCATTAATTGTTTGCCTTGTTTTTGTTGTTATAGTTGACGTAAATAATTTAGTAATTGGGTCCATAGAAACGTGATTATGTTTTAATGTCTCCCATGATTGAAATCAGAGGAGATAATTAGACTATATTAAGTGTGACGAAACAAAATCCCCACTCGTCTTTTTTGGTTGACAATTAGTTTGTGAATAAGATTCGTTAACCAAACCAAATCAACGACGTGATCCGTCAATCAGCATCTACCACCTAGCAATTACACAGTCGAGCTCTATACTTTATTATTATGTCAAAGTTGGTATATAAAAACAAACACACAAAAATTTGTATTTAAACATTGAATATTCACAAAAAACCAAAGTATTGAAGATCAAAAGATTCAGAAACGAAGATTGCGTTTCATGTTCTAATATAAATTATCTCATTACTTTATTATGATTACATATATACATTTCTAGATAATTAAACATAGAAATTAATAAGGTAATTTCCAGCTATTGTTAAGAACTTGAATGTGTAAAAAGGTAAAAATCAGTAAAAACCTAAATGAAACTCGATATGACCGAGATAATGCGTGATTGTAAAGTGGGCTTGTTGATACATAATTAGCCTACTAGTGGATTCAAAGCATGGATATATGAGACCATGTTTGGGCCTTTAAAGTCACAATCACATATAACATTTTCCTTAATACACTTATTATATATGGCCTGCTTAAAATATTCATTTAGAATATCTTTTCTCAAACATTTATCAGGCTAATGCACATTAGATGCAAAATTCTGCATTGGCTCTGGCTTATAAGTCAGATCATAGGGTCTCTTAGTATTGCTATTTATGTAGATTTCTTTGACCGTTAACAAAAATTTATGAATGTTCAGCTAAGAACATGTATAAATATGCATTTTGGCTCATCAATGAATTATGAATGACAAACAAAACCTTGTTGATGATTTACTTTTGAAAAGCTCTTAAACAAGTTTGCAACTTCAAATATAGGTGATATCAAATTGTTTCATATGATCGAATCATTTGGACTGACATCTTCGTAAAATTTTATCTATGAGATTATACAAAGTTCTTACTAACGAACTCTTTTCTACATCCAAAGACACAGACTCCAACAGATACAAATTTCATAGAGAAACTGAATATTCTCAACGAAGATGATGCCTGTGAAACAAAGAAGCTTCATGTAAGCAACAATCTCCAATCCAAATTCCAAAAATCACAAATACACTACCTTAGAGTTTCCTTTGTTCCTTTGCGGATTTTGCAGCGTATAGTTGGAAGCCCTAGCTTCTGATGAGCCTCGTACCTGTGACAACCCGAGAAGCCTACAACAACAATGGAGGATTTATCATCTATCTATCTCTAAGCTTTCAAGAAACATAGGATATGCTTCTAGAAAAATCACCATAGTAAGCTCCATCAACTTCAATCACATCGATCTGTACAACACAAACGAATCCACAAAAAAGAGAAATTAGATTCTTCAATTCGATAACTGGAAGAAGAAGAAGAGAGCGAGATTTGCTTAACCGGAACTTGAAGACCGATTTGACGGATACTATCCATGAGCTCTTTCACTTTGTTCTGATCGTTGGATCTGGTTCGCATCAACGGTCTACGTATCTTCTCCAACGGTAATTCCACGATCATCGGCCCTACACCGCCGCTAGATCCTCCGATCACCGGCGGCGATCCTGAAACCAAAAAATCAAACACAGAGTACAGCTTCAGATTCAGCTTAATTTTCATATCACAGTGAGACTTCGAGCGTCACCGTTTGATGAAGAAGCTGAAACTGAGAAGCTCCTCAAGCTGATGCTTGGTAATCTCATCATCAAATTCGCCATTGTTGTCACCGTCTTCCTCTCGTTTCCTTTCTTCTCTCTCTCTCTCTAATAAAATATCTCTAAAATCATTTTGAAAAAAAAATTGTGAACGAAATTTAAAGACTAAATACGACGTCGTTTGTTTCAAAAGAAAAAGCGATTGAAACAGAGCTTAGCAACAATGGCGTCTGTCACTTCCTCCTCTATGCTGCTGCTTCGGTAAAACTCTAAATCTTACAGATATTTGGAGTTTGTTTGTTGTTGAGATTGCTAATGGCGACGAGCGATTCGTGATTCAGGAACTTCTCTACGGCGGGTAGGATTGTGCAGTCCGTTCGAGCGAATTCGAGAATCTTCTCAACTGGAGAATTGATTAGGGTTCTTCCTCGTATTGGTTCTCCAAGGTGAAGAATTTCTCAATTCGATTTGTGTTTGATGTGTTTTGATTTCTCATATATTAAATTGATTGGTTTAATCGCTCGATAGATCCATCTGTACTAGTCGCGCCGCGCACAACGAAGAGGTTGCCGCGAAATCTGCGGCTGCTGTTGCTGACACCGGAGCTCCGACCATGTATGGCTTCTAAACACACAATTTCACATCTGATTTATGAAATGGTCAATTGGAGTTGGAATCTGAGAATTAGTAAACCTCAGGTGTAGAATTTTAGGATTAATTTACTTGAAGGATTTGTGTTTTCTGCCACAGATGAGCCAAATCTTTCAAACATCTGACATTGTTGATGCTCGTGATGGATTGAGATATGATTCTTGGAAGTCTACAAGACTATGATTATAGTTAATAGATATCGTCTTGTTTTTTCTCCAGATTTGACAAGATCATAGCAAAAGAGATTCCATCAGAGATTGTCTATGAAGATGAAAACGTTTTGGCATTTAGGGACGTAAACCCACAGGCTCCTGTTCATGTTTTGGTCATCCCCAAGTTGAGAAATGGCTTGACAATGCTTGGCAAGGTGTGTCAGTTTTTAGCTTTTTCTTGATTGTTCATTGTGTTTCATGATAATCAGATAGCTTTTACACTTTGGCATGCCTTCTTGTACATCTTATATACAATCTCATCTTGTGGCCAATTATGCCAACGTTGTGATCAATATGTGTAAATGCTGCTTTATGTTTTGCAGGCTGAGCCAAAACACGTAGAGGTTCTTGGCCAACTTCTGCACGCGTCGAAGATTGTTGCTGAGAAAGAAGGCATCCTCGACGGGTTTCGTGTGGTTATCAACAACGGTGTTGAAGCCTGTAAGTCTTTTCTTTTCTCCATCCCACCGAACATCATCGTCATCGTCGTCATACTCTTTACTGACTCAACTTCCTCTCATCTAGGTCAATCTGTTTACCATCTTCATCTGCACGTCCTCGGGGGCCGGCAGATGAAGTGGCCACCTGGTTAAAAAGAATGGTTCGTAATAGATCAGGTAAAGTACGATCAACGAGCTCCATAATCTGTTTACCAATTGTGATGTTCTAGAGACTATAGAGTTTCTATATTCCAATAGTGGTCGATCGAATTATGTTTCTCTATTTTTTTTGTTAGAAACGAAATGTTAAAGATGATTCAGATTCAAGCACTAACACATTCTAAAACTTAAACAATCCAGATAATAGCTTACTACAGCATCATAAGCATAATTAACAATTTAACATCATCATACAAACATTTTAGGTTTGTGCTCGAATTATTTTTGTATTTAATTGTTATAATCTTTTTTTTTTAAATCTAAGATTTCTATTCATATACGGCGTCAGGTTTGTTTTAAAGAAGAAAAAGGAAATAATAATATACTATACAGTTTACATATATACAACTCATCAATCTTCTCAAACCCTAAACTGCGACTTGTGTTTATTTCTTCCTCTCCAAGATTGGGCGAGTCTGTCCTATCGAGAGAGTTTGACTGCGCGAAATGGGTTTGTCTCTGATGAGAAAAAGACGAAGCGAAGCACGACAGGAGATTCAGGTTCCAATGGATTTGGTGACAGATATCCTTACGAGACTGCCCACAAAAACTCTGATGAGATTCAAGTGCGTCTCAAAGCTCTGGTCCATCTCTGATTCGCTCCCAATACTTCAGAAGTCGTTTCCTTATGGTCCCATCACAAGAACAACGTCTTTACATATGCTTAATGGACCTCAGAGACAACCGTAACTCTGTAATCCTCTCATCATCAGCTCCCAACGGTACTCCTTCTACCTTTGTAGTTAACAACGATCTGACCATCCCATGGGTAGGATTAAACACCCTTCATAATCTTCACGGCTTCGTGGGCAATTCTACTACAACGCCCCAAATCTACAACCCATCTGTAGGACGACGCCACACCCTTCATAATCGTTGTCGTCATGGCTTCGTGCGCAGCTCATATTCTACTACAAAGCCCCAAATCTACAACCCATGGGTAGGACTCTACACCCTTCAGAATCTTCATGGCTTCATGTGCAACGCATATTCTACTACAATGCCCCAAATACACAACCCTACCACCAGACAACTTGTGACCTTACCGGCCATATATTCAGATCCTCCAAAAGATTCCATGTTCTTCTACTATTTCGGACACGACCCTGTTAACGACCAGTACAAAGTAATATGCTCAATGGTGATATGCGTGGGCACTCTAGCGTACAGAAGAACACCAGAGTATTGGGTCTTAGTCCTAAAACCTGGAGCCTCTTGGAAAAAGGCGGCTCCGGCTTCAGTTGACTTTTGTCTTAATCTCGTTATAATCTCTTTTTTTTTAAGCAAGATTTCCATTCATTTTTTGTTTTTCCGTCTAAATTACTTTATTAATTGACCAAAGTACAATCAGTGTTTACAAGAGTATACAGAAAAGTTGGACAAGAATGATATAATTGCCATTGTCTCTCTCAGGTCAAGGCTTTCTTCGCCAAGTAATCGGCACACAAGTTTGCCTCACGCTTACGAAATGTAAAAAGGACGTGAGAGAACATTCTCCTCTAGCAAGATTTCTATTCATATACGGCGACGGATGTTTTTAAACAAGAAAAGGGAAATAATAATATTTACTAGTTACATACAATATATACAACTCATCAATCTCCTCAAACCCTAAATTGCGACTTGTGCTTATTTCTTCCTCTCCAAGATTAGGGGAGTCTGTCTTGTCGAGAGATTTTGGTTGCGCTGAGATGGGTTTGTCTCTGCAGAGAAAAAGACGAAGCGAAGCACGACAAGAGATTCAGATTCCAATGGATTTGGTGACAGAGATCCTTACGAGACTGCCTGCAAAATCCGTGATGAAATTCAAGTGGGTCTCAAAGCTCTGGTCATCTCTCATCCGCTCCCAATACTTCAGCAGTCGTTTCCTTATGGTTCCATCACAAGAACAACATCTTTACATATGTTTATCAGACCGCATAGACAACCGTAACTCTGTAATCCTCTCATCATCAGCTCCTCACTCTACTCCTACTGCGTCTACCTTCGTAGTTAACAACGACGTGACCATCCAGTGGAGAGGATCCTACAACCTGCAGAATCTTCATGGCTTCATGTGCAACTCAATTTATAATACGATGCCCCGAATGTACAACCCTACCACCAGACAGCTTGTGACCTTACCGGCCATACAAATTCCAGATTCTTCTACTATTTCGGACACGACCCTGTTAACGACCAGTACAAAGTAATATGCTCAATGGTGGTAATTTCTGGCACTACAGCGTTTAAAAGAAAATCAGAGTATTTGCCATGGGTCTTAGTCCTGAAACCTGGAGGCTCTTGGAAAAAGGCGGCTCCGGCTTCAGTTGAGTTTTGTCTTGATCACGTTCCTCTTCTCAAACCAGGACTGTCTTTCAACGGGGTTATATATTTCCTGGCTTCGGCTTGTGCTACGTATAACTATTTGGCTGATCAATTAGAGCAAATTAAATACGTTATGGTGAGCTTCGACATTGCATATGAAGAGTTCAGAACGATACAAATGCCTCGTATAGAAGGAAGGATACACAATGCGATTCTTATAGAGTATGGCGGAAATTTAACTGTTTTTGACACTAACAGTCTTATAGACGAGGGTAAGGTGAATTTATGGGTCCTGAAAGATGTGCTCGGGAACAAGGAATGGTCGAGGAAGACTCTGGTTTTGAAGCCTTCTCAGCTCCATTTGGTCCATAACATTTGTTTGAAGGTAAAAGGTACAACTCAAAGTGGCAAGGTTTTATTGGTACCATATAATTTTCTTTCTCCCTTTCACATTCTCTGCTATGATCTGCAAAGCAATGATATGAGAAAGATTGACATCAAAGGTATACGAGAACAGTGGTTTAGTACGAGAAGAGACATAATGGTTAACCTGATGTTTATGGATCAGAGTGAGAGCATCTTGTACTTGGACACTTGAATTAATCCTTTCTACTTCTAAAGTTCTAATGCATGCTTTTATTTTGGTGTGTTAATTCGTTGAGAAGACTTATTTATGATTTTATAATTTAAAGATGTTACAAAATCAATGTCGGACTTATCCAGTACGTTATAAATTATGAGTTCCTAGAGACGATACATGACGGATTTTTTTTTAAAGAAAAAAAGGGTGATAATAATATTTACTAGTAACATATATACAACTCATCAATCTCCTCAAACCCTAGATTGCGACTTGTGCTTATTTGTTCCTCTCCAAGTCTGTCTTGTCTCTGTTACTAACTCTTTAACGAGAGATTTTGGTTGCGCGAGATGGGTTTGTCTCTGAATAGTAGAAGACTAAGCGAAACACGACCGGATATTCAGCTTCCAATGGATTTGGTGACAGAGATCCTTACGAGACTGCCTACTAAATCCCTGATGAGATTCAAGTGTGTCTCAAAGCTATGGTCATCTCTCATTCGCTCCCAATACTTCAACAGGTGTTTCCTTAAGGTCCCATCGCAACAACAACATCTTTACATATGTTTATCAGACAGCAGAGACAACCGTAACTCTATAATCCTCTCATCATCAGCTCCTCTCACTACTCCTACTGCGTCTACCTTTGTAGTTAACAACGACGTGGCCATCCAGTGTAGAGGATACTACTCCCGGCAGAATGTTAATGGCTTCATGTGCAACTCATATTCTAAAGCAATGCCCCGAATGTACAACCCTACCACCAGACAACTTGTGACCTTACCAGCCATATATTCAGAACCTCAAGAACATTCCAGGTTCTTCTACGGTTTCGGACACGACCCTGTTAACGACCAGAGCAAAGTAATATGCTCAGCGAGGACATCCTCGGGCTTTCCAAGTTATACAAGAATATCAGAGTATTGGGTCTTAGACCTAAAACCTGGAGCCTCTTGGAAAAAGGTGACTCCTGCTTCAGTTGATTTTTGTCTTGATCACGTTCCTCTTCTCAAACCAGGACTGTCTTTCAACGGGGTTATATATTCTCTGGGGTTGATTCATGATATTCATGCGAATAATTATGTGGTTGTGAGCTTCGATATTGGATCTGAAGAGTTCAGAACGATCCAAATTCCTAGTATAGAAGGATTGATCAAGGATGTGACTCTTATAGAGTATGGTGGAAAACTAACTGTTTTTGACCATACCCATCTTACGAACGAGGGTAAGTTTTTTTTATGGGTTTTGGAAGATGCCGGGAACAAGGAATGGTCGCGCAAGACTCTGGTTTTGAAGCCTACTCAGCTCCATTTGGTCAATGACATTATTTTTACGGTAAAGGGTACAACTCAAAGTGGCAAGGTTTTATTGATACCAGATCTTCTTCTTTCTCCCTTTCACATTCTCTGCTATGATCTGCAAAACAATGATATGAGAAAGATTGACATCATAGGTATACCAAACCACTGGTTATTTAGGGCAACACACATAAGGTTTGACCTGATGTTTATGGATCAGAGTGAGAGCATCATGCACTTGGACACTTTAACGAATCTTTTCTACTTGTAATGCATTTTTTTTTTTTTTTTTTTTTTTCAGTTGGTGTGTTAATTGGTTAAGAAGACTTTTTTATGATTTTATAATTTAAAGATCTTATAGTACGTTATAACTTATGAGTTCCTAGAGACGAATAGACGATATAGAGTTTCCATTATACAATCTTAATGTATATTTTTCCTTCTTTTAGAACAAAGATACGGTTAGTTTCTGCTCATATAAATATATATTTATATTCTTCGTCTTTGTAAAAACTATCAAACATAACCTTCGAAGCTATCAAATATGGTCAGTCTTAAACTAGGAATCAGCAAAGACAATGGCAGGAGATTAATCAACTGTCTGGTATCAACCTAACCGAACCAACCGGATCGGCACTGTAATATGTAGTATGGGGAGAAAATTCATGGGCCTAGAGTTGGCCTGGTTGTGATGGCGATGGCGGCAGAGTGCGGAGGAGCTGAAGAACGCGGGTAGGCTGTTCTTCACCGTAAAAAGGGAACTCATCCTTCACTTGTCGGCACATGACGTCATCATCTTCTTGCCTATGAGACGTCATCATCTTCATCTGTGTCTCTGCTTGCCACATCAGATGCTCCCAAGAGCTTCCTTGCTCCTTTATATATATCAAAAAATAGTTTCGCAAAAAAAAACAATTTGTCAAAGGCCTTTACTATATTTTGACTTATACGTTTGTAATGAAAAAATAAATGTACACACAAAGGCATGTACCGGATGGTAAAAATGTTGGTTCTCTTCATCCATGAGTGTTTCCTATCAAGAAAATAACAAGAACAGATGAAAATGGTTATATATATAATTATATTAAGCTTGTAAAATTACACAATGTAGCGAATAGTAATTTTTACTTTTAGTTATAATCATACTTGTTGTAAAACAAACAAAAAATTACCAATGGCAAATACTCACCTTTCCCTTTCCCTTAGGCTTAGGCTCCTCCTTTTGTTGCTGCTGATGCATGATCTCAAACTACATACGTAATTAGTAAACAAGAGACGCTAATCTTTAACTTTTCATTAATATAACGATGAAAACAAAATAATTTCTAATAGGTATACATAAGTCCTTTATATATGAATATATGTGGATCGAGCGGATTTGTGGATTATATACCTTTCGAGTTCGAGCATTGTGGAGAGAAGATTCGAGTTGGAGCTCGAAACGAAGGAGATCGTCGTAGGTTAAGAGATTCAAGCCATGTCCTCCGTACAATTCAAGATTCATTTTTAGGTTCTCTATCTCTCTCATCATTGATTCCTTCTTCTCCTCACACTTTGATCCGTGATCCTGTAACAAAATTATATTTGTAACCATATATCTAATATCCATGAATTTAAACACGTGAAGCTGTAAATTATAACTAATAAATTAGAAGAAGGCTTTTAATTACCGGGTGAAGACTGTGGTCTGCAGAGGCATGACCTTCTTTTGCCTTTCGATATCTCATGATGAGATTCTCCATGCTGACGTAAAAAAATCAAATAAATTGGAAGTTCACAGAAAACAGAAGACGTGAATAAAGATGTGTATTCTCGGATCAGAAAATTATAAAACATCACAACTTTCCTAAGAGTTAAACATAGAACATGTCTATATTTTTTGATTGATTTTTTTAGTGTAAAAACAATGATTTAAAGGAAGAGTGTAAACGATATATACCAACTAATAAATAAACAGATGACCAGAAAATACATTAGACTAGATGATTAGTCATCTCATTACTTAGGCTGATTTGTCAGGATTATAAAATAATAAATTTCTCATATATAAATCAAAGAAAGCAAAAAAAAAAAAAAAAAAAAGAAAATTGAAGAAACAATTGATGTTGGCATTGATTAATTACAGTAATATTAAGAACTCATTATTTATGTCATATTAAAGAGCATTCTTTTTCTTTCTTTTGTTCCACTGAAACAAGAACACACATAATGTATGTATGAGTCTATGAAAAAATTATCATATATGTATACATGGGTGCATATAGATGTATGTGTGTCCATATATACAAACCTGGTGGAGTGGGAGCAGAAATCGTAGAGCTTGTTGGTTTGGGAGAAGATGATGAGACCAATGGGGACATCACAGAGAACAGAGAGTTCATGTGCCTTCTTCAGAAGACACTTTCTTCTCTTTGAGAACGTCACTTGTCTCCTTGCCTTCTCCTCTAACTTTTTAATCACTACCTTACCATTCCGCCTCATCTTCAATCGATCTTTCTAAAACCCTAATTCTATGAGAATGCCAAACCAGAGAGGGAGAGAGAGAGAGAGAGAGAGAGAGAGAGAGAGAGAGAGAGAGAGAGAGAGAGAGAGAGAGAGAGAGAAATGTGGCTGTTTCTTTTTATCAAAATGAGACCTTGAGATCAATATTTGATATTTGTATATATAGACTGTTATTTTCATATACGTGTGTGTGTGTGTGTTTTTTACGATTCTATACATATACACGATAAATTAAAATTATTAAATATTAAAGGAAAATAAATGGTACTTTAATCTAACGGGTTGGAAGGTTCCTAAATAAGAATAGAAAGTCTTAGAAAAGTATTTAAAATTAATGTATGTCATTTTTAGTTTGTGCTAAGATATACTTAGATCTACGGAAAATTTAACTGCTATTTGATGTATTATTAAATTTTGTGTGAATGTGTATATGGTTGCAAAGTATATAATTTATTCAATATTTTGGTATACACGTTTTATTATTTTATTTAAGGCTTAAAAATGGAAGCCAGACCACTAATACGTGCATACCTTAATGGAATAACAGAAGTATGTGAAAGAAACAAAAAAAAACACATCCGATTAGACCAGTAGTATGCAATATATGTTACATTTATCTATACAAAACAAACAAAATTTAACTAAACCAAAACAAAAGTTGAAGTAGTATAACGAAGATACAAGACTATGATATTTAAGTTCTATTTACCTTACACCAACATTTGATCAGTCTTATAATTCAAGGTGACAACTGTAACTTTTATTTCCATATGCCCGTAAAGCTATTAGTTCTGTAAAAAAAGAAAAAAAGATACTTCAAATTATTAATTATCCAAATTAATATTTTAATTCGTTTGAACTCAGAATTATAAAGTTGATATCGACCTTTAACCGTTGGGACCATCAATCCACGTGATTTTCCTGCACCATGCGATTCAGTGGAAGAAAAGCATTATTCCTATAAATGCAAACTGTAAAATTAAGTAAGTTTATAGACGACTAGTAAATAGTAATTTTTATACAAACTTATAAAGTAGATATCATTTAATTACAATAACAATCGTTTTTTTCTAGTAAGATCGTATTGAATAAAAAGACTTCAATAACGTTGCCCTCTTTTTCAGTTTCTATAGTCAGTCAGTACTCAAAAGCGTTGCCTTCTTTTTCAATCTCTGAAATCATGAAAACCTTCTAAAAAAACACCAAGACTCCTAAATGTTTATGTGCGTTTATATTTATAACGTGAAGACATATATATAAAATGCAAACACAAACAAACAATCAGAACTTTGAACCATATAGTTCTGTTTCATGTCTTTCGAGCTAAATCATATTGCTTTCCTTGAAAGTATTTTGCTCAATATAATTACTCGAGAGGTATGCAAACACACACACACACACACACACACGAGAAAAACAATCAAAATGTAAATTATGTATAAAAGAATGAAAAGTCTTGCAAAAACAAAACTTGAGATAAAAAGAAGAAGATGAAAGTCTCGAAAAGCTTGTTCCATGCTTGCGTCTCTCAGCATCATGCAAAAAGAAATGGGCTCAGAGAAGACTTGACCCATAAAATAGAGCGAATAATAATTAAAGCAAAAAAAAAAAAAGAATTGGTAAAAAAAATAAAAAAAATTAGCACAAAACTGGTCAAAAAAACTTAAACGTGTTTTAAGACTTTCGTAGAAGTTTCCAACAAAGTCTTTGTCGTCAATTTTCATCTTCTTGGTTGGTATTCATAAAACTCTCAGATTCCGATCGAAAAATTGACCCGTCTGTGTTTCTTCATCTCTCCTCTGTTTCTTCCCACCGACTCCCAATTCTTCCCGATCAATCAATCAAACCCAGAAAAAAAAAGCCATGGATCTCCAACCAGAAGAGCTCCAGTTCTTGACGATTCCTCAACTTCTTCAAGAATCAATCTCAATCAAGAAACGATCTCCAAGAACCTTCTACCTCGTAACCCTATCCCTAATCTTCCCTCTCTCCTTCGCCATCCTCGCTCACTCGCTCTTCACTCAGCCGATTCTCGCCAAGCTCGACTCCTCCGACCCGCCAAACTCTGATCGCTCCCGTCACGACTGGACCGTCCTCCTCATCTTCCAGTTCTGCTACCTCATCTTCCTCTTCGCCTTCTCTCTCCTCTCAACCGCCGCCGTGGTCTTCACCGTCGCTTCCCTATACACCGGAAAGCCAGTCTCTTTCTCCTCCACCATCTCCGCAATCCCTAAAGTCTTCAAACGTCTCCTCATCACTTTCCTCTGGGTCGCTCTCTTGATGTTCGCTTACAACGCCGTCTTCTTCGTTTTCTTGGTGATCCTCCTCGTAGCTCTCGATCTGAACAGTGTAGGCTTAGCGGTTATCGCCGGAATCATAATCTCTGTTCTGTATTTCGGTGTCCATGTCTATTTCACTGCGTTGTGGCATCTAGGTAGTGTGATCTCTGTTCTTGAGCCGGTTTATGGGATTGCAGCTATGAGGAAAGCTTATGAGCTTCTTAAAGGGAAGACGAAGATGGCTATGGGGTTGGTCTTTGTTTACCTTTTGATCTGTGGGTTGATCGGTGGTGCTTTTGGATCGATTGTGGTTCATGGAGGAGGGAAGTTTGGGACTTTGACTAGGACGCTTGTTGGTGGGTTGCTTGTTGGGGTTCTTGTGATGGTGAATCTTGTGGGTTTGTTGACTCAGAGTGTGTTTTACTACGTTTGCAAGAGTTATCATCATCAGAATATTGATAAGACTGCTTTGTATGATCATCTTGGTGGGTATCTTGGTGAGTATGTGCCTCTTAAGAGCAACATTCAGTTGGAGGACATTTGAAGAAGCTCAAGAGGTTCTTGTATTGTTCCTTCTTCTCTTGTTATCTTATCTCTCTCTCTGTTATATAAGATTGGAGAGAAGAATAAGAAATGTGGAATTTGAATAATAGTTTGTGATGTTAGTGTGTATGTATAGACTCAACAACACTCTTTGTTGGTGTTTTGATTTTTATTAATCCACGATTTTAAGAATTTTTGAGTTTCTCATTTTTGTTTGATTCTTCTAATGTTGCCGATCATTATTATTCTGTGAAAATAAGGCTTTCCATTAATGGAGGAATCTGCTTGTTTTGATTTGTAGCTAGCTTTCATCAAACATGATTTGACCTTGGACCAACCTACACTAAGTTTTGGGGTGTAGGAGTAAATTTTGATAGATGTGCTGATTTTGTAATGTTGTTTGTTTTAAATTTGGTTTGTTTGGTTACAAGTTACAACAAACCGACTGAAAACCAAATCCTCTCGCTATGAAACCAATTTGATTAGGCGTTAAAAGAAGAAGAAATATAACAATTTTAGAAACAAAATCTATATGAAGTTGAACTAACTTCAAACGTTACATATAAACCACCATCAATTTGTCAAACAAACCCAATTTGTCAAATAATTCATTCGGTATTAGCCAATTATAAACCGAACTTTTGATTGGGCTTTTTATTCCTGAAGTGCGCTCAAGTCTCTAATTATCATTTTCAGTCGTAGGCCCAACAAGATCATCTTCTTTACGCTATAGAATTTTCGTCAAGAGACCATTTTTTTTTCTTTCTATATTGTAAATATTCATTATGATTTGAGAATGTTTGGGTTTACATACAAACTATGGTAACAAAAAGCATAAACTTATACATAGCAGCTTCTTGTATTTTTTATGTCAAGATTGTTGACTTATTGTTATACGTCGAAAGTTCTTTTGGACATTAAAATAATCAGGGATGATAGCTAAGTTTAGATTAGATCCCAAATTTGGAAAATGAAGATGTGGCTTGAAAATGGTTATGAAATAATGTAGACTATTAAAGGATATCTATGAACGTGTGGATAAATAATTCAAGTGCATGTGGGTCAAGCCCACCTCATGGACTTGATTTATTGGTAACGTATGTCTCTCGCTCTCTCTTTTGTTGACTATGGTCATATGTCTCTATTACAACCATCCGTGATCCATTGGTGGCCATAGTTGATAACACCAATTAAGTGTTTTAGTGCTTAATGGATTAAATGGCTAAAGAATTGCTTTTCTAAACAATCTAAGAACTCAAGGAATGAACTTTGTTAAACATAAAAAAGAGAAGTGATGATGAGAGGAAGTTAGACAGTTTTATAATTCGAACATACTACTTCCGTTTCACAACAAGTGTCATTTAGGTAAAATGAGAATTCAATATATTTGAATGTATTAAACTCAAAATAACACTTATTATTGTCCAGATACATCCAAATATTGTCCAGCTACATTTTCTCCAAATGACACTTATTATGAAATGGAGTGAATATTTATCTTAAGATTTTGAAATAGACATCTTGTTTAGTTTTGATGAAAATAATAACTTTCTAAACTTTTATAACTTTATGAAGAGAATGGGAATTTCGTAACACCATTTATAACTTTTAATACCGCGTGTAGTTATTAGGTGAAAATTAGTACTATCATTTTGCCAATAAGAAATAAATTATAGTGAAGTGAATCATATTTTTTGGGTATATATGAAGCTATTCAATGTTGACAAAAAGATTAAGTTGCTAAATGTCACTTTAGTCTAACTAGGTGGGACAATTAATAATCGAAAGATCTTAACCACCGTTTTAAAGAACACGTTGATATAGTTGTGATAGGGAATATTCCAAGGATCCATTTTTTGGAGTATTCTTTATCATAAGAAAATATCTCTGGTAATTTTAGAAACATATAATTTAAGGTTCTATATATTTCAGTATACGTTGATAATTTACACAATGTATTGCTGGTTCGAATGTTATGATAGAAGATAAAGTCCATTTTCGAGCTCATTTCAATTTATTACACTTATATTAATATTTGTAACAATTACACGATATATATATATATATACATGTGTGTATATTTATAGTTTTTTGGTTTATAACTGTTTTTATATACATGTGTAGTATGTTTTAGATGGGTATTGTGAAACCTGAAATTAGTAGTGAGGTAGGAAAGAATTAGAATTAACAATTTCTCTATGTTTTACACTTTTTTCAATCCACTATTAATGATCAGAAAAAACAGTTCTATATGCAGATATTGGTACCCAGTACATAACGTCTTCTGATCTTTTTTTTTTTTTTTGTTTGACATAACGTCTTCTGATCTATTAGTCGGTAACCACAACTTCATTATTTGCTTACTGAAAAAACGTTCGTATCCTATCAATTTCATATGTGCCATTGGCCATTGTTATAAGAAAAAATCCTAATTTTAATTATACAGTAAAACCTCTATAAAACAATAATGTTGGGATTTGAAATTTTATTATCTTATAGAGTTATTATTTTATCGATAAGACAATAATTATTGTTTTATCGATAAAACAATAATTATTGTCTTATAGAAATATTTTATCAAAAACAGAAACTTTATACGGACAATTAATGTTCATCAAGATACAACAGCAAATTGTTTTCGACATTGTAAAATTCGTTCAGGAGATGTCCTACTAAGGAATTTAGAAGATGAATCAGTCGACATTCCTGAATTTGAAGTTGTGATTAATAATCTTGGTTATCAGAATAGAATGGATGTTAATAGCCTACTCAACTATCCGGGTGAGAACGATTCATACTCAGAAGTTCAAAGTCTAGAAGAAATTGTGTCTACTGTTCTTAATGGTGAAGATGAAGTTGAAGATGATGAGGAAAGACATGTGCAAGTAGTTACACGTAAGGAAGCAATTGTGGCTTCGAGAACTCTTCACAACTTTTGGCTGCATGTTGAGAACACACCACCAGAAATTGTTGATGCAATAAGAAAAATTCGAGATGAGCTCCAACGAGAATCAACTTTCAGAAAAGACAAACTACATTGGAGTCATATTTTACTAAATTGCCTTAGATATATATGTTAGTTTTATAATTATTGTCTTAAGCCTATTGTTGGGACTATATTTTTACATAAGAGTTTCAAAAATATTATTGTCTTATCATCTTATCGCATTATGCTATTTTTTACATTGGCCCGAGTTGGGACCGGAGAAATTTATTATCTTATAGTGTTTATTGTTTTATCGAGTATTGTTTTATAGAGGTTCTACTGTATATGAGCATGGACCATGGCACATATATATGCAATATTTGTATCGAGACACAGCTCACCTTCGTTTGTCTTCTACACAGTAAACAAATTTTCACAGAACGGTCTTTAAGGCACGTTTCTTTCTTGATGAGTATGTTAACAGATTTATCTTTTCTATTTTTTGTTTTTTCTTTCTTAACTCGTGGCCTTGATAAAAGACAATCTTAGGTAGATTTGGTTACATATTGTTTGTCGTCTCATTACCTGTTTTCCGTCTTATTACCTGTTTCATGGTACGACACGTGATTAAGGTGTGTCGTCTGAGTGCGAACCACCGAGAAGTCATCTCGGTCTATATGTTACTATTATCACTAGATTTAAGCAATAGATACATATTTGCACCCAAAAAAAGTAATGGATACATATGATTCATAAATAGGTTTTTATTTTCTGAATTGGCTTGCTAATCTTGTTTGATGTTCTTGTTTATACGATAACCCGTTGTAAGAAAAATTAAATACATACAGTTAGGAAGATTCTTAATTCAATGAACTAATCTAATACTCAAAGTTGCCAATACACGATGATAAGATTTAACCATTTTGATTTAAGCACATGGATTCGGAAAATCTCTGCTTTCAAAATGTAGTTATAAATTTACATGAATACCAAAGCGAAGCATTTTCATAGAAATCTTCCGGGCCAAATTACACAACAAGATGAAAATGATTTTAAAACGATATTTTCTCAAATAGTTAAATATGCGGCATTTTTAATAAAAAAAACATATGGGGAATTTTTAATAAATGCTTTAAGTATAACAAATAAAACCTCAATTGAAACAAACGGACCCTGTAGTTTAGTAGTTATTATGTAACTCGTGTATATGTCAGTTTCGACAAGTTAAGTTTATTGAATGACAAACTACACTACTATTTTACATATTATCTCTTATATATACATATTATTATTTTTTATAAGAGGATTACTATATAATTTCTTATGTTATCCTTTCTTGCAAGTATTTGGTTTCGCGAGGTAAATACGGGACAACTAGCGGGTTTTGAGCAAGTATCAAGTGCCCAGCCCTAAGTTTTTGAGTAACTACGTGATTTAAATCTGAAGTATTCTTTAACATTAAAAAAAAAAATCCGAAGTATTAGTACAACAGAAAATTATCAGCTTGTTTTTTTCTTGCTTTTTTGCTCCCCGGCAAGGACCACTTTGGGTTACGTATCAGCTGTCTTATTATTATATACAGCATACAAGCATGTGCATGCACAGATTGTGGTAACACATGAGTTCATACAATTATTGTTTTTGTTTTCGTTAAACACCTTGACGCATGAATCCTCGTTAGCGTAGGCCATATATCTTTATGATCTTAATTTGTCCGATTCCATATTCATAAAATTTATTATGAGTCATTTGTCACAAATGAGCGTATATAACTATATATCAATTGGACAAATTTGTTTATTTTACCAACTGCACAATTTATGATATGCAAATACGTCGTACTGTAATATTTCAAGCGAGTATTTTCACTAAAACAAACATGTATTTCGAGTGTGTAAGTGAGATATTCTTTTATATGTGTATAAATATATACTTATAAAGTGAGATACTACGTATTCGCATGCTATAAACTTATAAAGTAAGATACTACGTATTGCCTGCAACGTAACAGATATTCAAATTCTTTATATAATTAACATAAATGATATTAAAGCTAATCAACACACGCCCACTTTTTTAATCGTAACAGATATTTCGATATTTGCGTGAGGGATTATAACTGTAGTCAAATTATTGACTTATATACTCATTTTATGAGCATCAATCTTGTTTTCGGGTTATATGAAGTAAAATTATTAAAAAGGCTGTTCACCTATATACACATTACTACATTTGCAAAAAGATGCGAAAAAAGGATTCCGATAGTTGTTGTTAACTGCATATCCTAGATTAATTTATCTTATTTGGATAATATAATTTATCAAATAAACGTATCTTTCTAAAAACGACCCCGGGTAGATTAACAAGCATTATCTTAGATGCGATGAATCTAGTATCCCAACATATTTTCTCTTGTGAGCCAAAGTATAATGTTTGACATTTAAATAATTAAGGCTGTATCATAAAATATCGCATAAATGTAGTGAAGGAATTAATAAATTTTAATTTTGTTGACACTAATTTTTGTTTTATTTGGTTACCCGAAACAGTAAATTACGTACGAGAACGCATGCTGCCTAAACTGGACAGCGTCCTTTGATCTGGTCAACGTGTTTATATAAACAACTTATATATTTTATACAAATTTCATGTTCATGAACATAAAATTCGGAAAGCCAATTAAAACTCTATATTTGAAAAGGGATTTTGTTAAAAATAGATTTTTCTTTTACTTTTCTAAAATCCCTTATCCAATATGTGCATGAATGTATTTGTATATGAATGCATTGCATGTTTGTGATATTTTTACAACTCAGAAAGTCAAAATACGTCACTTAATATTCATTTTTCTTCTTCTTTTGTTGCCCTCGCTCGGTAATTAAAAAAAAAAAAAACACAATAATCAAACGTTTTACGTCAAAAAAAAACCGGTAATTATTAAATCCTTTCATGCTGGTCTCTGTCGTAATCATATATCCTCTCTCTCTCTCTCTCTCTCTCTCTCTTTCTCTCTTCAAGAGAAATTGATTTCTTTACTCTGTGAATCAGAGAGTTCTCTGGGAGAAATAAACAGAAACCAGTTAGTTCTCTTTGTTTCTCTCAACCATCAGCTAAAATAAAAGATTATTCTTTTTGTAAAACAGAAAAAAAGAAATTCAAAAACCCAACTTGCACTTTCTGGATAACTTCGATCGTCTCCGTTGCTCCTTCTTGGGTTGGGTAATTCGCAGATTGTTCCTGGGCTTTGTGATTCTCCGTCGTCACTGGTCCTCAATCAAACCGGACCCACCAAAGTAAATGCTTTGGTTGGAAAACATTTTCTTATTTAAAGAAAAAATTCAAACTTTTTCAGTTTCTCCATTGATATACTCTAAGGTTTTGGGTTCTCTTTAAAAAACAAAATTGTCTGGGTTTTGTTTTTTTAGGAATTTGATTTTGTATATTCAGGAAAAAAAAGCATAAAACTTTAATCGTTTGAGACCTTTGTGATTTGTCTATTAGTCGTTTTAAGGTATACTTCCGAAATTTAATTAGGTGAAGTACAGTAGATGTTTTATTCGGCATAGAGGTAGCTTTTACGAGATTTATATCTCTTTCAATTCGTTTTCCCTTTTGTGAAAAATTGCATGCATCTTGTGAATTTCCCATGTTTATTTCTCCCATTTTGGGATTTGTAAATTCTCTGTTAGTTGAGAGGATTGATCGAATTCAAATTACAATGAGTTTCAACTGAGGCAAATTCAGAGATTTATAGGGTTCTGGGTTTATAGCGAAAAAAAGGGTTTTGTGGTTTAGAATCAAAGATACGATTTTTTCATTCTTCTTGAGAAAAAACAAAAATGGCGGCAAGAATAGAAGATTCGATTGGTGGTGGTGAGACTGAGATTGATGATGAGAGAGGAAGCATGTGGGATTTGGACCAGAGCCTTGATCAACCTATGGATGAAGAAGCTGGTCGTCTCCGGAACATGTACAGAGAAAAGGTTTTAACTTTTAACACAAAGCTCTCTGTTTTCATTTTTGGCTCTTTATCTTCAAATCGAATTGTATTGACTTTGCTTGTTAGTTGCTCTGAGATTGTTGCTTCCTGCATTGGTCTTTGATTTGAAGAAAGAAAGTTGAAATCTTTAGCTGTTTTGGTGATATAATGTATGTAAAGTTTCGATTTTTTTCTGCAGAAATTCTCTGCGATTCTGCTTCTACAGCTCTCGTTTCAGAGTCTTGGTGTTGTCTATGGAGACTTAGGAACTTCTCCTCTATACGTTTTCTACAACACATTCCCTCACGGAATCAAAGACCAAGAAGACATCATTGGAGCTCTCTCGCTAATCATCTACTCCCTCACACTCATCCCTCTCCTCAAATACGTTTTCGTCGTCTGCAAAGCAAATGACAATGGCCAAGGTAACATTTTTCAACACTTTAAAGCTTCTTATTCTCTTGAATGATCGATCTCTGATTCTCGTGTTTGGTTTTGAATAGGTGGAACATTTGCTCTCTATTCTCTGCTCTGTAGACACTCAAAAGTGAACACGATACCGAACCAACACAGAACAGACGAAGAGCTCACGACTTATAGCCGCTCCACGTTCCATGAGCATTCCTTTGCTGCGAAAACCAAGAGATGGTTAGAGAAAGGTCCCACTAGGAGAAACTCTCTACTCATACTCGTTCTTGTCGGTACTTGCATGGTCATCGGCGATGGAATCCTCACTCCTGCCATTTCAGGTAAACACACTTAACCTTTTTTCTTTACCATTTCTACACTCTTCCAAGATCTCATCACTGTTCTCAATTGGTTTCAGTTCTCTCTGCTGCTGGTGGACTCAGAGTAAACCTTCCACATATAAACAATGGTGTCGTTGTTGTTGTTGCGGTTGTGATACTGGTGAGCTTGTTTAGCGTACAGCATTACGGAACAGACAGAGTCGGGTGGCTCTTCGCGCCCATCGTCTTCCTCTGGTTCCTCTTCATCGCGAGCATCGGCATGTACAACATATGGAAACACGACCCGAGCGTCTTGAAAGCTTTCTCTCCGGTGTATATTTACCGGTATTTCAAAAGAGGCGGTCAAGATCGATGGACCTCTCTTGGAGGCATCATGCTTAGTATCACAGGTTAAAGAAAATCTTGATCATCATCATCATCTTCTTGAATCTTGATACTCATTGTTTCTTTCTTGTGTTTATGTTTCAGGGATTGAAGCTCTCTTTGCGGATCTATCGCATTTCCCGGTCTCAGCCGTGCAAATCGCGTTTACTGTAATCGTTTTCCCTTGCCTTCTTCTGGCGTATAGCGGCCAAGCCGCTTACCTAAGAGTGTATCCTCATCATGTGGAAGACGCGTTTTATCAGTCCATTCCAAGTTCGTTTTTTTATATTTTCTTGATTCAGTTTCATTTCTTTCAATCAATGGATGTCTCTTAAAGTTTCTGTTTTTTTTGTTTGTTGCAGAGAGTGTGTATTGGCCAATGTTCGTGATTGCGACCTTTGCAGCAATAGTTGCAAGCCAAGCCACAATCTCAGCGACGTTCTCGTTGATCAAGCAAGCGCTCGCTCACGGTTGCTTCCCTAGAGTCAAAGTCGTGCACACTTCTCGGAAGTTCCTCGGTCAGATTTACGTCCCGGACATCAACTGGATCCTCATGATCCTCTGCATAGCCGTCACCGCCGGATTCAAGAACCAGAGCCAGATAGGGAACGCTTACGGGACGGCCGTTGTGATCGTCATGCTCGTGACGACGCTTCTCATGATGTTGATCATGATACTCGTCTGGAGATGCCATTGGCTTCTAGTCTTCTTGTTCACCGTTCTCTCCCTCGTCGTCGAATGCACTTACTTCTCTGCCGTGCTCTTCAAGGTTAACCAAGGCGGTTGGGTGCCGCTTGTCATCGCCGCGGCGTTTCTTGTGATCATGTACGTTTGGCACTATGGGACGCTCAAGAGGTATGAGTTTGAGATGCATAGTAAAGTCTCCATGGCTTGGATCTTAGGGCTCGGGCCTAGCCTCGGGCTGGTTCGAGTCCCTGGGATAGGTCTTGTGTACACGGAGCTAGCGAGCGGAGTGCCTCACATCTTCTCTCATTTCATCACGAACCTGCCGGCGATTCACAACGTTGTTGTGTTTGTTTGCGTCAAGAACCTTCCGGTTTACACTGTTCCTGAGGAAGAGCGGTTCTTGGTGAAGAGAATCGGTCCCAAGAACTTCCACATGTTCCGGTGCGTGGCGAGGTACGGTTACAGAGACTTGCACAAGAAAGACGACGACTTTGAGAAGCGGCTCTTCGAAAGCCTCTTCCTTTTCGTGCGTCTTGAGTCTATGATGGAAGGATGCTCGGACTCCGACGATTACAGCGTCTGCGGAAGCCAGCAGCAGCAGCCGAACGAGAGTAGGAACTTGTCGACGTTTGGTACGTTTGATTCTGTGGAGTCGGTGAGAGCGCCAACCAAGCGGACGAGCCACACGGTGACAGGGTCGAGCCAGATGAGCGGAGAAGTGGACGAGATGGAGTTTATAAATAGGTGTAGAGACGCGGGAGTGGTGCACATAATGGGGAACACGGTGATACGAGCGAGGACGGAAGCGAGGTTCTACAAGAGAATAGCGATTGATTATGTGTATGCGTTTCTTAGGAAGATTTGTAGAGAGAATAGTGCTATCTTCAATGTTCCTCAGGAGAGCCTTTTGAATGTCGGACAGATTTTCTATGTGTAATGCAATATGTATATCATGTAAAGTGTTAGACATGATTTATATTTTGATTATGTATGTTGTAGCTAGTAGCTGTTAAAAATATACTAATAAGTGTAGTTAATTAGTGACCATTTGATATAAAAATACACAAATGCTTTCTTTGGCACTCGTTTAAAGTTAGATAAATTTGGGTAAAATTCACAAACCACCTTGGTGAACAAATCGACTCAGTTCAACTAAAATTTATTTCTCTCTTTGTTTTATACTATACATACGGCACACTAATTATAATCTCACCAGCTAATTACGTTCACGATGTGTTGAAAAAGATACCCACCTACTCATATTGAGACGCATCTTTTCTTTCTTACAAGTTACAACGATACTCAGTTTAGATCTCTGATTAAACAAAATGCAACTTTTAAGATTCAAATGAGAAAATAATTCATATTTGAAAAATACAGAACATTTTCATTATATATCTTTTATAATTTTCTTTTTGCAAAATGAAAACGTAAATAAATGCCAAAATATATGAATATACAAAGACAAACAAACAAGAGACAATTGAAGATTTAATCTAAATATAGCGACATTTCACACGACAATGACCGACATGTATGAGTGGCCAGGAAATAGAGAAAAAGATTGGACGTAAAATTATATATGAATATATGATAATCATCACTAAGAAAACGATTGGACGTAAAAAAATTTCTCTACTGGTTTTTGACAGTTTTTGTGTCTCTAGTTGTCTACCATTTGGCATCAATTGTTCAGCCACTGACGCAAATTTCAAGATTTCCTTCGTTTGTGCCGCCGCCGATCGCAGCTAAACAAGAATATAACACTGTTACAATTAGGTTTCTTGTTTGTTTTGGTGTGTGTGTGTGTGTGTGTGTGTGTGTGTTTGTCAAGCTACATCTAGTAATATAAATACCATTTACGTCTAGTGCATATATTATCAAGTTAATATCTATTATATACGGTTAGTAATTTGATTATCTTACGCATCCATTTCCTAATGACAGCAATAACAATTTTCAATTTAATGTAGATATGAATCTGAAAACACTTATAAACCTAGGATAAAAGATATTTGACTGGTGGGTTATTTATATTCTTGAGTAAGAAAATGGTGCAAATTTAGACAAAAAAAAAGTGAAAAAATGGCGGCCAAAGCGGGTCACGTTACTGCCGGCGATCCAGATTCGCAACCGCAGAAACATCGGAGGCTACATCAACTGCTAGCAAAGTGTAGCGACGTGAAAAGTATTGTTTTTTTCCTCACATGTACAGCCTTTCTCTTCCACTTTTCTACCGGCATTCTCTATCGACTTGTCTACCATTCGCCGTCTAGTGTCACGACGCTATCGCCACCGCAACTTCTAAACGTTTCAACAGTTGAGCCGCCTATGACCGCTGCTGAACAAGAATTTGACATCATCGATACCGTTAGTAATTTCTTCGTATATATATACGAGTTTTCTTATCCCTATACGTAAATCTAATCGTATCTATAGATATGTAGGCTGTACAATATATTAATTTAGAACGGTTGCTTTGCAACTGAATAAAAAAATATATTGTCAACTGATGATTAATATTATATCCTCCATTTGACATAAGTATTTTACTAACAGCATGAAATATTTTGCTCTTTAGTTACCACTCTTTTTATTCATGTAAACATAAGCTGAAACGAACAAAAAAAAAAACTCTCATATATAGTTTTTGTTGGTATAAAGAGATCGCATCTTATTAGTTTTCTTTGGTGCATTGATAGTTTGAGACAGAAGATAAAATAACTTTGGTGAGAATCTTGAATGAAGCATCAATGAAGGAGAAGAAAACGGTGATCGTAACGATGATGAATCAGGCTTGGGCAGAGCCAAATTCGACCTTTGATGCATTTCTTGACGGTTTCTACGCCGGCGAAGGGACGGAGAGGCTGCTACGTCACGTGGTGGTGGTGTGTTTGGACAATGAGGCCTACTCACGGTGCAATGAGGTCCATCCTCGCCGTTGCTTCTTGCTGAAGACTACCGGAGTTGATTTCTCTGGCGAGAAGCTGTTCATGGTCCCGGATTATCTCAGGATGATGTGGCGTCGAACCGAGTTCTTGGGTTCTTTGCTTAAGCTCGGATATAACTTCCTCTTCACGGTAGTTCCTTACCTCATTTGCATTCAAACGAAGCCGTTTTTTGGTTTATTAACATGCACTCAAAAGAAAATTCTAGTTAGGTCCGTTTGTTTCAAAAAGTTCAAACCTAAAGTTTTCACGTTAAAGTATTTTGGTTATTCTAGAAAATAATACCACAAGAGGTTCAATTTGTTTTTAAGGTACTATAAACCTAAAACGTAGATGGAATTCTTTCTTCGGTTTTTGTGTGGCGTTTCTGTTTGCGTTTGCAGTAGTATTGCATCACATTAATGAACCACAATTTCTAGCTTGTATTTGTTTTCACTTTTTAAGGTAAACGCTATAAGTTACAATTTGAAAATGAAAAAAAATGCAAATTACTGCTTAACAATCCAAATATCCATTGATAAAAAGTTTATATGACATAATGCTTTTTTTTTTATAAAAAAAAAAAATAGGACATGGATACAATGTGGCTTCGAGATCCATTCACTCGGTTATTTTCAGAAGTAGATTTTCAAGTTGCTGGCGATTACTACCGCTTCAACGGCAATTCCAGTGATCTCCGAAATAAAGTTAATGGAGGCTTCAATTTCGTTGTGGCAAACCGCAAAACAGTCGAATTCTACAACTATTGGTATGCATCGAGGCTGAGATTCCCCGGGAAAAATGAGCAGGTCGTACTCGAACGGATAAAGCATGATCTTTATATCAAACAAATAGGGCTCACAATTAGGATTCTTGATCCGGTTTACTTTGGAAATTTCTGCCAACCAAAATGGAATATCAGCAAAGTCTGCATAATGCATGGTAATTGCTGCAGTGGGAAAAGGACCAAGGTTAAAGATTTGAGACATGTTCTTCAGGATTGGCAAAATTATATGTCGGTGGTGGCTTCAGGGAAGGCTGATGGCCACAAATTAGGGTTTCGAAAGCCGATGAATTGTTGGAGAAGAGGAAGGCGACATTAAGCGTTTCCTGAAAGTCATGCAATTGTACATTCTCAATCTAAGTACGTATAATACATATAAAGTCATGCAAACTGGTTAACTGGCTCGCAAACTGGATAAAATACTGCTTCCAAGTTCCAACACTTGTTACCATCAAGCAGATACAACCAAAAGTTAAGTGACGAATTAGTTTTCCAAATTATATATACGACTTACGTGAGTTTTTTTTCTTTTTGTCAACACCACTTTATTCTTTTACGTTTGCGGAGTGATATGTATATCACTTCTAAACAAAATTTGATTCTTCATTTCATTGTATTATTGGTTATGATTATATATTTAGAAAAGAATACAGAAGATTTATATTACTTTTTATAAGCACACTAATGTGACAAAAAGGAGTTTTATTTTAACAGCTAATTTAATCACTTTCAATGTTCCATGACTGGAATACTCAACCACTTCAAATTTACTCACATCTTTTTCACAACTGTTTTCAATTCAGATCTCTAATTAAATCAAATATTAATAAAATTAAAATGATTAAGAAGTTCATATCTGTAATAATTTTGCACCAAAATGATTTGACGTTTGTAAGTGATACAGTATCATTTATAGAAATAAATTGAATGTTCATTTAGTGTATTAGAACTATAGGTATTGTTTGACTTTTACACGCCACACAACATCAAATCATCTCACGGTCACACGGTGCCTTGAGAAAAAGATACTGCACCTACTTCTACTACCTGGCCCCAAGGAAATTAATCATTAATGCACATAGCATTCACACCAATATTTAATATATACTCAGATTAATTCTATATATTTATTCTTCTTATTTAATCATCAATTTTTTAAAAAACATTCACATCTCACGTCTATATTTACACGGAAAATAAAAATCACACTTCCAAAATATAAAACCTTTCCAGTCTGTATAACATTTCTTAAAACAAAAAAAAGTTAAAACGCAAATGCCAAAACCATTGGCAAGTTTCCCGCCGTTTTTCTTCATAGTTTTTCCTTTGCTATCAACAGTTAAGGGTGTGTGTTTCCTTAAAAAACGTTAAATGTAAATACAAACGCAAACAAAACAAACGACGATTTAAACTACTCCGACATTAAGGGAGTATATATTTTGACGTCCCACACGACATTAATGACCGATCATGTTATGGAACACATGCATGAGTCCGGCAATGCATTACATATAAACAACACTAAGAGAACGAGAGATTTGACTTCATATATGGTGAAAAATATAAATGAATATATGATCATCACTAAGAAAACGACGGCCAGGTTTAGCCCCACCGTCAAAAACGGCGGTGGAGGTCTACACTCGCAGCCGCTGAAACAGATGTTGCTGCAACTTCAAGCAAAGTGGAGAGTCCTTAAATGGATTGTTTCTCTATTGGTTTTGACAGTTTTGCTGTCTTTAGCTGTCTACCATTTGGCGTCATTAATTGTTCAGCCACTGCCGCAAATTTCAAGATATCCTCCATTTGTGCCACCGCTGATCGCAGCCAAACAAGAATCTACCAACACTGCGGCGGTTAGTAATGCATTCATCATCTACATGTAAACCATATTATAGATAAAAGGAATACTTAAGTAATATATCTAATTTATCCTTTTAAAACATGAGACACTACAATATTATATTTTTATATGTATCTTGTAGTAGTTAGTCCACAGCATGTGAATCTATAAATTTGACTAATCAATCTGAGAAAATACTTTAGCATTTTTAACCGGTCATCAGAAACAGTAATAGCGTAATAATATTGTTATATAACTTTTGGTATATAAAATCATATTTTATTAGTTCTGTTTGGTTGATAGAATGAGGCAGAAGATAGGAGAAATTTGGTTAGAATCTTGGAAGAAGCATCGATGAAGGACAAGAAGACGGTGATAGTAACGATCATGAACCAGGCTTCGGCGGAGCCAAATTCGACGTTTGATGTATTTCTTGAGGGGTTTCTAACCGGGGAAGGGACGGAGAGGCTGCTCCGTCACGTGGTGGTGGTTTGTTTGGATGATAAAGCCTACTCAGAGTGCTTGGAGGTCTTTCCCCGCCGTTGCTACTTGCTGAGGACTACCGGAGTTGATTTCTCCGGCGAGGATTATGTCAAAATGATGTGGCGCCGGACCGAGTTCTTAGGTTATTTGCTTAAGCTTGGATATAACTTCCTCTTCACGGTAACGTTCTCTAACGTCCTTGCTTATATTTGATAATATTTTTTTTCTGCTAAATGTTTGTTTTAAAAATATAGGACATGGATACAATTTGGCTTCGAGATCCATTTCCTCGTTTATTCGAGGATGTAGATTTTCAGATCGCTTGCGATTTCTTCTCCATCGGATTTTTCAGTGAGACGTGCAATTCAGCCAATGGCGGATTCAAATTCGTCATTGCGAACAACAGAACAATGGAGTTCTACAAATATTGGTATGAGTCAAGAATAAGATTCCCTGGCAAAAGCGAGCAATACGTGCTTAACCGGATCAAAGAAGATGAGTACGTTAACAAGATCGGGCTTAAGATGAGGTTTTTAGATGCAATCGACGTTGGAAATTTCTGCCAACAAAATTGGGATATTACGAAACTCTGCGTAATGCATGGGAATTGTTGCGTTGGACAGGCTAATAAGGTTAATGATTTAAGACAAGTTCTTGAGGATTGGACCAATTATTTTTCAAATGGCGACCGGGAAAGAGGATTTCGACAGCCGATGAATTGCCGGAGAAGTATCATGGGGATGTTACACGAATAGCGCTAAAGGAGTGCTTGATTCGATCGGTTTATATTTATGCATGCTGGTGAAAAAGATTTAAGGCAAGATAGCACTACAACAAATATGGGTATTGATAGCAGACGGAAAACGCTATCATATGGGTTAGATAGCGCTTGTATCATCTCCGACGCTATAATAGAGTACCCACCTATGATAGCGTTTCTGGTCAGGTGCTATCGTAGCCCTACTCTACAATAGCGGTTTACAAATGTCGTTGTTTCGTTAAAGATGGCACAAATATGATGTTATGGTTTACAGTTTTACAGCGCTCTGTTATTGTTATAGTAATATTTGTAGTAGCGACTGTTTCGTGCTATATCAATAATTCTTGTAGCTTATTTTGTGCGCTATTTCAAACTCTTTTGTGGCGTTACATTCCCGCTGTTATTATATGCATTGTAGCTCATACATTATGCTACAAGTTAGCCAAACAATGGCTGAATAATTTTGCCATATAAAAAGTATATATTCGTGAATATGGTTTTAGAAATCGACATGCTGAAACTGAAATAGAAACTGAGAAGATGATTGATATAGTTAAAAATTTAATGCATAGTAGAAAAATTCAGAGTCAAAGAAACATTACAACATAGTACTTAAGTTTAATCTTGCAAAGGGAACATATTTGTACTGTCTTAATTCCCAAACAAAGCAAATCCCAACAGATATGAGCTTCCTCGGTGCCATCTCTTCCTTCAAAAAAAATTAAAAGACAATGAGACTGAGATATTTCAGCAAATAAGAACATGAAGAACAAACACCGCGATGATTCAAACTAACAAGGGATTTAGCTCTTCTGAGATTTTAGATATACAAAAATATGATTAGAACAATACTTTACAAGACTCTGTTTAACAAGGTGAGATCAAGTTGTGTATAAGAGTAAAAACGATACTATCATCCTGCAGTAAAACTCGAGTCAATTTCTCTACTTACTTTCATCATCAACAGATTTATTTCATCTACTTAGGAATATACATCCTCAGTTACTGAAAAAATGAGGAATATATATCACACGCAACCAACCAACGAAATGTCAAGGAATCCAGATAATATATGTCATACGAATCTTATTTGTTCTTTGGCATAAATTTCAGAGCTACTTATATATGACAAGATGCTTAGTCTAACCTAGAACTTGATACATCACTCAATCTACTTTGCAATGGAACTAACCTCAAACACAAAAAAGTACCTATTTTAGATGAATCATATCTGAAGATTGGGGAAGAGATCCAGGTTTTGAGCTAACAGTCTGGCTAATAGAATGGGGCTGAGAAGACTCTTTCTCATCATCAGATATCTGAAGATTTAGTAGACCATTAAGCATGATAGACAACTAATAAAAGACTTTAGTAGAGAGAAACCAAATCCAAATCACATACTTTAGGATTCTCGTTGGTATAAAAAGAGTTAAAATTGTCCTTAGCTCCTTCTTCCTCCATCATCAAATCAACACTACCCGATGAGGATTTTCAAATCAAACAAAAAGGATTTCAATTCAAGAAAGTAGAAAAAGCTTACATGTAGCTCCTTACGCTGTTGGAATTGCATATAAGTATCTTAAATCTGCACAAAAGTATAAGAATTACATATGGTTCTAACAAATCAAATAGCCCAAAACCTGCAATTGTGAATCAATGGTGAGATATTACTACCTTAATCATTCTCTTGTTCATAGGCTTATGAATTAATATCTATTTGAGACAACCTTCTCTGGAGATTTGATATCCATTCAGTTCGCTTTGTCCTCTCCAACAGAAACTCCATTTACTTTCATGTTCTTTTACTGAAGAAATCAATGTGAACTATTCAAAGAATTAACTGTGAAAACCAATTCGTAAGCTCCGGTGGCTCTGTAAAACAAATTCAAGGTTAGATTTTACCGACAATAGAGTACTCGAAAGTCCTGAAAAAGCATCAAACACAACCCAAATCTCAGACATCAATCAAAAATCTAGCCATTAAAATAATACTCTTCAGCATCAGAAAACTGGAAGCAGAAATTAACTCAGTTCTAGCAAATAGAATGCCTAAACCCCCAAACGTTTTGAAGCTAAGAGAATCGTCATACGAACTCGGCAGAACAATAAGCTTTGTAGAATTTCTACCCCAAAGTCATGGTTAAATGGTTATCCCGATTCTTCTACTACCTCGACCGTTACTTCATTGCTCGGAGATCACTTGCACCACTGAGTGAAGTTGGCATGACATGCTTCCGCGACCTGGTTTATAAGGAGTTGCATTCCACGGCCAAGGACGTTGTGATAGAGCTGATTCACGAGGAACGCGAGGGCGGACAGATTGACAGGGCGCTGTTGAAGAACGTGTTGGATATCTATGTTGAGACTGGGACGGACCAATACAAAAATGATTTTGAGACGTTGATGCTTAAAGACTCCACAGTCTTACTACTCTCGCAAGGCCGCAAGCTGGATCCAAGAGGACTCTTGCCCTGAATACATGCAAAAGGCCGAGGAGTGTCTGAGAAAGGAGAAGGAGAGAGTCGCTCACTACCTTCATTCAACCACTGAGGCAGGACTAGTTAAGATTGTACAAAGAGTTGTTGGTTAAGGTTGCGAAACAGCTTCTGGACAAGAGCACTCTGGGTGCCGTGCATTGCTAAGAGATGACAAGGTGGATGATCTCTCCAGGATGTACAGGCTTTATCAGCCAATTGCCAAAGGGTTGGAGCCTGTTGCAGACGTTTTCAAGCAGCATGTTACTGCGGAGGGGAATGCCCTAATCAAACAAGCCGAAGACGCAGCTACTAGTGGTGGCGTGCAGGATCAGGTTCTTGTCACACAGATAATGGAGCTACACGATAAGTACATGGACTATGTCACGAAATCTTTCCAGAGCCACACCCTCTTCCATAAGGCATTGAAAGAGGCGTTTGAAGTCTTCTGTAACAAGAACGTGGCTGGAAGTTCCAGTGCAGAGTTACTTGCAACGTTTGCGATAATCTCCTCAAGAAGGGAGGAATTGAGAAGCTGAGTGAAGAGGCTGTTGAACACGCTTGAGAATGTAGTCAAGTTGCTTGCTTATATAAGCGACAAGGATCTCTTTGCCGAGTTTTACAGGAAGAAGCAAGCTCGTAGGCTCTTGTTTGATCGGAGTGGTGGTGAAGAGCATGAGAGTTCTCTACTTACAAAGCTCAAACAGCAACTCGGTGGCCAGTTTACTTCTAAGATGGAGGGCATGGTTACGGATATGACTTTGGCAAAAGATAGCCAGCTCCAATTCGAGGCGTATTTAAACACTTGCGTTGCCACAAAACCGGGGATTGATATGACCGTGACTGTTCTCACCACTGGTTTTTGGCCAAGTTACAAAACATCTGACCTCAATCTACCCAGTGAAATGGTAACTCTTTTTTTTTTACGGAAAACATTCTCTCATATGGTGATCTAAACTTGGTTTGGTTTTGTCTCAGATCAACTGTATTCAGGTCTTCAAGGCATATTACGAACTGAGAACCAGTCACAGGAGACTTGTGTGGATTTATTCTCTGGGAACATGTCATGTCGTTGGAAGGTTTAGTGCAAAACCAATCGAGTTAATCGTTTCCACCTACCAGGTATCTATCTTTGTTTTTGTTTTCTCAAAACCAATTGGTACATTGATTTTCGGCACTAAACTGAATATCTTTTTCTTTCATATCAGGCTGCTGTGCTTTTGCTTTTCAACAACACTGAAAGATTAAAATACAATGAGATAGTTGAACAACTCAACCTTACCCACGAAGATCTTGTCAGGCTGCTTCATTCCCTGTCATGCGCAAAGTACAAGATTCTTAAAAAAGAACCCATGTCAAAAACAATCTCTCGTACCGATGTTTTCGAATTCAACTCCCACTTCACCGATAAATGAGGAGAATTAAGGTAAAGTCATATATATATGAGCATTTTTCGCCTCCTGGATCAAAAAGATCAAAGACGCTAATGAATATTCTACATCAACAACAACAGGTGCCTCTTCCTCCAATGGATGAGCGGAAGAAGGTGGTTGAAGATGTTGACAAAGATAGACGCTATGCGATTGATGCAGCTGTCGTGCGGATCATGAAGAGCAGGAAAGTGTTGCCCCATCAACAGTTGGTCTCTGAATGTGTTGAGCTTCTTAGCAAAATGTTCAAGGTATACAAACTTCTTAAACAAAAAAACTCACATACGGTTTGTTTAATTTTTGCACAATATATATAATAACATAGCTTAATTCGGTGTCTTGTTTTGTTTGCAGCCTGATATAAAGATGATCAAGAAACGGATTGAGGATTTGATCAGCCGAGACTATTTGGAGCGTGATACCGACAATCCTAACACTTTCAAGTACTTGGCTTAGTACATAGAGCGAGAGACAAAGCTAAAGGTGTTATAGTTCTTCTCCCGGATTTTGTACAGGTCTCTTTAGATTTTTTTGGATGAATTTTGGTCTTTGAAAAGAACGAATGTCTTTCTTTACTCTTTATCTTTTTTTTCCCAGAAATACTTTTTAATCTTCATAATTGTCTCAATGTGGATGAAAAATCCTAAAACCCTCAATTCTTGCTTACAAGGCCGGATTGTCTTCCTTAGAATTTCTCTATGTACAATTAGTTTATATACACACGACAGAGGATGGCAACTTTTAATATTTAGGCTCTGTTCGTTTACAAAAACTGAATATTGCATTTGGGCATTTGAGCACTCAAATGCTAAAATGTTGTTCTTTTGTCACAAAAACAATAAAAATTCAGATGTTGCATTTGAATGCAAAGTCAAATGCTAGATATTTGGAATGCAAAAAAAAAAAAAAAAAAAAGAATTTGAATGCAATATTTGCATTTCAAAAAGAAAAAAAAAATCACATCAAAACCATAAATAATATTTTTTTCGCTAAAATCATAAATTGTGTTTTTCAGCCAAAACCGTAAAACCACGGCTTTCCTCCAAAATCACGATTTTTCATCAAAACCGTAAAAACATGTTTTCCGTCAAAAACGTAAAAACCGTAAAAAGACGTTTTTCCGTCAAAAAACGTAAAATCGCATTTTTCCGTCAAAAACCGTAAAATTGCGTTTTTCCGCCAAACACGTAAAATCGTAATTTTTCTCCAAAACCGTAAAAACAAGTTTTTCCGTCAAATGTCGTAAAATCGCGGTTTTCCGCCAAAACCGTAAAATCATGATTTTCGCCAAAAACATAAAATCAAGTTTTTCCGTCAAAAACCATAGAATTGTGTTTTTCCGCCAAAATCATGTTTTCCGCCAAAATTGTATAATCATATTTTCCCGCCAAACCGTAAAATCATGTTTTTTCGCCAAAACAGAAAATAACGGCTATCCGCCAAAAAAGTAAAATCATGTTTTCCTGCCAAAAACGTAACCGTGATTTTACGTTTTGGCGGGAAAATATGATTTTACGGTTTTGGCAGGAAAACATGATTTTACGGTTTTGGCTGATTTTACGGTTTTGGCGGATAGCCCTGATTTTATGTTTTTGGCATAAAAACGTGATTTTACGTTTTTGGCGGATATGTGATTTTACGGGTTTGGCAGAAATATGTGATTTTACGTTTTTGGCGGAAATACGTGTTTTTACGGTTTTGATGGAAAACCGTAAAATTGTGTTTTTTCTACAAAAAATTGTAAATTTCGGATTTTCATTTGATAGATTTTGTATTTAGATTTTTTAACAAATTCACAAAAGAACAACATCATATCTAAATGCAATTTCTAAATGCAAAAGTTATTTTGAAAACAAACATCTAAATGTTGCATTTGAAAATGCATCTAGATTATAGCATTTGGAAATTGCATTCAAATGCATCAATAACACAAACGAACAGGCCCTTAATCGTCAGCAAGTCTCACAAATCAAGATCCTAACACAAAAGTTAGAAACTTCACTATTCTGTTATCACTGTTCTGTTAGTACTGTAAGGAAAATCTCTTTACTAATTGTGAATGTAAATGGTTTTCTTTGGTTTAGCATTGATCCAGGCCCATTAGGGTTTATATCCTCTAGTTTCTTTTGTTTAGGGCTTTTCATTTATGCCTTTTTCTTTCTTCATTCTTTGTATAATATAAAACCCAAAAATATTTTTATATGAAAAGTTGAAAACCTTTTAACAAAAACTGTAAACGTGAAAGTTGTAACGAAAATGGAAGAAAAGTTATTGTTTACATTTGACGTTTGCTTGTGCACTTTGCAATATATTTTATGGCATTTATGCATAACTAAAAAGTGTAAACTCTTATATATATGTAAAAAAAAAACCTCATGTGAACACAAACGCAAAAGATTGCCAACTTTTGTGCCAATGGCGACCGGAAAGAGGGTTTCGACAATTCATCAGCTGTCGAAACCCTGGAAGGAACGGAACTCACCGCGACATGAGAGCAGCCGCTATCTCCAACAGTCCTCTTGAGAATTGGACCAACTTTTTTGCCAATGGCGACCGGAAAGAGGGTTTCGACAGCCGATGAATTACCGGAGCAGTCTAAGGCAGAAGAGGCCTCACAAAAGTAAAGCAACCTAGTTTAATAATAATACATTATAGATATACTCTAATAATAACCACTAGGGGGTTACCCACGCCTAATACGTGGGATTGATTAAACTTTTAAAAAATTCATATAAAATAAATTATTATTGAATGAATATTACATTTTCTATATTATTTTTAGATTAATATCTATTTTGTTTCTTTATCAATTCATATAAATATTTTAAATATAATAATATGTATATTGTCTCAATTACAAATATTATAATTTTTTATGTTCTGGAATAATGGATAGATATTTTAGACAAATGCTAATGATAGTTTCATACAATTAATATTTTGATTTTTGTTGTGAACATATGTTTCGAAGAATATGCGAATTATAAATACTTGTATATCTTAACAACAATGATTCATTATTACTGACCAAATCTGTTTATGAATAAATCGGAATATTTATTACAATAATATTTAGTAACCATATCAAATAACAGATCTTTCGAAAAAGGAAAGAGGTGTTCTTGTATGGGAATATTATTAAATTTTGTTATCTTCCGAAATAAACGTTACCTTAAATAAAATGGACGGTGTGATTAACAAAATCATATAAACAATCTGATAAATCTTCTCATCCTTTATGGTAAATTATATGGCGCTCGAATTGAAGTAAATGTTTTGTAACCCAATAAGCAAATTCATCAATTAATTCGGTCTAATGAAAATAAAAAAGATCCGACCCGGTTTAGGATCCGCGTCCCAACCCGAAAAGTGAAAAAGAATTGCTTTAAAAAAAATAAAAAAGCCCAAAAAACTGAGAGCTTGCCACATCAGCAAAAATGCATGGTCTTTAATATATTGTAGGATTAGGTTGAATTCGTCCCGCCGTAACAGAGACTTCTCTAGAAACCATGATTGTTTGAACGTAGTATATAAATACCATAAACATAAACTTTGCTGCAATACAATAAATAAAGGTCCCAGATTTTTATTTCCTTGTAAAGGTTTTTAATAAGATTTTTAAAAATAAAAAAATGACTTAAAGTCTTCACCGCCTTTCTCATTCTCGGAGCCTATAAATACGCTTATTTTCATTGCTCTTTATATTCTTCATCATCACTTACTCTGGTACGTTTCATCTTCTTAGGGTTTACGATTACTTTTGAGTATTTTGTATGATTTTGCTTCTGTTCCGCGTTTCGCGTTTCTATACGATTTTGATTCGAGTTAGGGTTACTCGGGTTCTCTGAGCTTTGTTGATTCATGGCAATTCTTGACTAGTTTCAGAGATTGATATGTATCGTTAATCGAATTTCAAATCCGTTGTTCTTTTATCTCTTGTTTGTGGATCTTTGACTATCGATACTAAAAATCCGCGTGACTATTACACGATTGTAGAAAAAAAACTAATCTAATTGAAGAAGGATGGACTACGTCAAGGTCATTGGGTTGGAAGAAGGATTGTCTCATATGGAGGTCGGAGTTACAAAGCTCACAAGGATTCTAGAAGGAAAGAAGGAGGCACCTTTTGATTCTGAATCTTATATGCGTCTCTACACGTATGTCATCGTCTTATCTAACTTTTGTTGTTATTTTACAAGACTTGTGTATGGATTCTTATTCTCATGTGATCCCACAGGACTATCTACAACATGTGCACACAGAAACCTCCTCACGATTACTCTCAGGAGCTTTATGATATGTATCATAAAGTGCTTGAAGATTATCTTACTCAAAGGGTGAGTGCAGTGATCTCTATATGTTGACTCCTTGTTTGATTATGATTATAAGTTTACAAACAGTTTAATCTGACTCCTTTTTTTTTTGGTTAGGCGTTGCCCTGTTTAAAGGAGAAGCATGGTGTGTTTCTGCTGAGAAAGCTTGTTCTGAGGTGGTCTCATCATAAAGTCATGGTGAGATGGTTAGCCCGATTCTTCCACTACCTCGACCGTTACTATATTGGTCGGAGATCACTTCCATCACTGAAAGAAGTTGGCATGACATGCTTCCGCGACCTGGTTTATAAGGAGTTGCACTCTAGGGCCAAGGACGTTGTGATAGAGCTGATTCACGAGGAACGTGAGGGCGGACAGATTGACAGGGCGCTGTTGAAGAACGTGTTGGATATCTATGTTGAGACTGGGACGGATAAATACAAAAATGATTTTGAGGTCTTGATGCTTAAAGACTCCACATCTTACTACTCTCGCAAGGCCGCAAGCTGGATCGAAGAGGACTCTTGCCCTGAATACATGCAAAAGGCTGAGGAGTGTCTGAGAAAGGAGAAGGAGAGAGTCGCTCACTACCTTCATTCAACCTCCGAGGCAGGACTAGTTGAGATTGTACAAAGAGAATTGTTGGTCAAGGTTGCAAAACAGCTTCTAGAGAAAGAGCACTCTGGGTGCGGTGCATTGCTAAGAGATGACAAGGTGGATGATCTCTCCAGGATGTACAGGCTTTATCAGCCAATTGCCAAAGGGTTGGAGCCTGTTGCAGACGTATTCAAGCAGCATATAACCGCAGAGGGTAATGCCCTTATCAAACAAGCCGAAGACGCAGCTACAAGTAGTGGCGTGCAGGATCAGGTTCTTGTCACACAGATAATGGAGCTGCACGATAAATACATGGCCTATGTCACGGGCTCTTTCCAGAGCCACACCCTCTTCCATAAGGCATTGAAAGAGGCATTTGAAGTCTGCTGTAACAAAAACGTGGCTGGAAGTTCCAGTGCAGAGTTACTTGCAATATTTTGCGATAATCTCCTCAGTAAGGGAGGAATTGAGAAGCTGGGTGACGAGGCTGTTGAACATACGCTTGAGAATGTAGTCAAGTTGCTTGCTTATATAAGAGACAAGGATCTCTTTGCCGAGTTTTACAGGAAGAAGCAAGCTCGTAGGCTCTTGTTTGATCGGAGTGGTGGTGAAGAGCATGAGAGTTCTTTACTTACAAATCTCAAGCAGAAAATCGGTGGCCAGTTTACTTCTAAGATGGAGTGCATGGTTAGTTTTGATGACTTTTTTTTCTTGCTTTATTTACAAGTAATAATTAGGGTTAAAATAATGCTTTATATCCGTTTTGATATAGGTGACGGATATGACTTTGGCAAAAGAGCAGCAGCTGGACTTCGAGGCGTATTTAAACACTTGCGTTGCCACAAAACCGGGGATTGATTTGACCGTGACTGTTCTCACCACTGGTTTTTGGCCAAGTTACAAAACATCTGACCTCAATCTACCCAGTGAAATGATCAAGTGTATTCAGGTCTTCAAGGCATATTATGAACAGAGAACCAGTCACAGGAGACTTATGTGGGTTTATTCTCTGGGAACTTGTCATGTCGTTGGAAGGTTTAGTGCAAAACCAATCGAGTTAATCGTTTCCACCTACCAGGTATCTATCTTTGTTTTGTTTTCTCAAAAGCCAATTGGTTTTCGGCACTAAACTGAATATCTTTTTCTTTCATATCAGGCTGCTGTGCTTTTGCTTTTCAACAACACTGAAAGATTAACCTACAATGAGATAGTTGAACAGCTCAACCTTAGCCACGAAGATCTTGTCAGGCTGCTTCATTCACTGTCATGCGCAAAGTACAAGATTCTTAAAAAGGAACCAATGTCAAAAACCATCTCTCGTACCGATGCTTTCGAATTCAACTCCAACTTCACCGATAGAATGAGGAGAATTAAGGTGCCTCTTCCTCCAATGGATGAGCGGAAGAAGGTGGTTGAAGATGTTGACAAAGATAGACGCTATGCGATTGATGCAGCTGTCGTGCGGATCATGAAGAGCAGGAAAGTGTTGCCTCATCAACAGTTGGTCTCTGAATGTGTTGAGCTTCTTAGCAAAATGTTCAAGGTAAACTACTTAAAAACAACGAGTCACATTTGGTTTGATTAATTATTACATAACATATATAATAATAACATAACTTAATTCTTTTTATTGTTTTGTTTGCAGCCTGATATAAAGATGATCAAGAAACAGATTGAGGATTTGATCAGCAGAGACTATTTGGAGCGGGATACCGATAATCTTAACACTTTCAAGTACTTGGCTTAGTAGTACATAGAGCGAGAGACAAAGCTAAAGGTCTTATATATAGTCTTCCTCTCCGGGATTTTGTAAAGGTCTCTTTAGATTTTTTTTGATGAATTTTGGTGTTTGAAAAGAACCAATGTCTTTCTTTAGTCTTTACTCTTTATCTTTTTTTTTTTCCCCAGAAATACTTTTTAATCTTCATAATTGTCTCAATGTGGATGAAAAATCCCAAAAACCGTCAATTCTTGCTTACAAAGCCGGATTGTCTTCCTTAGAATATATATATGTACAATTAGTTTATAACACACACAACAGAGGATGGCAACTTTTAATATTTAATCGTCAGCAAGTCTCACAAATTAAGATCCTAGCTAACACTATACACTTCATAAAAAGATACAATGCCTTCGTTTCTATAATCATTCTTCTTCCTGACTTTGATTCGCTCTCACATTGAAGTCTCGTGGTGCCTTTCCTACGACTTGCGGAAAAAGTCACCGGTGAACCTCATTTTCCTTTGACGTCAGATGCCCTGAAGAAGGTTTTCACTGGCCAAGCCTCTCTGCTTGTTGCATTCCGCATTCCATAGCCTAATCTTATCCTTAGTAATTTGCATAACTAAAAAGTGTAAACTTTTATATATATGTAAAAAAAAAAAATCTCATGTGAACACAAACGCAAAAATGCCAGCCATATAGAACCATCAACGTACAACGAATCCATCTATATTTCCCATGCATCTTGTCTTATTGCATCATTCTTTGTTATCTCCTAATTAATGAGCCAGACTTGGAAAGGTTGCTGTACTCCTCCTTACCATGCGGTTGTATAGGATCTTCAAGCAGGATATGTGATATGTCTTTACGCACCAAATCAGTTTCAGCAATCATTCAGCTAGTTACCATCAATCAGCTACAACCAAATGTAAAATTACGAATTAATGTTACATATTATATTCTTACCACTAAAGTGACTCTTACACGTTTGTAAGTGAAATCATTTCTAGAAAGAAAAAAATTGAATCTTCTTTTGATTATAAGTTATTTATAACTGATTAACTTTTATACGCCACACTAAAGTCAACCAAAAGGTAATATATTATCGTACCAGCTATTCAATTACGTCCACGCCTCCACGGTGCCTTGAAAGCTATATACCCACCTAATTCTTTTACTTGGCCAAGTATATTAAATATTTAACGTATATAGAGACGCAACATTTTCACAACAATATTCAATCTGGCCCTCAAATTAATTATAACAATATCAATTTTTGAAAGCCACATTTCACCTTTCATACGAAAATAAAGACAATATATGAAATATGATCGCCACTAAGAAAACGTCGGCTAGCTTTAACCCTACCGTCAACGGCGGCAACAGCCTCTGATACAGATGTTGTTGAAGCTTCAAGCAAAGTGGAGAGAGCTTAAATGGATTGCTTCTCTCTTGGTTTTGACAGTTTCTATGTCGCTATTTGGCTACCATTTGGCGTCATTTATTCAGCCACAGCCTCTACCGCTACCCCAAATTTCCAACTTTTCTGCGTTTGTGCCACCGTTGATCACAGCCAAACAAAAACCTAACGACACTGACAACGTTGGTAACCTCGTTTCATGTTCTACATAAGTAATCTACAATAGATACATATAGAAATTTTGTATTGAATTTAAATTAAACTTTACTATCTAGTAATTGGATTTGTTTGGTTGATAGACTGAGGCTGATGATAGGAGAAATTTGGCTAGAATCCTAAGAGAAGCATCGACGGAGGAGAAGACGGTGATAGTGACAATGATGAATCAGGCTTATGCGGAGCGAGACTCAACGTTCGATGTGTTTCTTGAGAGTTTTCGATTCGGAAACGGCACGGAGAGGCTGCTCCGTCACGTTGTGGTGGTGTGTTTGGACGATAAATCTTACTCACGGTGCTTGGAGGTCTTCCCTCGCCGTTGCTTCTTGCTGAGGACTACCGGAATTGATTTCTCCGGCGAGAGGCTGTTCATGAAGGGGGATTATCTCAAGATGATGTGGCGCCGAACCGAGTTCTTGGGTTCTTTGCTTAGCCTCGGATATAACTTCCTCTTCACGGTACCTCTCTTAGCTCATCGAATGCAAGTTTTTATATAACAAAATTATTGTTCTACCATTTATTTTGCTTATTTTTTTCTACAACTTGGTCATGAAATTTTTGACATATTTTTTAAAGACAAATCTTTTAAAATTTATGAATTAGTCGTGTTATCATCAAATATTGGTTTGGTTTTGATTTAGAACTTTTTGTTTTGTTTTTAATACCACCTTTTTCTTCTAAATATAATTTCTTTGGGTTTAATATTGTTTTAGGACATGGACACAGTGTGGCTTCGAGATCCATTTCCTCGATTCATTGCGGATGTAGATTTTCAGATCGCTTGCGACCGCTTCAACGGAAACAGCAGCGACACCCGCAATTACGCTAATGGCGGATTCAAATACGTCATTGCCAACCCAAGAACGATCGAGTTCTACAACTATTGGTATGAGTCCAGACTAAGATTCCCCGGAAAAAACGAGCAGGACGTAATTAACAAGATCAAAAACGATCGATACATAAAAAAAATGGGGCTCAAAATGAGGTTTCTCCAAACGACACACGTTGGAAATTTCTGCCAACAAGACTGGGATATTACCAAAGTTTGCGTAATGCATGGGAACTGTTGCATTGGACAGGCTAATAAGGTCAAGGATTTGAGACAAGTTCTTGAGGATTGGACCAACTTTTTTGCCAATGGTGACCGGAAAAGAGGGTTTCGACAGCCGATGAATTGCCGGAGCAGTCTAAGGCGGAAGAGGCCTCACATAGGTTAATACATTATAGATCTACTCTAATAATAATCACTAGATTGAATTCGTCCCGTCGTTACCGAGATTTCTCTACAAATTACTTTGATTGTTTGGTTGTGTTTTTGCATGTTATAATCTTTTTTTTTTTTTTTTTTTTTTCTTCAAATGAATCATGACCTTAGAAAATACATTTGAAATCATCAATATTTTACGACAATTCTTATTTCTACATCCGATAAAATACAAATGTATATATGAGCTCTTAGACAATAGAAAAGAGTGGAGATTAAGCTCAACCTATATCGTTTTTTGTTTTGGTTTAAAAGGAACAATAATACTTTGCAAGGGGTCGTTTTAAAACCTCTTAGTTGTAAATGTCATTATGAAAAGAAGTTTTATGAAAAGGCAAAATTTCATGTAAGCAAACAAAAATGATAAAGGCACAGCTCCCATGCGGACCACCACGTTTATTTGCACCACTTCTGAATTGTTCATTACAAAAACCCAAAATGGCATCAGCTTCGTACGTATGCATAAATTGGAAGGTATACCATGATCATCTTGAAATATCCCGGCACCATAAACAGCTTCTTGCCGGAAAAAATGGATCTTGATTTAGTTGATTTGTTCTACCTTTATACGTCATACTAAAGCCACAAAGGCTAATATACCAGCTAACTTAATGACGTTCACGGTGCCTTGAAAACGATATAATCACTTACTTTCTACTCGGCCAAGAAAACTAAATATTTAATGCCTATAGAGATTAAAGACGCATCTTTTTCACATTAATATTCTACTTAGCGAGGTCTCAGAGTATATAAAACGCAAATTTTTGAAGTTTTTGTAGTTAAATATTCACATTTCTAAAATATGAAATTTCCCTATTTTCTTCAAAATGCTAACACAACTGCCAATAGCAAATGGAATATCTGGTTCCTTCTCTTCTCTGTTTGTTCTACGCTTTTAACTTTACAATCAACAAAAATAAAATTTACCTGAAACAATTAAGATTGTGGATTCACTTGGAAATAATATTATCTAAATATAAATACCAAGTTACCAACGTACAAGCAAACAAAAATAATCGAGGATCTAATCTATACATTGCGACAATTTAACACGACATTAGTGAGTATTGACCGATCATGTTATAAAACAATACATGCATTACATATTAACGATACCAAGATAAAAAGATTTGATTTGAGATTATATATTGTTGAAATATGATCATCTTTAAGAAATTGGCGGCCAGCTTTAGCCCCACCGTCAACAGCGGCGGGGGCAGTATAGGGTCGCAGCCACTGAAACAGATATTGCGGAAACTTCAAGTAAACTGGAGAGAGGTTAAATGGATTGTTTCTCTATTTGTTTTGACAGTCTTGCTGTCACTTGTTGTCTACCGTTCGACGTCACTTGTGCAGCCACTTCTGCCGCAATTTCCTAGATTATCTACACTTGTGCCGCCGCTGGTAGCAGCCAAACAAGAAATTAACAACACTGATACTGTAAGTACTGTATTCTGGTACATGTAAATCATACTATAAAAAATGTCTATACTTAAAAGCAAAAATACTTGAGAAGCATGCCTATCTATTTATTACTTTTAAAACAAGAGACATAATAAAATGTTTTTTTCTATGTATCCTTAGAGTAGGTAGTCTACAATCTATGAATATAGAAATTTACTGTTCAATTGGAATATAGTACTTTAGTATTTCAACTGGTCAGCAGAAAGTAATAATAGCATATAATACTGTGATATGAATCTTAGAATCTAGTAATATTTTGTTTTATTTGGTTGATGTAGATTGAGGCGAAAGATATGAGAAATATGGCGAGAATCTTGAAGGAAGCATCGCTGAAGGACAAGAATACGGTAATAGTGACAATGATGAACCAGGCTTGGGCTAAGCCAAATTCCATATTTGATATGTTTCTTGAGAGTTTTCGAATCGGCAATGGGACTAATAGGCTACTCCGCCATATCGTGGTGTTGTGTTTGGATGATAAAGCCTACTCACGGTGCTTGGAGGTCTTTCCCCGCCATTGCATATTGCTAAGGACTCCTGGTGTTGATTTCTCCGGCGAGAAGCGGTACATGGTCCCTGATTATCTCAAGATGATGTGGCGCCGGACTGAGTTCTTGGGTACTTTGCTTAAGCTTGGATATAACTTCCTCTTCACGGTACCTCTCTAAGATTGCAGCTTTAATTCTGTTATTCAATTCGGTTAAGTTTGGCTATTTGGATTTTATTTTTGGTTTATTAGTTCAGTTTGAAAATCAATAAACGATCTAGCAACTTCTGGTTTGATTCGGTTTCACAACATATCTGTTTTAGTTTTGGTTCTTTGGGATGAGAAAACAAAACATTGTCAACATATGAGAAATAATTAAAAAGTATAAATAAATATTTACAAAATTGGATTTTATCTGGACTGGAATTAAAATAGTAAAACTGATATAGAATTTTAGTTTGGTTTAGTTTAACTTATCCGATCGCTCAACCGATTTGTCTTTAATGAAATATCTTTGAAGCTGAATTTGTAACATTTTGTAACATAGTTTTACCAAATGTTTGTTCAAAAAATAGGACATGGATGCAATTTGGCTTCGAGATCCATTTCCTCGATTAGTTGCGGATGTAGATTTTCAGATCGCTTGCAATTTATACTTCAACGGAAATTTCAGCGACATGCGGCACAATGCAGCCAATGGCGGATTCAAATACGTCATGTCGAACAACAGAACAATCAATTTCTACGACTATTGGTATGACTCCAGACTAAGATTCCCCGGTAAACACGAGCAAGACGTGCTTAACTATATCAAATTAGATCCATACGTTAAAGAAATCGGGCTCAAGATGAGGATGATAGATACAGTCGACGTTGCAAGTTTCTGCCAACCAGACTGGGATATAACCAAAGTCTGCGTAATGCATGGGAATTGTTGTATTGGCCAGGCTAATAAGGTCAAGGATTTGAGGCACGTTCTTGAGGACTGGACCAACTTTTTTGTCAATGGCGACCGGAAAAGAGGGTTTCGACAGCCGAGGAATTGCCGGCGTAGTAACAGGTGGAGGCCTCCCAGGAGGCCCAAAAGGAGTGGTTGATTCAGTTTTTACTGACGCTGGTAAAACAAGGCAAAATAGCCAAATGAAGAAAATTATAAAAATAAAGAAGATTGAAAAGCAAGGCAAGATTGTGTGTTTATTTTTGCGTTTAACGTAATGTGTATTTTTCTCTAATAAACTCATAAGCGTACGTATTACCTTCTTCTATAATGGTTGGCCATGACATCTGAGCTGAGAGATTCTGCAAGTACAAAATCAAGAAAAATCTCATAAAAATATTCTTAGAAAGTAGAAGACATGAGATGAAAACAAAATAAATTAAAAGGTTATCTAGTAATTATAATAATTAACATCACGAAAGAAGTATTATGAAAAACCAGTGTGAACATTTTTTTGATCAAAGAAAATAGAAAAGCAATCAATTGGGATGATAAGCAAAAGAAATATTCATAAGTTCACACACAAATAAGAAGATAAGAAAATTAAATGCACTTAACTCTAGCTGTAGTAGTGAGGCAGACAAACCCTAGCTCCCTGTTAGAAACTTAAGATCTTCAACATGGTCGACAAACGCACGAACTCTGTATCCCTTAACCGCATCCATACCTTGGATTTCAACTTTCCTGAGAGTGTAACTGTCAAGATTATAGTAGTAAAATAGAACGGGTTAGATACACACTCCTTAACCAAAACAATTTCACCTGTAGCAGCAGTCACACCAGCAATCGAGACAGACGCCTTCCTCTTAACATCATCATCCTCCCACAAATCCGGCAAAACGTAGACACGCTTCGACCATTCCCTTTTCTTAACATCCTCTAAAACCCACAAACACAGCTCAAGACTAAACCTTCCATCGACACCACAACGCCACTCACTCTGAACACCTCCTAATTTACCCTTGAAATTGACAAGAACACTAGGCCTAGACCATATCGAAACGCCGTTAGCTTCCGCAACCAACTGGAATGTCTCTTTCTCATTCTCACTCTTCACATCAAAGCAAGCTATCACCACAGTGGAATTACCACCTACTACCACTCGACGAGCTACGTAATACAACACACCATTGATGCATATCCCCTCGCTTAAAGGATAATGCGTCAGTCGAGATTTTATCGACCTCCACTTGCCAGTTCCTAACGTCAGAATCTGAATCTCCTCCGGTGCAGCATCTTTATCACGGTTTATGAAAAGTACCGTGGTTTGTTTAAGAACCGGATCATAACCGAAGAAGCTATGTGAAAACTCCTTGGTTGCTTTAGGTTTTGGTACACTCACTTGTTGTCCCGTGCTAGGGTTACACACCACAGGGAGTCTCTGGCTCCACTTGGAGCGAACAGGGAAATAGATCAGTCCAGAGACAGGGCGCAGCAATTTTCTAAGCACCAATCTGCGGGGAGACGTATGTGAAACTCGGCGGCGACTGAGAGAGACGAGTCCTCGGGATTCTGAAGCTGAGGAGACGAGCAGATGATTACGTCACCGGAGTTTTTGAGGGCGAGTAAGAGACGCGGCCGAGTTATGGACCTGGTGATGAAGAAATCGGTGATAAATGGGCGGCGAAGCATGGAGGACCAGAATTTGGATGTGCGACGAAACCTAGCGATTTGTTTCGCCGACGATCTTGAGAGGATCTCGAGGATGAGATCGGTTGATTCGATTGAGCTATGCACTGCTGTTCTATTTATCGGTCTTTGCGTCAGGAGAGAATTGTGGTTTTTGATCAGATGGTTATGTCACCAGAGTTTTTTAGGGCGTATGGCTGATTTACAAATAAGTACGTATGGCTGTTTTTCTTTTAATGCACGGAATTATGGAAACTGGAAAAGGGGAATGAGTTCACATAGAATTAGGAAAATCAGGGGGAAAAATAACAACAATTCATTCCGATATGCAAAACAGTTAGACAAAAATAAAATTATAACTTTTGTTGTGATTACTTAAAAAAAAAAAAAATGCAAATCTTTTTCTTGTTGTCTTTGACGTACACTACAAGAAACCATCTTGATGCTGAAGTTTCTTTCCTCGATCCTGCTACAGAGCAACCAATAATCTTCTCTGCAATGCCATTTTTGTTTTATGAACTACATCTTAGTTTTTAAACCGAGTTTCTCGTACTGTTGAATCGTTGGTTAATGTCTGTTTTTATCTCTCAAACCAATTGAAGAATTCAAGGAAACGTGAGAAAAAAAGAAAACGAAGACAAGGTGCAACGTGATAAAGAAGTTCTTGAAGTCCATCTTTTTCTATCCAGTGTGCTTTTGGTATGTCTTATTCGTCAACTTTGCTTGTAATGTTAGCTAGCATCTAGAGGTAGTCATGTCTAATCCGGGGTAGGTTTTTACTTTTTTTAAGGCTCAGTCTATGATGTAAGTTGTAAGTTTCTATAAATATGTATTAAGAGATATGATGTTGTGTAAGAAATGAAATATCAGTTCTCTAAACCTCATCTTTCTCTATCTTACTTCAATTCATATCACTCTGTTTCTTCAGGTTTTACGAAAATGTTTTTCTGTGACTTTTAACAAGAACAAACGGCGGTGATTTTCCGTATCATCGATCGAGTTAATTTGTAAAAACAAAGTCAAAGAAAAAAAAAAGTAATATAGAGAGGTCTTAATAAAAGTTATAAACATCCATTAACACAAGAGCTTCGACACGCAAAGAAACCTCCTAATAGACTTTGCAGCTAGTCTCGAGAGTATCTCAAGAACGAGATCAATTGGGATGGAATTTCTCTTTTTTCATGATCGTTGTATTGCTGATTGGACGAAGAGAGATATACAGAGTCGTAGAGACTCTATATAAGTCGACGCTAACCAAAGGCCTAAATTCTGAAACTAGCGTACCAAAGTTGGTACAAGGTAATCCAGTTTCGGTATGGAATCTATTGAGAAATTGATGCTTAAATCCGAACTCTTCTTCTTCAATTTATCGCCGACGTACACTGCAAGTGACCGTTTTTGGAGCTGAAGTTTATTTCCTCGTTCTTGCTACAGAGCCACCAACAAGTTTCTTTGCAACCAAGAAATCTCTTTTAAAAAGCCCTTTTTGTTTTCTGAAACTAAGTCTTGATTTTTTTTTTTATCTTAGTATGTTTTACACTGTCTCTAATCAAAGTGTGTTTGCTCTTATCTTTTACAGTCCAAATTAAATTAAATGTGTACAGAAAGAAAGAAACGTCTTAAATCTCGTATCAGAGAACAGCATTAAAATTACCAACAACAACAAAAAACTGAATTTTATGAAACGCAACGCAGGATCAAACATCAGTACTTAAAGCTAACATGAAACATGTAAATGAGAAGTCACACTCACTGCCAAAATAGCTAATTGGATTCTAAGAATCGAGACCTGTCCCTATTCTAGGCAGCTAACAAGTCGTACTTGTTCTTCAACAATGGAGCAGAGTTGCCGAGATTTTGTGGCTTTGGCAGTTTTGCCGTTTTTTTCCCAAAGATCGGTTTGGGCATTTCCCTAAATGTTTATTAGGCCTTGGCTTGACTTGAGGTACTTTGCATCGTTAACATGAAGATCTTCTACGACGTCCACAAAGGCATAAACTCTATTCGCATGATAGTATTCTCCAATACCTTGGATTTCAACACGTTGGAAAGTGCTTCTTTCTGGATTGAAGTAGAAAACATTAAGTCGTTTAGATGATACACATCTATTCACAAAACTATTTCACCTGTAGCAGTCATTCCAACGACAGAAACATTGTGGCGATCAACGTTTTAATGTCATCCGGCGGCAAAGTGTAGACATATTTCGACCATTCCTGTTTTTCGACATCCGCTAGAACCCACAGACGCAACTCAGCACAATCACAATTAATCACACACTCAATCAAACCTAATTTACCCTTATAGTTTATCCATTTAGTATCCCTATAACTATGGATTTACAAATAAAAAACCAAATGATTCCCTGTCAATAAAACTGAACTTCTCAGACCTAACGTCAAAGCAAACTAACACTTGTCACATCATTGATATCATTACGCGTTTAGCTAAGTAATACAAAACCCCATTGATGCATATCCCTTTATCGTTATCCAAAGGATAATGGGCTTAAGGGACATTGGATCTTCCGCCACATGGTTTCTCCGGTTCCTAATGTCAGAACACTATGATCACCATCACGTCGAATGAGCAATACCTTGTGTTGCTTGGTCAATTGGATCAAACCCTATAAAGCTATCAAACCCTATCGTTCATAGGTAGTTAGGTAAGCTCACATACTGTCTCGATGTAGGGTTAAATATCACAGGCACTCCATCATCACTCTCTTTGGTGAGATCCGCACAGAGAGAAATACATCAATCCAGAGGTGAGACAAGAAAACGTTGTATAGATGCCTCTGAGTTGAGAGAGTTTCATATGAAAAGTCGCCTCTAGAGATACCGAATTCCCATATGGATTCTGAAGCTGAGGCGTTGAGAAGAAGCTCCAACTCATCTCTCGATTGAGGGCGAATAAGAGACGTGGACGAGCCCGTGACCTGGTCAAGAACAACTCTGTGAAATATTGATGACGAAGCATGGAACCCCATTGCTTCGACACGCAACGAAACCTCCCTACTGACTTTGCCGGCAATCTCGAGAATATCTCCAGAAGGAGATCATTAGGGATTGAATCTGAAATTTCTTCTGCTCGATTCATTGATCCGAGGGAGAAAGAAAGAGCAACACAAATCACACGCAGAGACTCTCTAATATAGAGTCGGCGCTAACCTAATCCCAAATGTGAGATTAGGGTACCAAAAGTCGGTACAACGTAATCCAAAATACCAGCTCCGGTATGGAAAAGATTGAGCAATTTGGTCTGGTTTTGTGATTTCTGTATGGAAGAAGAATGAGCAAATAAAATATTATGTCCTCCACTTGTCTGAAACATTAAGAGGATAGTGTATTGAAATTGAGATTTGGAGTCATTTAGGGTGATTTGTATTAAAATGACAAATCCAATGTTATTTAAACTTAAATTTTAAAATCTAGTGTTATTGAATTTATAATTTTAAAATTCACTTTCAAATCCACTGTTATTAGAAATATTTTTAAAAATGGATTTTAAAATATATAATTGATTTTAGAGTGATTTAGTAAGATTTACTTCTTAAAAGTAATAGACTCCAAATCACATAGATTTAAATGAAATTTTATAATGAGTTAACTAAAATCAGTGGATCGTGTATGATTCACACAAAATCATATAAAAAAAAACTCACTAGAAATCAAATCACCCCAAATCACTTCAAATGCTAAGTTCAATACACCCTCCAGTAATAAGAGAAGTAAACCGAGTGGAAGCAAAGTAGGTATCAATAGAACCTCTATCCAGCCCATAAAGAATTAAAGATCGGTAATTCAGTTTGGTGAGACCCCAAAATCGGAAGTGGTGGAATCTTCCGGCTCTAAATCCGATAAACAAAGCACTAGATTTTTTAATAAGCACCTGAACGGAGATGATATCACATTTCAGATTATCCCTCTTGGAATCGAATGCGGCTGAGATCTTTATATAAGAAAAAAGTTATAAAACCATTTGTCCCACATCGGAAGCTGAAATCGTTTACTTGTTGTATATAATAGTGAAGTTTACATTTACACTACGTCGAGCTTAGTAACATGGGCTAGGGATCCAAGTGGAGACTATATGGTGTTGGGACGGGTCGGATTGTTTTTCATTGGGCCGGGTTCGGGTTGTGCTATATTCTGGTTCGCCCATTCCAAGTTGAGAGTTGAGGAGGCATGGGGCTTGAGCGAAGGCTTGGGCTCTTATGAGCCCACAATGTCCCAATAGTTGATCTGGTTCTTTCAGGAGACGAGACTTCGTTACTCACTACTCGATCAGTGAGTTTGAAGATCTGGAGCTGATCATGTTGTTTGTTTCAGACTAAATTACACAGAGAGTAGCTTGCCAAGCAAGGAACAGAGCTGTCAATTATATTCATGTAACAAAGCAACTTTTCTTGAAAATATGTCATTACCAAGAAAAAAAAAGGAGGAGTTTTAATTATGAAAACCTAATTACAAGCCAACAAAACTCTTCTTTTATCAATACCGCTCTGTTTTTGTTTTCCTTTGAGCTGTTGTTCTGCTTTGCATTTGAACTTTCTGTTGCTCTGTTTGAGCTTTCAATGGTAGAGCTTACACGAGACTTCGTTACTCACTAGTCGATCAGTGAGTTTGAAGATCTGGAGCTGATCATGTTGTTTGTTTCAGACTAAATTACACAAAGAGTAGCTTGCCAAGCAAGGAACAGAGCTGTCAATTATACTCATGTAACAAAGCAACTTTTCTTGAAAATATGCAATTGATAAAACCAAAAAAAAGGTCTCTGTCATTACCAAGAAAGAAAAAGGAGGAGTTTTAATTATGAAAACCTAATTACAAGCCAACAAAACTCTTCTTTTATCAATATCGTTCTGTTTTTGTTTTCCTTTGAGCTGTTGTTCTGCTTTGCATTTGAACTTTCTGTTGCTCTGTTTGAGCTTTCAATGGTAGAGCTTACACGAAACCTGTGAGTGAGAGAAGTCACACTCACAGCCAAAACTATGCTCTTGGGGTTTACGCTTCTGTTCTCAGCAAGAGTCAAGTAACACTGATCGACATGTAACAGAGAGATCAAGATTTCCATCGGTCATTAGTACATAAAACTGGCATTTAACTTACATTATTGGAGTTTTTATCCTCTCGATCAATGACAAAAAATATATACTGGACAAGTGATCAAGCCGCGGATGCTAAAATCCGAACTCTTCTTCTTCAGTTTATCTCCGACGTACACTGCAAGAAACCGTTTTTGGTGCTGACGTTTCTTTCCCCATTCCTGCTACAGAGCCACCATTAAGCTTCTTAGCCTTGCAAACCTAAACTAAGTCTTGATTTCTACTCTTAGCCTCTTAGGTTCGTTTACACTGTCGCTATTAAAATATATATATATATATATATATATGTATGCCTAGAGAACAAATAAAGATTTCTTAAACATTACCAAAAAATGAGTTTTATGACACGCAATGTATAGGGTAAAACATCAGTTTGCTAAAGCCAAAAAGTCATAAACAAGAGAACCACTGAACCAGAAAGAACAAATTTCTAAAGCCAAAAGAGTGACAATCTCACATGAAACCTGTAAATGAAAAAAGTCACACTCACATCCAAAAATAGCTAACTATTTATGAAAACAACTTCAGCCAACATGAATTAAGAAAAGAAAATAAAAAAAAAACTAAATTTCTTTAAAAAGTGTCTTTCATATCTTGACGATCTTGTTACAGGTGAGCTTTAGAACATGTTGATATCCTCTTGGGTTTACGCTTCTGTTCTTGACCATCTTGTTGCAGGTGAGATTCAGATGATGTTGACGTACTAGTGGCTTCACGCTTCCGTTCCGGCAGGCTTGTTTTCATAATATTCAACGTAAGATCCTCTACATGGTCTACAAAGACTTTTTTAACTTTACCAAGATGCTCACCAAAACCTTGGATTTCAACACTTTGGAGAGTGTTTCTTTCCGGATTGAAGTAGAAAACATAAAACGGCTTACGTGGTTGTGGTTCTCTCATCGACAAGACAATCTCACCTGTAGAAGTCACTCCAGCAACGAACACTCCAGCAACGAAAACTTCATCATCGACAATTTTTCCATCCGACAAACTGTAGTCATGATTTGACCATTCTTGTTTCTCGACATCCTCTAGAACCCACATGCGCAACTCAAGGGTACGCCTTCCAAAACCAGCCTTAGCATACTTCCAACTAATCCCACCTAATTTACCTTTATAATTTACCAACCCAGTAGTATATCGACCACACAAGCCTTTTGTGTCGATGAATTTGAATTTCTCAGACCTTACATCAAAGCAAACTATCTTCACATAGGACGTTTGGTCATCAGACCCTCCAAGAAATATATCACCCAATGTCTCGGTTGAAGCTAAGTAATACAAAACCCCATTGATGCATATCCCTTCACTACAACAATTGTTGTACCGGGGACAACCTTTCTTACTCCTCCACCTAAGTTTTCCAGTTCCTAACGTCAGAGTTTTATGATGATCCCTATGAACACAAAATGGAAAACCTTCGGCCAGTACCTTGAATTGCTTTCCAAACGGATCAAACCCTAAAAAGCTTGTCGACTTTCTGTATTTCTCCACTTCAGGTAAGATCGCATACTCTCCTGTGTTAGGGTTAAATACCGCATCACCATACGTTCCTTCAGGGAAATAGATCAAACCAGAGGCATAGCCACAAAGGTCTTCATACGTCTTTCCACGGATCGTTTTATTAAAATCGGCAGCTACTACAAGAGAAGACTTCTCATATGTATTCTGAGTCTGAGGCGACGAGTAGATGTTCCACTGATCGTCTCCTTCAAGGAGAAATAGTAGACGTGGACGAGACCGTGACCTGGTCAAGAACAACTCTGTGAAATATGGACGGCGAAGCATGGAACCCCATTGCTTCGACACGCAACGAAACCTCCGGACTGACTTTGCAGGCAATCTCGAGAGTATCTCGTTAACGAGATCAATCGGGATGGGATCTGAAACTTCTGCTCTAATCATGATCCTTGTATTTGCTGATGATCGGACGGCGAGAGAAATATTCTAAGACTATATATGAAGACCTAGAGAAACCTATATTTTTTACTTATATTAAGACCTAGCTACCAGTATTGTCGTGACAACAGAATTTAAAAAAATATATATTTTATCGCTTGGCGCCCAAGAATCATTGGGTTTTAAGTTTTAACCATTTAAATAACCTATTGGTCCTACATCGAATTTATTTGATTTTTTTATTTTACTTGTTCTGTTCACTGGTGTGAAAAAATGATCGTAAAAAGGGTAAATAGTTGTTTTCTTTTTTTTTGTCACATATTGATCATAAGAAGTGTAAAACAAAACGCGCATCCAACAATTACAACTTTCGTGACCAGATTGATGAGAGATGCTCCATGAATTGTGCGATGAAATAAAGTCTTGTTTGTAGAAGAGGTGTGATCCAGAAGAACCCAGCAAGAATAGATTACCTGAAACTTTCGACTCTCTCTCAACATTTCGTAGAATTCTCAACAAATAAATGTATTCGTAAACATCAATATCAGAAATAGTAAAATTGAATCCAAATTTAAGCACCGGGAAGACGATGATGCAGAATAAGTTTGAGACTGCCATGGAATTAGCATTGTGGTATTGCTGATCAGGTTCTTCCAGGAGAAGAGACGAGACTTTGTTACTCACTAGTTGATCATTGAGTTTGAAGATCTGAGCCGGGTTTTGCTTATTGTTGGATTTGATCATGTTGTTTGTTTCAGACCAAATTACACAAAGAGTAGCTTGCCAAGCAAGGAACAGAGCAGTTTTGGATGGTTTCGATAGAGATAGCCATGTAATAACAAAGCAACATATCTTAAAAAAAAATACAATTGATAAAGAACAAAATTGGCTTAGCCAACAGAGGGATAAAGCTCACACGAAACCTGTAAATTTTCACGTGGTGATATCTTCTTTAGATGTGCTCTTGGGGGTTTACGCTACTGTTCTCAGCAAGAGTCAAGTAACACATAGATCGACATGTAACAGAGCGATCAGTGATTTCATTCTCAGGATTCTGTCGGTCATTATTATATAAAACTAGCATTTAACTTACAGTGGAGTATCCATCCTCTGGATCAAAACTTTCATTAACAAAGACGGAAACAAAATCTCATCTAGCTTTAAAAAAAAATTAAAAGATTTCTTCAGATGATGATCATTCTCTTGTATGGGAGAAGTCACAGTGAGAAAAATATCTACTGCACAAGTGCAAGCCGAACTCTTCTTCTTCAGTTTATCTCCGACGTACTCTGCAAGAAACCGCTTTTGGTGCTGACGTTTCTTTCCTCATTCCTGTTGCAGCCAAAAAACCTAAAATAAAAGTGTTTTTTTTTCACACTGTCGCTAATCAAAGTGTGTTTTGCCTTTTCTTTTACAATCCAATTTTTTTAATAAAAAAATGCCTACAGAACAAATAAAGAAGAGAAAGAAGCGTCTCAATATCTCATAGTCGAGAATAATGTTAGGTCTTAGAACAAATTTTTAGCATTAACATTACCAGAAAATGAGTTTTATGAGACGCAATGTCTAGGAGAAAACATCAGTTTGCTGATCCAAATCACGGGTAACATATATTTAGACATGAACAAGAAAACCAGAATAAGCCAAAACTGTGACAAACTCGCATGAAACCTGTAAATGAAAAAGTCACACTCACATCCGAAAATAGCTAGATTCTGTGTCATAGATATTATGAAAACAACTTCAGCCAACACGAATTAGGAAAGAAAAAAATCTCAATCTCTTGTCCAGATATCTTGACGATCTTGTTACATGTGAGCTGCTTTAGATGATGTTGATATGCTATTGGGTTTACGCTTCTGTTCTGGACCATCTTGTTGCAAGTGAGATTCAGATGATGTTGACGCACTCGTGGCTTTACGCTTCCGGTCTGGCAGGCTTGTGTTCATAATATTCAACGTAATATCCTCTACATGGTCTACAAAGACCTTTTTAACTTTACCAAGATGCTCACCAAAACCTTGGATTTCAACACTTTGGAGAGAGTTTCTTTCGGGACTGAAGTAGAAAACATAAAACGGTTTACGTGATTCTCTCATCGACAAAACAATCTCACCTGTAGAAGTCACTCCAGCAACGAAAACTTCCTCATCAACAATTTTTTCATCCGACAAAGTGTAGTCATGATTTGACCATTCCTGTTTCTCCACATCCTCTAGAACCCACATGTGCAGCTCAAGGGTACGCTTTCCAGTACCAGCCTTAGCATACTTCCAACTAATCCCACCTAATTTACCTTTGTAATTTATCAAATCAGTAGTATATTGATCACAAAAGCCTTTTGTGTCGATGAGTTTGAATTCCTCTGACCTGACATCAAAGCAAACTATCTTCACACACCCTTCAAAAACTATATCACCCTTCAAAATCTATATATCCCTTCACTCCAACAAGTATTGTACCAGGGACAACTGTTCTTTCTCCTCCACTTAAGTTTTCCAGTTCCTAACGTCAGAATTTTATGATGATCCCTTTCATGACAGAATGGATAACCTTCGGCCAATACCTTGAATTGCTTTCCAAACGGATCAAACCCTAAAAAGCTTGTCGACTTCCTGTATTTCTTCACTTTAGGTAAGATCGCATTCTCTCCTGTGATAGGGTTACATACCACATCATTATACGTTACTGTGATAGGGTTGAATAGTCTGAATGCCACATCATTATACGTTCCTATGAAAGAAGGAGGGGCCGCAGGTAGCAATGGTTGTCTTCTCTTGTATGATTCCATAGTAGGGAAATAGATCAAACCAGGGTATAGCCACAAAGGTCTTTATACGTCTTTCCACGGATCTTTGTATGAAAATCGGCAGCTACTACAAGAGAAGACTTCTCGTATGGATTATGAGTCTGAGGCGACGAGTAGATGTTCCACTGATCGTCGTCTCCTTCAAGGAGGAATAGTATACGTGGACGAGACCGTGACCTGGTTAAGAACAACTCTGTGAAAGATGGACGACGAAGCATGGAACCCCATTGCTTCGACACGCAACGAAACCTCCCGACTGACTTTGCAGGCAATCTTGAGAGTATCTCTTCAACGAGAACGATCGGGATGGGATCTGAAACTTCTTTTGCTCTATTCATCATCCTTGTATATTCTGATGATCGGACGGCTAGAGAGATATTTTAAGACTTTATATGAAGACCTAGCTTCCAGAAAAGTTTCCAAGAGAAAAAAATCACAATAGGAAAATTAGATTATATTGCTTGGCCCAAGAAACATGGGTTTAATTTAAACTTTAGAAACCAGGAAGGATTATTAATGGTTCTACATCGTCTTAATTTGATTTTTTTTTTTTTTTCATTTTATGCATTCTGCTCACTGATGTGAAAACATAAGGATTGGGGTTCTCTCTCTGACGTACACTACAAGAAACCTTTTGGTGCTGAATTTTCTTTCCTTGATCCTGATCTAGAGCCACAGATAATCTTCTTTCCAGCTAAGAAACCTCTTACCAAAATCCATGTTGTGTTTAGCAGAGTAAGTTACATAAAATGCATGCATAAAGAAAGAAAGAAGCGTCTCATTCTCATATATCATAGCAGAGAATATTTTAATCAACACTACGAAAATAAAAAGAGATATGAAAACGCAAATTATGACAAAACATTAGGTTGCTCCCAAGTAACGTGTAACACAATTAATTAGGACATGAACATGAAAACCAGAAGAAGAAAATATCTAAGCAAACAAAGTGATAAAGCTCACACTAAACCTGTAAACACAGCCAAAATAGCTAAATGATTAACAAAAAAAAGTCAAACAAAGGTACATCTCTGCAAAAGTTCGATTTGATTCGTCTATCACTCCAATCATCGTCTCTATCTCTTCCACTCTCTACACGACTCTTTCTATCTCTCATCTCTGTGCGGCATCTTTTTCTTCTTCTTCTTTCTTTCATCCTCCCTATTGTCTCTTTCATTTCCTCTATTTGTGTTTCTTCTCCCAACTCACACCATCATCAGACCTCATGTCCATCTCCCTTTCTCTTTTTCCTAGTCATATTCAGGCTGCGTTTCCTCTTTGCGTATGGAGCAGAGATGCTTGACTTCAGTATCTTTGCATCGTTAACATTAAGATCCTCTACATGGTCTACAATGACTTTAACTCTACCATGATTCTCACCGAAACCTTGGATTTCAACACACCGGAGATCGTTCCTTTCGGGATTGTAGTAGAAAACATAAAAGGGTTTAGATATAGGGTTTATCGACAAAACAATTTCACCCAAAGCAGTCACTCCAGCGATGGAAATTAGGTTCCAGTTAACGATTTTAATATCATCCGGCAAAATGTAGACATGTTTCGACCATTCCCTTTTCTCGACATCCTCTAAAACAACCATAGTCAACTCAATGCTACTGTCATCGCCAACGCACTTCCATTGAATTACACCTAATTTACCCTTATAGTTTATCAATTTATCATGAAAACATTCTATGTCAATAAACTTAAATTTCTCAGACCGAACATCAAAGCAAATTATAACATAAGACGTTTGATCAAAAGACGCTAAGTAATATATAACCCCATTGATGCATATTCCTCTAAAAGGGGAAGGCTTATGGGTGAAGGGACACTGGATCTTCCTCCAATTCATTTTTCCAGTTCCTAATGACAGAATTCTGTGATCATGATCACAAGATGGTTTAGCAACCATGGACAATATCTTGAACTGCTTGTCAATTGGATCAAACCCTAAAAAGTTTCTCGTCGATCTGTGCTCTCCCAGTTTAGGTAAGATTGCATACTGTCCTGTGCTAGGATTACTTATTACATGCACTCTATTCTCATTCTCTTCTGAGAACGTTGTAACACAAAAACAGATCAAACCAGAGGCATAGCCACAAAAGTCTGACTTCATGTCGTCAAAGAACTTGAACTGAAAACCGGTGGCTACTACAAGAGAAGACGACATCTGAGGCTGAGACGACGAGAAGAATTTCCACTCACCTTTTCGATCTCCTTTAATGGCGAATAAGAGACGTGGACAAGCCCGTGACCTGGTCAAGAACAGCTCAGTGAAATATGGACGACGAAGCATGGAACTCCATCGCTTCGACACGCAACGAAATCTCCCTACTGACTTTGCTGGCAATCTCGAGAATATCTCCATAAGAAGATCCTTCGGTGTGGAATCCATGATCGTTGATCGTATGGGGGGAGAGAGATATGATACGAGTACACAAATTATCGCTAATATTCGCCTAAGCCCTAGGGCATCCGAAATCAAGATTCGGGGTAATTCGGTTCGATTTCGGTTTAAGGGTATAAACCGATCGGCAACCATCTAATGTTTGTTTTTTGGGGTTCTCGGTTCTTTTTTAGGTTTAGATTCTCTTACACGGTTGTTAACCAAAGTGTTTCCTTTTTTTCTCTAGCAGTCCAAATTGTATAAAATGAATGCATATAAAGAAATAAAGAAAGAAACGTCTCATATCTCATAGTAGAAAGTATTGTAATTAACATTACAAAAAAAAGAAAGAGAGTTACATAAAAACGCAAAGTACGATAAAAACATTAGTTTGCTCCTAACTCAAAATTTTCGGTAATTTTCATGAAGTTGTGATTTAGCTGTAAAATTGCTTGATGGGTTTGATCTCAAGATAAAAGTCGTTTAAATGTCCAGAAAAAAAAAGGGGGGCAAGACATTCTAACATAGCTTCCACCACTCTTGTCACTTGTGCCATTGTTCCACGTATTCTGAACTGATTTCTGATTCTTGATTGGGTTTTGATTTCATTTTACTTTAAAATTTGCATGTTTTTAGAATGAAAGAGAAGATACTAAATTTTTATGTGTTTTAATTTCGTTGGTTTATGGAACGACGTTATTTGCTTCACTGGCAAGGAACAGAGCAGTTTTAGATGGTTTCTTCAGGCATGTCTTCTTCAGCCAAGCAAGAAACTATGAAACATCATCAACTCGCCAAATTACATAAAATGCATGCAGAAAGACAGAAAGAAAGAAAGAAGCGTCTCATATCTCATATCACAGAATATTGTAATAAAAAGATTTATATAAAAACGCAAATTATGACAAAACATTAGTTTCCTCCCAAGTAATGTGTGTAACACTTAATTAGGACATGAACATAAAAACCAGAAGAAGAAAATAGCTAAGCTAGCAAAGTGATAAAGCTCACACGAAACCTGTTAACAAAGCCAAAATACCTAAATGATAAACAAAAAAAAAAGTCAAACAAAGGTACATCTCTGCAAACGTCCGATTTGATCCGCCTAACACTCCAATGATCGTCTCTATCTCTTCCAAGCTCCACACGACTCTCTCTATCTCTCATCTCTTTGCGGCATCTTTTTCTTCTTCTTCTTTCTTTCATCCTCCCTATTGTCTCTTTCATTATCTCTATTTGTGTTTCTTCTCCCTACTCACACACAATCATCAGACCTCATGCATGTCCCTCTCCCTTTCTCTTTTCCTAGTGATATTCAGGCCGCGTTTCCTCTTTGCGTATGGATCAGAGATGCTCGACTTCAGTATCTCTGCATCGTTAACATGAAGATCCTCTACATGGCCTACAAAGACTTTAACTCTACCATAATTCTCAGCAAAACCTTGGATTTCAACACGATGGAACTCGTTCCTTTCGGGATTGAAGTAGAAAACATAAAACGGTTTAGATATAGGGTTCGTCGACAAAACGATTTCACCCGAAGCAGTCACTCCAACGATGGAAATTAGGTTCCAGTTAACGATTTTGATGTCATTCGGCAAAATGTAGACATGTTTCGACCATTCCTGTTTCTCGACATCATCTAAAACCCACAGACTCAACTCAATGTTACTGTGATTGTCATCGCCAACACACTTCCATTGAATCACACCTAATTTACCCTTATAGTTTATCAATTTCTCATGAAAACATTCCATTTCGATAAACTTAAATTTCTCAGACCGAACATTAAAGCAAACGATCACATCATTAGACGTTTCATCAAAATACGCCAAGTAATATATAACCCCATTGATGCATATTCCTCTAAAAGGGGAAGGCCTGTGGGTTAAGGGACACTGGATCTTCCTCCAACTCGTTTTTCCAGTTCCTAAAGTCAGAATTCTGTGATCATCATCACAAGATGGTTTAGGAACCATGGACAATACCTTGAATTGCTTGTCAATTGGATCAAACCCTAAAAAGGTTCTCTGATCTTCCAGTCCCAGTTTAGGTAAGACTGCATATTGTCCTGTGCTAGGATTGCATATTACATGCACTCTATTCTTACTCAGTTCGGAGATCCGTGTATCACAAAAACAGATCAAACCAGAGGCATAGCCACAAAGGGATGACGTCATGCCGTTAAAGAACTTGAACTGAAAACCGGTGGCTACTGCAAGAGAAGACGGCATCCGAGGCTGAGACGACGAGAAGAATTTCCACTCACCTAATCGATCTCCTTTCATGGCGAATAAGAGACGTGGACGAGCCCGTGACCTTGTCAAGAACAGCTCTTTGAAATATGGACCGCTAAGCATGGAATTCCATTGCTTCGACACGCAACGAAATCTCCCAACTGACTTTGCTGGCAATCTCGAGAATATCTCCATAAGGAGATCCTTCGGGGTGGAATCCATGATCGTTGATCGTATGCGGAGAGAGATATGATATGAGTAAACAAATCATCGCTAATATTCGCTAAGCCCTAGGGATAGGGCATCCGAAATCAAGATTCGGGTAATTCGGTTCGATTTCGGTTTAAGGGTATAAACCGATCGGCAACCATCTAGGGGGTGTATTGGAAAAAGGATTTTAAAGATTTTAGGTGATTTTGAGATCATTTAAAAAAAATCCTGTTATTCAAATAAGGATTTCGGTATCCCAGGAAAGTCTTGGAGGTGCCAAGACGAAGATATTTAGCTTTCTGATAGATAGGCAGCACCAACGAATTAATGGTTGGAACTCAAAATGGTTATCGAAAGGGGAAAAGAGGTCCTAATTAAGTCTGTGGCCTCGGCAATGCCCATGTATGTGATGTCATGCTTTCGTCTGCCTAAAGGGATTACAAATAAACTCTCTAGCGCAGTCTCAAATTTCTGGTGGAGTAATAATGGACAGACACGGGGAATGCATTGGCTAGCATGGAAAAAACTTTGTCGGCACAAAAACGATGGCGGCCTGGGATTCCGTGTTATTGAGGATTTTAACACAGCTTTACTTGCAAAACAGTTGTGGAGGCTCATTGACTTCCCCGACTCGTTATTCGCACGGGTTTTTAAAGGACGTTATTATCGCAATGCAACTCCTATGGACCCTATTCGATCTTACTCTCCCTCCTATGGATGGCGGAGTATAGTTTCAGCTCGACCTCTGGTTAAAATAGGACTTATCAAAAGGGTTGGTTCAGGAACATCTATCTCTGTTTGGGATGATCCTGGATTCCAGCTTCTACCCCGAGGCCAGCCACAGGAGATGGGATTAATTACTACCCTCACCTCCGGGTGAGTGAGTTGATTAACCCAGTACAACAACGTGGAATTTACCACTATTGAATCAATTGTTTGACAGTATGGATGTCTCTCTAATTCTCGGGATCCCAACCTCAAATGTCGCCGACCAGACTCCATGGGATGGTTTTTTACGAAGACGGGGAGATACACGGTAAAATCGGGTTACACGGTCCTACAACAAAGTTTGGACGCTGATAGGCCCATCTTTATTGGTCCGGACACACGGCGTCTTCAAGCACAGGTTTGGAAGGTACAATGTACTCAGAAATTACAACATTTTATTTGGCAAGCTTTGACGGGATGCATAGCGGTAGGGGTGAGACTCCAGAGTCGCGGTATGCAGATAGACCCACAATGTATGCGGTGTGGGATGGCGGCAGAAACAGTGAACCACACACTGTTTGAATGCCCACCGGCACTGCAAGTTTGGGCTCTATCTCCAATTCCAACGGCTCCACAGCGTTTCCCTACAGGAAGTTTGTTTGCAAATATGGCATATCTTTTTTGGAATTTGCCAGACGATGATAGAATGCGGATGTATCCTTGGTTAATTTGGTATATCTGGAAATCACGAAATGATAAGGTTATGGCGAATGTGGACTGGGACCCAAATGAAATAATAATCAAAGCAACAGCGGAATCTTCGGCATGGGTAACCGCCCAGGAAAAACATGTAATGCTATGTCCACTACTGACAACCTCAGGGAATCCCCTAGAACGGGTGATATTTGTCAAGTAGATGGGGCTTGGAAGGAGACAGAAAGTCGAGCTGGGCTAGGATGGTTTTACTTGAACATGAATACTCAGGAAAAGCTTATGGGAACTCGTAACTTGAGAAGGGGAATATCGCCCCTCCAAACGGAGTTGGAGGCACTTATTTGGGCCATGCATTGTATGCTACGGCATAATAAATTGTTAACGCGTTTTGAGACGGATTGCTCTGATGTGGTGAAGATGGTGTCTACGCCAGAGGAGTGGCCAGCGTTCGCAATACTTCTTGACGAGGTTGACCGGTGTAAAAGGAGGTTTACCTCCTTCTCCATCGCGCACATACCTAGGACGAAAAACACGAAGGCAGACAAGTTAGCACGGAGTGCTCGAGCTCTACCTACTGATGTGTATTATGTAAACTCTGTTTCGCCAACTTGGATTCCCGAGCTGGTTTAGAAATAGAGGCTGTCGACAAAAAAAAAAAAAAAAAACAAATAAGGATTTCGAAATATCATTTCAAATTCAGTGTTATTGAATATAGAAATTTAGAAAGATCATTTAAAATCACTTACCAAGCCGTGTTATTGAATTAGTCATTTGTGAATCTTAAATCAAATCCATTGTTATTCAAAATAAACAACTATTTGGAGAAAAACTTGTCATATGATTTTTAGGAGATTTAACACCTATTTTTGTGACAAAATATGTCCAACGAAAATAACACCCAAGGGGGTGTGATTTGGAGAAGGTTATTATAAAAAAAAAGTGAAAGAACAAAATACATAACGAAGCTGTCATCGTTTCCAAAACTCTCACTCATCTGTTTTCATCTCTCTCTCATTCCCATCGAGTTGCTGTGTACGAGCATGAAGATCGATGGAAACCATTTGCTTCTCCTCACCAACGCATCAAATACCTCAAATTCGTCGGCGGTGAATCGACGGAAACACGATCCGGAGCATTCAGGGGACAACGGAGAATCCGAGGGGCAAAATCAAAATACTAGAAGGATCTTCTCCATTCGTCGCGTGCTGGACCGAGTCCACGTCGACGGAGGAGTACACGATTAAGCTGCCGAGATCTCTTGTAGCATCAGCTCTACAGTATACAAACACAAATTAAGCCCTAACTAGATTCATAACAAAAAGAAAAGTGTGGTTTTGGTGATTATCTGATGAAGTTGATCGATGAGAAAAGGGAAGCCAAGTGGTAGAGATAGCGCAAAGAACAACACCTGTAGGCTGACCAGGCTCGCACGTTTTCCTCGTTGTGTTTCTGGATTTGAAAAAATTGGATCTAAAAAAACTTCCTCATGCAATTCGATTGCAGGTTTTTTTTATTATTCTTTGTGTGAGTTTTGGTTGCTTTATTGACTTTGCTATATCTGTTGTTAAGTATATTAAAGTGGTGGTGATAGCAGTATCGTAGTACATGGTATTATGATACTAGTTAGGACTTTCGAAGAACAAAGAAGAATGGAAATACAGGTTTTTGAAAGGAACGATCCTGCAGTTACCTCTCTATGTTCTCAACTTTGTTGTGGCTGTGTGTTATCCTCTCTCTGTTCTCAACTCTGTTGCGCCTATGTGTGTTATCTTACGATCTTATTTGTTGAGAAGAAGTTCTCGTTACAAATTGTGGCTTTTTTATTTCATGATAAATCATTCAAAACTCACCATAAAATCCCATAAGAATCACCCAAAATTTCAAGACATTTTCTGAGATCATCTTAAATCCCACAAAAATCTCCTAAAATCTTCTAAAAACTCTTAAAACCACCTAGAATACAAAATCACTCAAAAACACCTAAAATCTTTAAAATCCATTTTCCAATACACCCCCTAATGTTTTTTTTTGGGGTTCTCGATTCTTTTTTAGGTTAGATTCTCTTACACGGTTGTTTTTTTTTTTTCTCTTACACGCTTGTTAACCAAAGTGTTTCCTTTTTTCTCTAGCAGTCCAAATGATATAAAATGAATGCATAAAGAAAGAAAGAAAAAAAGAAACGTCTCATATCATATCTCATAGTAGAAAGTATTGTAACTAACATTACAAAAAAAAAAGAGAGTTACATAAAAACGCAAAGTAGGATAAAACATTAGTTTGCTCCTAAGTCCTAACTCCCAAGCAACGTGTAACACACTATTAGGAGATGAAAATGATAACCAGAAAGAATAAATTGCTATAGCCAACAGATTAATAAAGCTCTGAAAAAGAAAAGAAGAAAAAACCTTTTATAAAAATGAGAAGTCACACTCACGGCCAAATAACTAAATGATTAATAAATAAATAAAGTCATCCAAAGGTACATCACAGCAAAACCAAAGCTAGAGTTGATTCCCAACGTCTATAACTAAAGAACGTAAACGTATAGAGAGGGCACATTGCTTTCACCTATCCTTTCTCTCATTGTCTCTTTCTCTTCTTCTCCCCTTATCACTCCAATGACCTTCTCTATCTCTTCCACTCTCCACACGCCACTCTCTGTCTCTCATCTCTTCGCGTCGCCTTCTTCTCTCTTCATCTTCCCTACGGTCTCTTCCATTGTCTGTCTCTGTTATTCTCCTCCACTCGTACTTTTTATTACTCCAGTGATCGTCTCTTCCACTCTCCACACGCCTCTCTCTGTCTCTCCTCTCTCTTTCTCTCATCTCTTTGCGGCGTCTTCTTCTGTCGTCATCTTCCATACGGTCTTTTTCATTGTCTCTCTCTTTTATTCTCCTCCACTTATACTCTTATTACTCCAGGGATCGTCTCTATTTCTTCCACTCTCTGCACGCCTCTCTCTATCTCTAGTCTCTTCGCTGCGTCTTCTTCTTTTTGCGTATTCATCTTCCCGACTGTCTCTTTCATCTTTCTCTCTGTATTTCTTCTCCCTACTCACACCTTCATTATACCTCCGATCCATGTCCCTTTCTCTTACCTCTTCCCGATGATGTGGTGTTGGCTTCTTCTTCTTCTCCATAGATGTAGCATCATAGATGCTTGACTTGAGTAGCTTTGCATCGTTAGCATTAAGATCCTCTACATAGTCTACAAAGACTTTTCTAACTATAAGAGTCTCACCAAAACCTTGGCTTATAACACGTTGGAGAGTGTTCCTTTCGGGATTGAAGTAGAAAACATAAAAAGGAGGCAAATATTTAACATAAGGATAGTACGTCGACAAAACAATTTCACCTGTAAGATTCATTCCAACTACGTTAACAATGCTAAGATCAACAATTTTATCGTCCCGAAAAGTGTATGCACGTTTCGACCATTCCTGTTTTTCGACATCCTCTAGAATCCACACACACAACTCAATGGCATCATGAATGCCATCAGCCTCCCAATTAATCACACCTAACTTACCCTTATAGTTTATCAATCTTGTATGACAGGCCACATAAAAGGATTCTCCGTCAATAAACTTGAACTTTTCAAACCTAACATCAAAGCAAACTATCTTCACAGAAGACGTTTCATCATTATCTGTTCTAGCAAAGTAATACAAAACCCCATTGATGCATATCCCTTCTACACTCAAAGGCGTTCTACACTCAAAGGCGAATGGGTTAAGGGACTTTGGATCTTCCTCCAACTAATTTTTCCAGTTCCTAATGTCAGAATTATACTATCATCGCCTTCGTCATAAAATGGATAAACCATGAACAATACCTTGAATTGCTTCTCAATCGGATCAAACCCTAAAAAGCTTTCAGATTTGGCTTCTCTCCGTTTAGGTAAGATCGCATAACGTCCTGTGCTAGGGTTACATATTACATGCACTTGATCCTCAACAAGTATCCTACGGAAACAGATCAAACCAGAGGCATAACCATAATATTTTAACGACAAGTGTTCAGGGAACTTCGACTGGAAATCGGGGGATACTGCAAGAGAAGACGACTTTTCATATGGATTCTGAGGCTGAGGCAACGAGAAGAAGCTCCACTCACCGTATAAATATCCTTTGTCGGCTTGTATGGCGAATAAGAGAGGTGGACGAGTCGAGGACCTGGTCAAGAATAACTCCGTGAAATAGGGACGGTGAAGCATGGAATCCCATAGCTTCGACAAGCAATAAAACCTCGCGATTGACTTTGCAGGCAGTCTCGAGAATATCTCCAGAAGTAGATCATTAGAGATGGAACTCATGATCCTTGTAATAAGATGATCGGATTGGGAGAGAGAGATATGTGATAATGAGAACACAAATCATCGCAGAGACTCTAATATATTTTAGGGCATTTTATCCGAATCAAGGTTTGTGTTATTCGGTTCGATTTCGGTTTAAGGGCATAAACCGATCGACAACCATCTCTTGTTTTTACTTTTTTTTTTTGGACTATGATTCTAAATCCCTCAAGAACTGTTCTTAATCAATAATCACTATGGTTTGTAAACTTAAAGTCAGCTGCGAAGTTTTATATAAATGAATCATCTAATCAAACTAGGTTTCTTTTTGTACAGCTTGATTTAGCCGGAACCTTATTTGGCTGGAGACTCTTGAGAGAGACTTCCACTTATAATAAAATACGCCGGAACCAAACTACTGTCTACATACCCAAAAGTTTCAAAAAACCAACTGAAATTTTATTAGATATGTTACAAATGGATACAAAACGCCAAGCCCTCTTTCACTCCCCTCTCTCTCTCTCTCTCATGGGGAGATTTGAGTTTATATATAAACCAAAAAGCCGGAAAAAAAATGATATTTAAAGCAAAACAACAAAGCAGATGAAACCAAAAGAGAAAAAAGGACATTTTATCACCAAAATAAAACTCATTAGAGGGAAATCTCACAAGGTGCATGAAACGTTCTTCCACGACAAATAGCTTCAAGATTTTCTCCAGCGTACGAGCACAACGGTGAAACCTCAACACCTAATTTACAATTTTAATCCCATATAAGCAAAAATATTACTCATAAAGATAAAGGTAATTATTTTTCTTTTTTGGTTTTTTTGGAGTTTTACCAGTTGCGTATAAAGGCACAGAATGTGTTAGAAATCCACCAGCTGCTATAACCCAACGTGTGTGTAGCCTCAAAACCGAAAGCCTCGCACTTTCCGGTGTATCGAAATTGGACCCATTTGCATTCTTCACCGGTCCAAACTCTTCTTCTCTTAACACCTACACATTTGCTCAAATCCACTTTCCACATTTCATTCTCTGTTTTCTTTTTTAGTTAATGTTTTGTGCAAACAAATGATATATTTACCTCAAAGAGTGCGGTTGAAGGAGCATAAGGAAACGAGTCGAAAATAAACTGCTCTAGTTTCAACCCCATTGTGTAACCATTCATAGATGGTATCTTCTTCTCTGCCAAATGGTACCTACCAACAAAAAAAATAACACATTTAATACATTACAACAAAATGAAATTTTGATTGTGTTGAGGAGCTTACACGCTGTCTTTTTCTAGGCCGGTCGCTACTTGATTAAGAAAATCTAGAGTGAACATGTGTAAGCACACCTGATGATGACAAAAGATGTAAAAACAAAAACGTTTTCATGAGCTTTTTGCCATTTTTGGTATGAGTTGTGCAAATTCATAAGAACAAGAAGAAGAAATGGGTTTTATACGTTACTCCAGCAATATAGAAGACGTCCTGTTCGTTGATTAATAGCAGAAGCCATTGACTGATCTAGCTCACTGTACTCAACTACAGTCAACGGTCCACCTTTTCCTCTTCTAACAAATACTCCAACCTGTTCTTGAGGATATGCCTGTTTTTTTTTTTTTCAATAGACACTGAATCATCAAGAGGATAAAATTTTAATCTTTAAACAGTGAGAAGGTATGATCTTTGAGGTTACCTTCCGTACAACTTTTGCAGCTGAAGCAGCTCCTTTGTCGATAAAGTATCCAAGAAAAGTAGGGTCAGCTACTCGAACCTGTATTTTTTTCAAGATTCAGCTATAAATTGTTTTTCCAAATAACCGAGACAGAGTAAAGAAAATCAAAGCAGACTAAGGACTTAAGTTTGTATACTAGAAAAACTAACCAGGACATTGTCAACGCCATAGCAATCAACGTATTTAATCCCTCTAGAAGCCATATCCTCTAATAACCTTGAAGACTTTAGAGCTATTAAAAAAACTCGGATCAGAATCATTAAAAAAGAAGAAATGTATGATCGTCAAAACAGCTATAATCAATTTGAAAAACATATACCTGCGTAGACTCCTCCATTCCCATCTGGAGCTTTAGCTAGCTGCTCAAAGGGTAAATGAACTCGTAAAGCCGGTTTCTTAATTTACAGACTATATTACTGAAGATAAACGTGAAAGATTGAGGGAAATAATACATACACTGAAAGGTGTCTCCATGATAAACTTTCCATCCTTTGAAACGCAAGGCAGAGTACCTTGTTGGAAAAAACTGATCTGTACAGTAGAATGCTCAAGAATTGATCATACACGCAAGAAACAACTATTAAGGAAAGAACAAACAAAAAGCCATACAGCTAAGAAGCTATGTTACCTGATCTGGTTCAAGGCCAAAGTACTTGTGACTCGAGAAATATTTTCGTGTGGCCTCGTCAGTAAATGGACTAGTCATAATATACCAGTGTATTGTAACCGGTCGAACTGGACCTGAAGGTAAAAAGAAAGAAAGTCACATATGATGTAATGTAATGTTACGTATACATTGGAATGTAGAAGAAGCCATGAGTGTCACCTTCACTCATTACTTGAGCAGCAAGTCTTTGAACACACAAGATTCTCTCTGCTTGAATCTGAAAGAGCGACTTCCCTGATGGAAGTCCGATATCTGAGATGGAAATGAGTCAGTAACTACTAGGCTAATCAACCTGAGCCTACTTAGAGCATGACAAAGAATCAAAGTTCTCTAAAACATGATATTTGAAGATTGGACAGAGGAAAAAACAGAACTAAAATGACAAGTACTCACTGAAACATCCTTTTGGATCTGAACTTCCAAGCCTTGTTCCCTGTCATTAGTATCATCATCAAGTATATAAACAAAACATTCGTAACCAGAAAAGAAAAGATATTCTCAAGTTGTGAAACGAAGTAATCTCCAAGCAACTCAGATGTTTAAAACAGAATTATCCAAACCTTTCTTACATCACACGAAACAGAGCAACCTAATGTGAGGGGGAAAAAATGGTTTATATAAAAGTTATGGAATCCCTAAAATGGCATCTTTTCAGATCACGTGATCACTCATCACCCCCTTTAATTAAGCAGAAGGTTCCTCCTAGAAATCGCCATTACTCAACTTTTTCTTGAAAAGAAAAATAAAACCCACCGACAGTGATTTGTTTGAAAACTATTTCATGATTGCCACTGCCATTATCTTAACAAACACTTTTTCCGTTACAGACTTTTAAAACAATTATTTAAACCTAATTAAAGATCGCACTAAAGCCCTATCATCATCTACTAATCCAATTCTGATTTTTTATTTATTTAAGTAGGTAGCAAGCATTATTCCAAAACTCCCATCCCAACCATCAACAAGAGAATCATTTAGCACTCTAAGCTACTTAATTAATTTATTAATTAGCATCTAATAAGACTTAAAAGTAACACAAGACAAAACTGCATTATTACCTGTCCACCAGATAAAAGCACCACTCCTAATTTTCCTTCATAGATTGTCTTTAATCCCATTTTCCACCATTTCTCTCTGTCTTCCATTGTTCTTCCATCAACTGTTGATACCCAATTCTCCGGCACTGGCTCTATCGCCGCCACTGGCAAGCCTAATTTAACAATAACAGTAAAAATAGAGATTGATGAATGTAATCAAAATCCGAAATTTGAAAAAAAAAAAAAAAAAAAAAAAGACAATGCATGTAAATTAGATGCTGTAATTTTGATTTTAGGAACCTTGAGAGTGAAGTGAGCATCTGATGATCCGATCTATTCTTGGAAGATCCAAATTCTGAAAGAAAAAACAAAAAAAAAATCTGCCATTATTATCACTGACAGTATTTCAGTTAAATTTTATCCGAATTGAAATATGGACCAATCTGAGTGAAGATCCGAAATTCGAATTTTTATGACAAAATCTGGAAATGCGAATCGTGCTAATAATTGGAATTTAATTACCTCGATATCTCTGACGAGGAAATCTCGTTCGTCTGGGGAGAGCTCATCCCAGAGAGCGAAGATATCTTCTTGTCCATAATCTTTCAATCTCTCGACCAACGCTTGACGCGGCGAATTCGTCATCGGAGGAGGAGAAACCATCTCCGTCGCCGCCGCGGTTAAAGCCGATGCTCCGTTCTCTCTCTCCATCGACGGCTCCTTCATCTCTCTCTCTCTCTCTCGAGGTTTTAAAAATCAATCTGATGCGGATTTGAGACGTTTGGATTTTGTGTTGTTTTTCTGGAAAGGAGTTATAATAATTAAGGGCCAAACAAAGGTGAGGAAGGAGAGGTTTTAAACACGAGCGAAGAACAGTGGCGAAGAAGACAAGGATCAGCAAAAAAATAAATCAATCAACGTGTAACAACTGGAGTTTGGAAATGACGAAGTTGCCCTTTTGTAGTCTCATGCAATCTGTCAGAGTCCTCCGACAGTTTGTTGGCCTATCCCCTCTGGCTTACTCCGCGGGTTTTCGATTTCGATTTTTCAAGTTTTTTAATATTAGGCATAATATTTAGTTTATAAATAAATCGTATAAAACAAAATATATGTTAAATCTATGTAGAAAATAACACATATCGTATTGACTTGGGATGAAGAAATATCTTATACGTTTACTTAATTGCTACTCAATTTGTTTGTCATTTTCTGAAAATGCTCTTTAGTTTAATCAAACATCATCCACAATAGACGGATCTTTCTATCTATAATGGAAGATTTTTGTGATTTATAATTGTACAAAAATAATGATAAATTTCCTAGTTTGTGGATTCAGATATGCACCTATTTGGTTTGTACTCCCATTTTTTTTTGCTGAAAAACATGGACAACTATGTGAATCACCGACATATAGGACAATGGGAACTTTTAACTGCATGATGGAAAATAATTTGTTTAATTATATGGGGAATTGTGTCGTATTTATGGGATATATGGGTCAGTTTTATGGGTTGGGGAGTTCATAGCATCTTTAGGTCTGCTAATATGCCGGTTTTTGTGATGTACTAGTAGTATTGCCAAAACAAATATGTAATGGTCACACGATGTAAAAATTTAAACGTCTGCCTAGATCGAGTTGCTTTTTCTTGATGTTGTTTGTGTAGTGCAAGTTTATAAACAATGGATATTGTAATATGTAAACGAATACTGTAAGATTTTTTTTTTACTGAAAAATACTGTAAGATTTTGTCTTAAATATTTGAAAATATTATTCGGCAATTAGGGTATAGATGGATACATCATATATACATGTAAAACGAAGATGAGAGTTTCTAATTCTAGTAAAACTCTCTCGTAATAGCAACAAAATCCAAATCAAACTCTTCCTAAAAAGAAATAATCAAACATAATAGTAATACTAGCACACACATGTGAGTCTCATATAATGTAAAGTTTCATTTCAAGGGCTTCATTCATTTTCAAGTTTTAGACGGTTTACAATAGTTGATCAGCAAGATAAACACATCATGTTATCCAAATTATTTCAATGATATATTATAAAAAGACGAGGTTGTAAGAATCACGAAACTGTATGGTTTCTGTTCTTATATTAAAGTTTATAATGATAATTAATTCATTAATATACAGTTAGTTCAAGGAGGAAGAAACTGGAGGAAGGTATAAATCGAGTATGAGTTGAATTGGGACCTCGATCTAGGCTCTAGTGCACCGAACATTACTTTAATTAACGGAGACAGCTAAACAAAACAAAAGTAATATGTTACTCTACTAGTTTAGAAAAGAATGATTACATACGGTACACATTTAAATATCATTCTAAGAAAGTTAAGTTTTCTGAACATTGGGCCATCATTGTTGGCGAGAAAAAAAAAAAAAGAAATGAACATTGGCCCATCATGTCATTCGGTCATAGACTTATAATCGACTAATCATTGTTTATGTAATGTATAGATATTTATTAGAAAAATTCGCATCGAAAATTATTAGTAAATGACTATATATAGGATATAGCTGGTGACGAGAGTTTAGAGATTTGGTAAGTTGATTATTCAGATGTTACATCAAAATTAGTTAGGTGGATGAGTCACAGTCTAGTTTGGTCTAATCAATTCAGCCAGCGTTTAATATTTTTAAGTGATATACATATACTGTATACTCATTCTAAAAAATTGAAATATATAAAATAGTTAATCATTCCCGGTTTAGAAGTTTCTAAAAGAATTATAGAGTGATTTGTGTGGTAAAAATATATTTTGAACACTTGTTAATACAAAATCCAGCGTATATAGACCCCAAAAAAAATGCATTATATAATTTCAAAGTTTGAAAAGTTTTTTTTGCATTAGTGAATTTGAAGAAGGAGAAATTTCAAAAGTACACTTTTTAGTATGTACATTTTCAAAACTACATCTCTATAATGTCTATTTTTAAAACAACATTTTTCACTAAATAAAAGAATTCTAAACCTCAAACCTTAAAATATAATTTTAAATCTTTAAATCTAAACTTTAAACCTAAAACCTCAAAATCTAAACACTAATTAAGGATTAGGAAAACCGAAACTTATATGTTAAATTTAGAAAAGAAGTGTAATTTTGAAAATTAATATGATAGAGGTATTTCTTAAAATTTGTCTTCGAAGATTGGCTTAGTATGAAGAGAGACTTGAAATAAGAAGAGAGGGTTTCGTTTAACAGTGAACTTGAAAGACGAATGTAACTGGGAAGTGGCAGACTGAATCTTAACCAAATAAAAGTACTAATCCGGGTTAGTTAAATGGTCTTAATTAAGTTTGCTGGAGCTAAACGATAACTTTTCTTTTTTCTTTTTACCAAAAGGCGCTAAACGATAATTTTTTATGGTTAAAATACTTAACAAAAAGAAGAAGCTCATTATCATCTTCATTTTAGCCTGTATTTTCTTTTTTTTAAACTCTTCTTCAGTTCATATACAATATTTAAAAAAATAGTTAATTGTTTGAATCATACTAGTAAACAATATGTGTGATATTCTTGATTCATTTGACAAACGAGAAGCGTGAAAGGTGTGAATGTAATTTTCTTTCTGTGTTCGCTAGTAGTTTTAGTTGGTAGTAATATATAAAATCAGTAAAACTAAATCCAAATTAGTAAAACTATATTTAGGGGCCCAGAAATAATCTAATAGAGTTTTGGTAAACTATAGACCAAAAATCATTTTATCTTTTTTTATAAAAATTTGAGGCCAAAATTAGTGTATATTATTTGTGAAAAATGTGGAGGCTATAGTCAAATGTCTCATTTGGCTCTCCTCATGGTCGGCCCTGGCTCCATATGCGAATGAAACCGCCAGCCATAACCGAGACTAACCCTCCAAGAAGGACCCCATACGTGGTCGCTTCACCTAAAGCGAGAAACAAAATCTGCATGTTTATCTTGCATAGTCAAATAAGATAAAATCATTTACAATAGACTATGAATGTTATAAGATATTTAATGTGGATACATGGCTCACAATATGTTTAACATCGTTCCAACCACGATGGCAAACAAGCTTGCCAATCCATTGTAAGCTGAAATATTACATCTTTGTTGGCGTAAATAACAGTGTAGGCAGTGGTAGCAACCAAACTGCCCATGAGAGCTCCCGTGACAGCTTCTTTGGGATCTACAATACTCTTGAGACATGTTAGAAGCTTATCCACTACCTTATCCACTACCTTATGAAGTGATGAAGCATACATGTTTTAAGGTAGCCCACCTAATCACAAATCTGAAAATGAAAACCATTCTAATAAGTAAACTAGGTTCACTAGAGAAAGCATAACATTCCTCATGAGATAGACAATAATACTACATGGACAACTACTTAAATTCTTTGATAGTGCATAGTTGATATTAGGATCTCATATTTTTAGGAAATAATGAAGTGAAGTTTCATTTAGTAAGAATCGTGATTTCAAAAGCATTTATAGAAACTTCACTTCATTATTTCTTAAAAAATGTGGCTGTATGCCTGTATGCCAATGTTTCCAAATTTATAAGACAGGCACGGCCCTGAGGCCCCTGACTCTAGTGCATCACTTGGTTGGTCAATGACTATGGTCAGACTAAAAAAGAAAATTGAACAATATAATGAAATAATCTGGAGTACCTTTTATTTCATGAAATTAATATGTAAATTCATGCTTTCATGCGTTACCAATAAAAATATTTTTTCTTGCATAAATGGGCTTCGAAGGAATGACCAAAGCCCAATTAAAATTCGGCTTATAATATTCTTTCTCTTCCACTAAAATTTTTATACGATTTAATACTGGAATTGTTTCAGTTAAACTTTTGAGCATTAAAAAGGAAAACATCTTGGGTTATGATGCTATCGATTGGTTATTGACTATAAATAAAGAGTCAAATAAAAATGATAATGAATTTAACAAAAGTCAACCTCAGAAAATTTGGCCACTCATCTCTTTCTAAATTGGTAATTTAATAAAATGTGAAAAAGATATATTAAAAAAGATATCGCAAAAGACAAGAAACTTTTGGAGTGGAGTTGGACTCGGATTAAAAGGGATGAATGCCTGAGAAAATAAATAGCGCACCAAGGAACGATAATAAATTAATAATACAGGCGTGATTATTGATTAATACTTTAAATTATCTTTTTAAAAACAAAAGTTAGGGCCAATATGGAATCGAAACCCTTTTTGCTAGGTTTCGTGTCACCAAATAAGCAAGCACCAGACTGTAAGTTAAGATATAATTAAGTCAATCTTAACTACAGATGGTAGGATAAAAAAACAAGAAATATAAATCGACTATCGCTTGGGTTACTGATAAGTGATATAACTGAGAACTGGCTTGGCTTACCCAAACCATAACTGATGAGAACTGGCTTAGCCAAACCGAGAACCGGTATGGATTTATTACAAGAAAATGTGTAAATTGGAAAGATGGGTGGTGCTCCCTTGTTAGGTGATTTGGAACCTCACAAAATTTACATTTAATATTCCAAATTGCCCCTTACTTTTGGTTACGAACAAAGAAAAAGATATTAACGTATTAATCAATAATCACGCTTGCATATTTAATTATCATATCCAAGTTAATTTTATTTTATTTTTGGCATCATGTGTCAACTTTTCATAATAATTGGGCCACAAACAATAATTATAAGAAAGAAACCCTATTGCCTCCTCTACACCTTCTTCCTTGCTCTAGGTTTGTCTTATTTTTGCTTCTTTATTATGATGAGATGCTTAAGTTTTAACAATGGTATTAAACATGCATGTAGCAACCGATCAACTATCGTGATCTTAATCGTCTTTCTTTCGAGTCTTACTTTTTTTCAGCATCTCTGTGTATCTCATTTCAAACATTTGTGCATTCGTTAATCTTTATCATAAAAATTGTTATCGATCAAAAACAAAACAATCAAACTTTTGGTCGGCAAACTAACATCTTTATTAAAGTAGGAGAGAAAAGGAACAGAGTTGGTCAAAAACCAATGTAGCAAGGTAATCAGCAAAATAATTGGTTGCTCTCGATATTATAAACTCAAAATAAATTATTTGAAAAGAAGACGAAAGAAACATGTTTAAAGGTTGCTGCACCAGGAGGCATTCGCGTTGCAGCAAGATAGCTCTAGTTCTTGGTGTGGCGGAGTAGACGAGTTATGGTTTATAGGTTGGGCTAATAATCAAATCCAATTTTCGCATGTATTGAGAGTTTGTCTCTCTCGGGAAAAAAACGTGTTTAGGATCACCGTTACCGGAAATAAAAGCGTGTTAGCGGAATCTAAAATCTCCATAATATATAACCGTTACCTGAAATCGAGCATGCCTAAAAGAGAAATATATAGGTAACGCAAGTTTTACTCCTAACGTAGAGTCTTTGACATATAAGAAAAATAATCATTTAACTACTATCAATTGGTTTATAGATAGGAAATGTTTTTTTTTTTGCTAAAGGATTTACTACTGATAATTAAGTTTATAGGAAATGTTTTGCTTACTTAGTTGTGTTCAACATACATTATCCTTTGTGTGACCAACGATTCATCAATTGACCTACTGATGCGTAGGTTCTAGGCCGAAATTTTGTTCATATACTCCATACATTATTTTAGCTATGTATAGATAATAATGTATCTAAATTTGATTCTGATTGAGCTATGTATAGAATATTAACTGATAGTAATATATTCCAAGATCGGTTGAGTTACCGGAAAAAACAATCCGGATATCCCACAAAAAAATGTGACTAGTTCAAGTAGAGGTCAAACACATCTTCAATTGACGTACGATCTTACGCAGACCGCATATAACACATCTTCGGTGGCCTAAAAACATTTCTATATAAAACTATATATCTATAATATTAAACGTAACTTAGTGGACTTACCCCACTCGCATATAATATTGTCACCACCACCGATCGTATCGTATACACTTTATATTCTCTAATCTCACATATCCTCTAGACTCCTAACCAAACAAAAAGAAGAAAGAAAAAAGTTCGGAGAAAGGAGAATGATAAGAGAAGAATGTACTCCAAGTTCATCATGGTGGGAAGACGTTCAGCATCATCATCATAACGATCATGCAAACTCCATTTCGACTTCGTTTTACCTTAAGAATAGTAATACTACCCCAAACGCAAACGTTAGCTGTGAAGAAGACAATCTCTCAATCTCAACCGTAAACACTTCAAATCGTTTTGACCTAACCGCTGAATCCTCCAATCATCACTCTCTCTCGGCTCGTGATCAGCCTGCGTCCTCCTCCGATGAGTTGCTCCGAGACCATGTCGCTTCTCCTCATAATCATCTATGGAGTCTTGCCTACTTGTAAGTATCCATACTTTTATTCATCTCCTCTACGTATATGTATTATAGATTGTTCTTTTAGTTCAGTGTTCTTGCTTGCAATTCACATAGCGCGCGGTTGTAGATTCAAAGTTTAGTATAAGAATCTCTACGCTCCACTCCATAATGATATCGTCTAGCTAGTTGATATTGCTATTATTTATTTATTTTCTTATAAAATAAATATACATTTTCTACAGAAAGGTGATGCTTTCAAATCTGAAAATAAAATAAAAAAACATTAGAAACAAAAGAGAGGTCTAAAAGTTGGTTTACAAAAGTAAATCAGTAGCTCTTTTGAATTATTGTTCCCCAACAAATGATTTAACGTTTGATTGGTGAGGGAATGCCTATAATTTTGCACTTATGATTAATCTTTTATTACTGGCCACTCGAATATTTTTAAAAAGATGCAGTTTATCAGAAAACAATGACAATTATTTCATTTGTTTAAACATAAAAAAATATTAAAGAATGATCATTTCATGTGTGTGTTTACAATTTCTCAGAAGAATTTTTAGTGAAAACATTAAAATGTAATGTTTCTTATTCTGAAAGGAGAAACAATAATCTATCAGACAAACTACACATTTTCTTAAATACAAACTGAACCCATATTTACATGAAGCTTTTCTATATATTAACTTTAAATGAACAGGCCTGGAAGAAGCTTAGGAGATCAAATGATGAATCATAATCATCACCATCATCAAATAACAACTTCAAGAAATTCATCTACAACATCCGAATTACCTTTTGAGCCAGCCTGCGATAACGGTAACGGTTGGATCTACGACACAGACCAAGTTCGGTATGATCAAAGTAGTGAACAAAGGCTGTCAACAAAGTTAACGGATCTAGTAGGCAAACACTGGTCGCTTGCGCCACCTAATAATCCCGACATCAACCATAACCTTCATCATCACTTTGATCAAGCAAACGACGACGTTTCCATGTTTAGACAAGCGTTGGAAGTGAAAAATGAGGAAGATCTTTGTTACAATAATGGCTTGAGTGGTGGTGGTTCGTTGTTCCATGATGCTATAGACAGTTCTAGAAGCTTTCTTGATATAAGGTTAAGTAGGCCATTAACGGATATTAATCCTTCGTTTAAGCCATGCTTTAAGGCCTTAAACCTATCAGAGTTCAACAAGAAAGAGCATCAAGCTGCATCACTGGTACGTACAACGAATACGCTATCAAATCTATTTATAAATTTATATCACCAAATATGTGATTTTGTTCGTAAATTAATTTGTTTTATCAAAAAATCATATCATACAATAGCTTAATTTGGTTTACTAATGCGAGTAACGTTTTAACGTTGATATCTCCGTTGCATCTTCAATCTTGGTGGCGGATGTTACTATATACGGATATGAAAATTGGTTTTCGGTAATTTGGTGGCATAATCTAACTATTATATTTAAAAATATTCTAAAATACCACAAAAACAAGTCTCTTTTTTAAGAATACCACGAAAACAAGTTTTTGGAATCAACAAGAGTCTATGTACGACGGTAACCACGAGCTTGGAAGCTATTTTTGCAGGCAACGGTGAGGTTGGGAACTACAAACGCCGGAAAGAAGAAAAGAACCGACGAAATTTCTGATGAGGTCTCCAAGAAGGCCAAGTGCAGCGGCGGCTCTACGCTTTCGCCGGAGAAGGTAATCTCTATAGAATTTAAGTATCTAAATATGTATGCTAAATAATAATTCGTGTTTCGTATAACTAAAAAAAATTAGTGAATCTTAAAGAGTAAAAATATAAGTTGACTAACACTGACTCTGATAATTGAATTGTTTAGATAAGTAACAATGGTGATAAAAGTCTTAAAAAAAAACTGTTTGATGGGACTTCAAATATAATCTAGATAACAAAAAGTAATAATCTTTTCGAATATTGCTGCATGCAGAAATGTAGACCATTGATTTTCTACGGTTAACATATAATTGGTCGCTATACATTTTATATGATGAATTTAGGTTCGGGGTTAATGTAAAATTGCTTGAAGGAAACTATACTGGTTAAAAAAAAAAAAAACTAAGACACTGTTTTTACATTATTTTTTTTGGAATGGCAGGAATTACCGAAAGCCAAGCTTCGAGACAAGATCACGACTCTACAGCAAATTGTGTCTCCATTTGGAAAGGTACTACAAAAAGGGACCGTATTCATCTTTTTTTCTATTTAGTTTCTATTTTCTTATATACATATCGGTCATCTCTTTAACTTTCCGCCTTTTATAATACATGGAAGAAATTTTAAAACGTTTAATTTGATAACATTTCAGACGGATACCGCTTCTGTGCTTCAAGAAGCCATCACTTATATAAATTTTTATCAAGAGCAAGTAAAGGTAAAATGCTTTAAACACACGACAAAAATTACGAAAAAATAATGATTGTTGCATAAAAATGCAAGCCCTTGTTTGATTATATCTTACTTATTATTTTGTTGTGTAATTTTTACGATCATGCAGCTGCTGAGCACTCCTTATATGAAGAACTCATCAATTAATAAGGTAACGTCTTAAGGAGAAAAATGTGTGGGTGGGTTTTAAAAACAATATTTCTAATAATACTTTTGTTAAAAGAGTTTCATAACCGGAAATCTATTTTTTAATTTTTATTTGATATGTATGGTTTTAGGAACCATGGGGAGGATGGGACAGAGATGATCAAAACAAAAGAGGACCAAAACATTTAGATCTAAAGAGTAGAGGACTTTGCTTGGTTCCTATTTCTTTCACCCCAATTGCATACCGCGATAACAGTGCAACTGACTACTGGAGTCCCTCGTATAGAGGTTCTTTGTATCGTTGATTATGAGCACAATCAACTGGTATAGATAGAAAGTGTGTAGAGAAAACGATTTGATTAGTCATCAACCATTCAAACATCGGTGATTCGCAGTGGAGCAAGCAGTAGAACGGGAGAACATTATATGTATATATATACTATATGCATATTAATCATTGTGATCGCAGTTCTATGATTTGCAGTTGTTCATGATAACCTTAAACATTGTGATATGGCCCTATCTAGAATACAATAATATTGTGGTTTGTTTTAGGTAATACTACAATGAAATACAAAAAGTAGTTTCTTAATGCATAACTGAAATTATTTTCTCTTCTTTTTGCAAACATTTGTATATGGTTTTTGTTTCTGTTTGAAACGGATTAGATGCAACGATTTAGTAAATGGGCTTCAAGGAGATAACAAATGGGGTTCTATGTTATTGGGCCAACAATGCTTATATGGCCGATGCTTGTGCTTAAGAACAGACAGATACTTATCGCAAGATACAAAACAAATGTGTCGGACGTTTTCTGAAAACCAAAAACCTGGGCTCACATTTTTGGTATAAATTTATATCGAGTTGTGTTCCCTCGAAGATTTAGAAACATCTCTAGAAAGCATTCCCATCGAAAATCGTCTTGAAATCTTACGTATTCAATAACCTAAAGTTTCAGATCATATACCAGAAAAAATAACATAGCCTCATCATCATACCAGATATAAACAATCCATCTAAGAATTAATCGAACTTGCGGTGTCGTTATTTACTGTTTAGTTGTTATGGTTCACAAGTCACAACTATGTAAATATATTTTTTTTGGCGAAAAGACAATTTGTACTTCTCTCGGTTATTTAAAAATTAACAAAAGTTCATAAACCTGCAATTAGATGCGGCATTCTGGTAAGATTATATAATTAACGGGAAGATAATTTTAGTACATTGTTACTAAACTAATTGTTTAAAACCGAAAGGGGATGAACCTCCCAGCCATACACAGCGACAACTGCACTTCGCTTCATTCGATACATTATAAAAGAATGTATATGCTCTGCAATAATATATTAACAAATTTTGTAGTGGTCAAATGATTGAAGTTTTGATATATAAATTACGTCAGAGTTTAGATTTCTTTTGTTTCGATTTTATATATGGTTTAAAATTATAAACAGTTTAAATTGTACAATTTCATAGATCAGCAAAAGGTTTAATCTAGAATATCCATTTGTTATAAGAATAATAATATTTATTTATTTTAATAGAAAAATGTGTGTAGTGAAAGTGATAATAATGTGGCAACTGGACAAAGTAACTCAGATATTCCCACTAATAATCATATGCAAGCCAAAACCAAACGAATAAAAAAAAAAACAAGACTGCAAATTTCCAGGAGTTGATTGTATGCAAAGCTATATATAGGCGGAATCTACACACATGATTAAACTTTGTAAAACACATATAGTTGAATAATTATGATTCTAGGAATTTCGGATTAACATTTTCATAGAGCAAAAAAGTGTTAATTATATTCAAGAATCCAGATTGAAAGAAATAGAAAGAGAGGGAAGGAAACAAAAAACAAACAAAAATGAGAAAGCATTAAGAAGAAATCGAGGTAAGGAGAAGAGTACTTAAAAAGCTTTTAAAAAGGAGCAGCACTCTTGCCAAGGCCAACGTCTCTGCCAAGTGCCATCCATACTCTCTTGTATTCTCTTCTTCTCTTATAATAAAATTTTGTGCATTAATCTAGAGAAAAAAATTACAATAATTTTGTTCTTGTACTATTGCCCAAGTCCAACAAATATTTTCATGTCCAAATCAGTGTATCATATATGCATTCGTTCATGCGACTGATATTTTCATGCCAGACAAAAACAACTATTCTGTTGGTAGAGTTCTCATAGTTTTCTATAACTTTGAAATAGATAAATATCGAGTTATAAAAGTCTCAAAAATAATTTTCATAAATTATGCGATCGTATGTAAAAGATTATATTTGTCTCAATTGTTTTTCTTGTTCGATATTCGTGTACAGAATTTAAAGTTCATACAACAGAAATTTTGTATAATTGGAATAAAAAAATATCGAAATTTTAAGTGCATATAAAAAAAATCTATAAAAAAATAGAAACTTATAAAAAAAAAATCAATGTTTTACGCCTTACATATTTGACGGTCGAATTTGTCTTCTTAAACCATCTATCACTCGTTGTCAAATCCCTTAGGAAAGAATCTATGCTAAATAAAGACATTAGGTGGATAATTCAACATGTTTTTACTGATTGTTCTATATAAACTTTTCATAATCAGAACCAGATTAGGTCCATTAGATAAACCACGTAATCTCTAGTTATATGTTACTGGATTAGATTCGAACAATGACATACAGATTACGTGTAGTTGTTTTTTTTTTCCCAGCCAGATAACGTAATTGTTAGAAAATTAAATGAAAAACAAATTGTACATACATAGATTTGACTATGTCGTTTTTGGAAGAACTTATTTTTACTGCTTTGTGATTGCTAGCCATATTAGTCATAATACCCTTTACCACAATTATAAAAATGATTAATCACACCCATTGTAATGTTAGTATGTCTTTGGATTAACTCATGTACGAATTGATTTATTTATTTGTTATATAAGATGATTAGAATTAAACTACTGTATCACTCCATTTATGATACTACCGTGACAATCATTCACAACATAGTTATGATTAAATTTATCAATGGAGTGATAGATTGAGTAATTGTGCTGTTAATGATGGTCAATATTATAAATTAATGATGTAAGGATTTGTAAATGTGAATCCTAAAATAATCTTCTTCTTTTTCTTGTAGGTTGAAAGAAGGGAAACACGAGTCACATATCCGGAAAAGGTAAATTAACCTTAGAGATCCCTCCAAACAAACTAATCCTCTGGGACACTTGTTGTCCTTCACGACAATTATATATTTCCTAATAAATGCACACAAACAAGAAAAAAAATTCAAGAGATATACATCGGTAATGCATCATGATTATTGTCTTTAAGACAAAGTTTGAACAGAAAAAAAGACAACCCCCTCGTGAAGATCTCAGTCAATCTTTTTGTTTCATGTAAAAGGTAATCAAAAACTTTGAATTCCTAATTGGGTTATTGTGTTTTTCACCCAATAGAAAATTCCTATTAAAATTTTCTTCTCCATTTGATAAATGACACTTTGTCACACACTCACATATCTCTCCCTCTTCTCTTTTCTTCTCTCTCTCTCTCTCAAAATTTGATCTTTCGCCAATGGAGAAAAGATTTGATCTTTCTGGGAACATATCGTTTTCTCAATAAAAGACATTCTCTCTCCCTCTCACCCAACAGTTTCTCTCTCTATACGTAGCGACAATAATTCTGAAACCTCTTCTACACAACAAAAACCAATACACACATATACATAAATACACGTATACAAAACAATCCACACATTATATAAATTAACATTTACACTCTTCTTCAGTCACTCTCCAAATTAAAAACCAAACCTCTCAGTCAGTCTCTCACACAACCAAAATCTCAATCTCTTAGGGTTTTTTTCTTCTTCTTATTCCACCAGAAATTAATTTCTTGAAATTGACATTGAAAATTCTGAAATTAAGGAACTTTCCATCTCTGTCTCGAATTTTGATTAAGAACTTGCCAGGTGAATCGAAGATGATGAGGGAAGGTGAGGAGGAGGAGGAGATGATGATGATGGTGGCGACGAAACCTGCATGGCTCGAAGGATTAATGGCGGAAACTTTCTTCGCGAGCTGTGGGGTCCACGAGAGTCGCCGTAAAAGCGAGAAGAACGTCTTTTGCTTGCTCTGTTGTCTCAGTGTTTGTCCTCACTGTCTCCCTTCACATCGCTCTCATCCTCTTCTCCAGGTACTCATCTAAATTTCACCAAGAATTGTTTTTTTTTTATCGAATATTCTTGTTAATGATAATTCCGTATGCGAAATTTCAGAAAAATTGATCCTTTTTATTTTTGGTTGTTTCGTCCTCGAATTATTTGATTCGTGGTGATTTTCGTCGGAGAATTTTCGATGACCCATGATTTGTTTCCGTGACGATTTCAATACCTATATTTTTGATTTTTGAATTTTTCTTTATTTCTCTTGCGATTTCTTAAATCTGTACTTGCACATATACAAACAGCAATTCACTGTGTGTACGTATCGTTTCTGTTACTCGATTTTTTGAAGAAAATTCTCTCTCTCATGAGAGATTTTGGATTTTAGCGAAATCTGTACTTACACCCTCATATATATAATCACACACGTTAGCAAATTTTCAATTGTAAACCTATAAACTTTCAAAAGCCCTTGTTATTTGTTTCTCTATGCAATTACTTAGATTCACATGCACATCTTTCTTCTTTAATTCTCTTCTCCAACATCTTTTCAGATATTTAGATGCAAATTGTAAAGCTTTTGGAAATTGTACTATGAGAACTTCTTTTTGAAAAACTGGACCTTTCATTATCATAAACTTTTTCTTCTCCACCCAAAAATTATTCTTTTAAGCCATCTTTTGAGGTCAGATTGATTGAATTACTCTAAAGCATATGATCATTTCTCTAATCATGTTGGGAATTGTAGAGGTTTTGAATGCAAAATCCAATATGTATAAACATATATAGATTCATGTATGTACACAACTACACATCATTCATTGATAGTATTGGACTCGAATTGTCTATTGTTTGGATTTGGTTTGTTTCTATATATAGTATGTATCTTTTTCTCATCTTTTATTTATTCTTTCTCTTTTCAATTTTTTGCTTGGTTCCTTTAAATTTCTTGTCTTCTCTGCTCTACTTCTCTTGAGCTGTTGCTTTCAAAGAACATCAAAAGCTTTGACCAAATTCCTTTTCCTGAACTTCCATTTACTTCTTTCCACAGTTTTATATATATAATATTAAATCATTTCCACTATTCCCCAAAAACATTATTGGTGCAAACCAAAATCTTTGTAGCTACCCTGTGCTTCAGGGAAGAAAAGGATAAAGTTTTCTGAAGCAATTATGAATGTTACCACATTATTTTATATTCTAGTATCAATTAAGCCCTTGCTTTTATGAATTGCAGGTGAGACGATATGTATACCACGACGTCGTTCGGCTGAGTGATCTTGAGAAGCTCATAGATTGTTCATATGTTCAGGTGAATCATATACTATTTTGGAGATTTGATTTTGAACTTAATAATCGTGTACTCTTTTGAAGCTCTGCTTTAAAACTTAATTTGTTTCTGATCGAATTTTTGTTCAGCCATATACAATTAATGGAGCCAAAGTGATATTCATAAACCAAAGACCACAATCAAGAGCTAAGGTCTCTTCAAACGTTTGCTTCACTTGTGATAGAATCCTCCAAGAACCATTCCACTTTTGTTCCCTCTCTTGCAAGGTAATATCAGTTAATGCACATATTCCTCTTGGAATTTATTTTACGTTTAATGTTTGAACCCTAAGAAAGCAACTTGCAACTTAATTTCCATATTCCCTACCAGTGAAAACAAAAAAACATGGAAATTAAGTTGTAAGTTGTTGACATAGTTGACCCATGAATGACAAAGTGAATTTAGTTGTTTATTTTTTATATTCTAGTAAAGCTAAAAATAATAACAGAATATAATGATTGCTTCAACATTTAACCGTATGACATAAAGTTGCTTTAAAAAAATAATACAAATCATTACTCCAAAGATGAAAAACAAAACTTTGGAAAACAGCTGTGTTTTTTTCCTATAATAATCATGTTATATTTTTTTTTCTCTCGCATAATGTGTTACATTAGTTTAATTTTTATTAAACATATGTGGAAGTACAAAATGGGCACTTTCCTAGGTTATGAACTATCTTGTCCAATACCATTACACATTTATGTTATTTTATTGTCTATGACACAATAATCTCACATATCAACGATTAAAATAAACTTTTGAAATATAGGTGGATTACTTAGTATATCAAGGAGATGATCTATCAAGCATTCTCTATAGAATTGATGAATCGGATTTCACGTTTTCAAGACTCGAGGGTTTGAGAATGGACGGACATGATCAGCTCGGAGAAATATCGACAATGGAGGATGATACCGAGGATATGATGCTAATTTCAGATCAATCGGAGCAAGGTAACAATAGCAATAAGAAAGAAAAGAAGAAGAAAAAGAAGAAAGAGAGCAACTACTTGCCTGAGATGGTTCTTTCACTTGGTAGCAGAAGAAAAGGTGCTCCTCATAGGGCTCCTTTTTCATAGTTTGAAACAATAAAATCATAAGCTAAAATTTTATAGTATAACTTTAAATAAGCTTCACATATCTATTTGTATCGTATTTCTTTTATTAGGTATATCTTGTAACGAGTACGAAATAACCTTTTATCCCGAAAATGTGTTTACTATTATGGTTTGTTTATCTATTTTCATTTTTTTGTTAAAAGTAAATAATGATAAGTTTCTTTTGTGGTAATGTAAAACCATTGTCTTTTCTTTTGTTTGTTACAAATTATTGGCATGTTCGTGAATTATTGGTATATAGTAGCAAGTGGTTCAAAATTGGAGTATCAAAAATGGACTCGCGTAGTTTGTGTAATTTTCATTGGGAGATGGAAGAGACGACGACAGGTTCACGGGGACAGTTGAAAAGTCTTAGATGCGTCATCATGAATCACACCAACACCATTTTTTCTACTTTACCATGTTTTTTTCAATTTTCTTTTTGCTTGCTATATATGTGTTCCTTTCTAACCATCCACTAAATTTGTATTTCCGCTGATCAGAAAACTGTAAATAAATATCTTGCTGAGGCAAGAAGATGAAACTGAAAACTTTACGATTTGATTTCTTTTACTCTCTAGATTTTTCTTTTGGTTATGTCTTGCGGTGTGCAATCATTTTATATCTCGTTATCTTGAATCGTATAGTATTTTCTTATTCTGTTAAAACAACATTTGCTTCGTCATTAAAACTTTGGACACATGTCAGGAAGACCAAGTAATGGACATATTTTTGTTTATGTGTTTGTTTGCTTAAGATCACATGTGTTTGTAGTATAACATAACTACATGAAACTACAAGCAGTACATGACTACTACAAACGGAATGGACCTTCATTAGTCATACAATTAAATAGTGAAACAATTACGGGATTGGCCTTGGGTATTCTATCCATCGACGCGTACGTTAAGCACTTAAGCCTATGTCAGTTTCATGGTTTGCAACTTTGAATCAAGCAGTTGGATGTATGAATGGCAGAAGAACCACTACGATTTAACGTTGATGAAATCAAATCAAGAAACTATAAGTAAATAACGAAGTATATTTCCATGTTTTTCGTGTCTATAGTTTTTTTTTCTTGTTATGCGGACAGCGTATTAATGGAAATACCTAAATTAATCTACATATATAGATTTCGGATTTATGATAGATAGATTTGTAAAGTACTTAAACAAAAAAAAATATAATTACGTAGGAGTAAATGAAAAATATAAACATATTTTGTCTTGTAAGTAGAAACTGATACATATATGTCTTTAGAGAGCGGGTACGGAAAAAAATTACTACTACTTAATTATAGTGTGGTCTTAAAACACAGGTTTTTTTTTTTTTTTTTTTACATCTGCTCTTAAAACATTGGTTTTCTTATCTAGCTAGTGATAGTTTTTACAATCCAATTATAGTGGCCTTAAAAAAGGTTTAGATCATAATTTATTCATCTAAAATGTAGGAACTGTATGTTTGTTTTATTTGCAATTGTATCTTAGGATCCCTTCATCGGGAATTAAACCCACCTCATGGTCGGGGCATTTAATTAACAGTTTCTTATGAATAAAAACAAACAATTGTGGGTTATAAAACCATTTCAAAGGACAACCATGAAAGAAATTAAATTCTTTTTTTTTATAAAGACGATATGCCGAACCGGTGACAACATAAAATTCACAGATATTACCAAAGTCCAAAGTTTAATATTACAATAAAAGTAACAGTTAGTGTTAATTTTGATTTGTGATATGGATCTAATAATTTATTCTGTGTTTCAGAAAATTTAATGTCTTAGAAAAAGTACAGATATTAAAAAACACTTTTGTATATATTTATTATTTCTCTTTTGTCTCTAAAAAAACACTTATAGTTTAAAAGATCCAATCATTTACTACCTCTAATTTCTCTCACCTAAAAGTTAAACTATTACTAACAAAAACTGCATTAATCAAGTTTTATGAAATATTTTTTTTTTCTTAAATATCAAATTTTCTAAAACGGAAAGAATATCATTTATAAGAATATCAGTGCATCTTAATTATAGACAATAAAGTTTTATAACTAGCCAAAAAGCGTACCGCAAACCTATTCATGGTGCTGTCTTTTTCATTTTATTAAATTTAGCACAAAAAGAAGTAGATAATTTATAAAAAAAAATTACAGAAACAATATACCAATCCTTTCGTACAAGAAAGCATGACTCAGTACAAAATAATTGCTTGGCAGCAGCAGGTGAAACTATTTCAGAAGCTGGAGCAACTGATCATCGGAGAACCGATTGAAATATTCGGAATTTAGTACGGAAATATCAATTTTGTTTCTTTTTCTTTTTTCTTTTGGTGAAGGTTACTTTATGATCACAATATATATCAAATGTTTTTGTACAGGATCGGAAAAAAACAAATTTCCTTCTCGTTTTTTGTTGTTGTTGTTGAAGCCAATTTCTTATCGTTTCGATGAATATTCTTGATTGAGTTTTTCTTGATAAAGTATTGTTGATTGAGTTGCTATAGTGGTACAAAAAAACAACCAGTGATAATAAATTTTCGAAACCTGTCTTTAGCTTAGGGGCGGCACGAGTGATAAGACAAAATATCAGTAATAATTCCACGACTGCGTGTAAGATTTAGTGAAAATGAGGGAACATTTATACTAATAACAAATTAGCCTAAATAAAATCTTAAGATTTATGATAAACTGCGAAAGAAAAAATAAAGGGTATTTTCAGTGTGATGATCAGGATAGAAAGCACATGGCCGGTCCACTTCTTCGTATTAGGTTTCCATATTTGTAACAATCTATTGCATAGATTGTTGCATATGGTCATTGGCGTACATAAAGTAGGTGGCAAAACGGGCTTTCGACACGTGTCTTTCTCTGCAGACAATGCTTCCATGTTCTTGCTCTCCACATGCAAATGCAATGCCCGATAAGTATATACACATATTTATTTGGTATAGCATTAGTAGCTGTGTTCATTGATGGTATGTACTACTCTGTTTTATATTATAAACAGTTTAGAAAAATATAACTACAATTATCTATATATATCTTATATATATCTGTATTCAAAACATATCCAGATAATTGTAAATACACTTTTCTAAACTGTTTATAGTACGAAATAAAAGGAATATCATGTAAATATAAAGAACAGATATAGAAAACACAATTTTGTTAATACTCTATTATTAACTATAGACAATTTTTATTGTTATCTAAAAATATTCTCAATAATTGATTTTTAATCATTTATTCTTATCTTCTCTTTTAAAATATATTTGTTATTATTATATTTGTTTGATTTTTTTTTATTTTCAAATATGTTATTTATTAATTAATAAGTTTGTAAAAACACATATCATAGAGCTACAAAAATGTCAATATTTATGAAATGGAAGGACTATTCTTGTTCTTTATTTATACTTGATTAAAATGGATGGTTTTAATAACTCTATATGAATTTTTTATTTATTTTTGAAAAAATATAAAGAAATAGGGGTTTTTATTATCGGAAGAGAGACATAAGGCGGAGAGATGGGTTCCCATTCAGACTTTCTCAAGAACCATGCCACCTGATTCCTGACGTTTCTTTTTCCAAAAATACAACATTTTCGTAATATTATAATGACTTTGTTACATTATTAGTAAGATATATACTTTGAAATGTATAATAGGGTTATATATGTGCTATAATGCCTCAAAATGTAACGTAAGCACGATGTTGGTGCTACTATATATGTGAAAGTCTGAAAGATATATAGATTAAAGAATACTCTGACTAATTCCTAAAAAGTATTTAAAACCACAGATATTTCTATCATTTTAAATTAGCCACCGTGTTTTGTGAAAACTAAAATACGATGTCTCCATACATTAATATATTTATATGTATATATGATAGTGGATGTATAACCTGGACAGGCTGTGCTTCAAGGCACAAAAGGTTCGAGGTAGTCGGACAGATGGGAAACAATAAGGTGTGTGTGTCTGATATAGCCTTTATTTGCAGTCCACTAAAGTCCCTTTCTCTATCGTCGAAAAAATATCTATATAATATTATTTACTCTACAAATTTAACATTAGACACAAACATAACTTATAAATTAACATCAAACACCAAAAAACTAACATTGACTTCAGGTTTCGCCCTATGTAAAAATAGAAGAAAACAATTACAACGAAATAAATATGCTAAAAGAAGAAATAAAATTTAAAAATTACAAGTCATCTTACGATTTAGCTTGCAGTAAGAATTGTAAACACATTACATTTTTTTAACCAAATGTGATGTAGGATTTATAGTATATATTCTCTAGAATATGATATATTTCTTGAGCATATCATATGGAGGCAACAACTAATAATCGATTCTGAAAATATAGCGATCAAGCAAAATTTGTTCGGTTTGAATTCTTCATTCTAGATGAGGAATGTCGTCTTTCAACCAGATTATTATAGAAAAGGACAAGACTTTATGAAAAATGACTTTATTGAATATATTTTGGATACCTTACAATGATTAGTTTGATCCTCTATTTATAGTACACGAAGAATCAATCTAGAAATGTTTAACCTAATCTCTTCCTTAGTATATGGAACAGCTGGAAAGGTGAACTTAACCAGGGTTAATTAACTCTAGGGGATCATATTTGTTACTAAGGACTAACGGCTCTCTTCTCTTTGTTGCAGGAGCATCTTTAGACTTTGGCAGTTTCTGTATTGTGACTGTGGGCTTTGATTCGAGTGGGCCTGATTTCAATGGGCCTTGTTTACCAATATCCCCCCGCAAACTCGGCGTGGAGAATGTTCCGACCTCGAATTCTCCGACACCGAGTTTGTCTCTGAGTTTGACGAATGGTAGCCGAGCTAGTGGTTTCGTGAAGATGTCGGCCAGTTGTTCCGTCGCCGGCATGTGTTTCGTCTCGATCAGACCTAACGCCACCTGCTCCCGGATATAGTGCCAATCGGTGTCGAAATGTTTGGATCGGTTGTGGAAAGCTGGGTTCGCGCTGAGATATACTGCTGACAGATTGTCACACTGAAGGAGCGTTGATTTGGTTTGAGCAATTCCCAGATCTCGGTGGAGAGCCGACAACCATGTGAGTTCTTGCGCAGTCAAGGTAAGGGTTCTGTATTCTGCCTCATTAGATGATTTTGAGACCGTTTGTTGTCTTTTCGCTGACCAAGATAGAAGATTAGGACCCATCATCGTACAGAACCCTGATGTAGACCTTCTAGTTTCTTTGCAACCACCATAATCACTATCGCAATAAGCTGTCAGACTCGTATCTTGATGTTTTCTGATGTGGAGACCTAAATTGATTGTGCCTTTCAGGTATCGTAGTATCCGCTTCAAGAGACCAAAGTCTGACACTGTTGGTTGATGCATTCTTTGACATACGAAGTTGACAGCGAATTGAATGTCTGGCCTGGTGATAGTCAAGTATTGAAGCTTCCCTGCAAGGCTTTTGAAGTATGTTGGCTCAGGAAACAAGTCTGAGTTGAGATTGTCGATGTCTTGAGGAAGTGGTGTGGGCATTGGGCTACAGTCAGACATAGCAGCAGCATGGAGGATATCCTTTGCATAGGACAACTGGTGCAGGAACATTCCTCCATCATACGATTTTATTTCAATTCCCAAGAAGTATTTGGGAGGTCCGAGGTCTTTCATGAAGAACCTTTTGTTCAGAGCTAGAAGCAGTTTCTGCACCAGGGCTTCATCACTACCTGTGAGCAGCATATCATCGACATATAGTAGGAGAACAAGAGATTTTCCATCTTTCCGATAGGTGAAGAGAGATGGATCAGACTTGCTGCACACGAACCCAAAATCTATCAGGTAATTGCTGAAAGTATCAAACCATGCTCTGGGTGCTTGTTTCAGAGCTTGTTAACTTGCAGACGTAATTTGGCTTGTTGAGATCTTCGAAGCCAGGTGGTTGTGTCATAAAGACTGGCTCCTTCAATTCACCATGAAGGAATGCGTTGGATACGTCTAATTGCTTTAGCTTCCAACCTTTTGTTGTAGCTACATCAAGAATCATCCTGATCGTTGCTGTCCTTACCACTGGACTATATGTCTCCAGGTAATCTATTCCTTCCTCCTTGTCATACCCTTTTGCTACTAGACGTGCTTTGAGCTTATCAAGTTCTCCTTCGGGTTTCATCTTGATTGTGAAAATCCATCTACATCCTAACACATTCATGTCTTCTGTGTAGGGGACCAATGTAAAGGTGTTGAGCATGTAGATTGTGTTGATCTCGTCACCCACCGCAAGATTCCAGCCAGGATGATTCATCGCTTCTGCTATGTCTTTAGGTATGGTTGGAATCATCTTTAGTATCACCAGCGCATATCTTTTGTTTGGTTTGTGGATTCCTCCTTTTGCCCTTGTTGTCATGGTGTGATTATTGCCTTGTATTTCTTCTAGTACTTGTTCCTCACCCTGATTTTCATGTCCCATCTCCGGTGTATTTGGTACAGGGACTGGCGCTGCTTGTTGAGGCGGAGTGAGGATGCGTATAACTCTTGTGTCTTCTGCTACCATGTCTTGATCTCGCTTCGCTGTTTGCCAAGCTCTCAGAAGGACTGTGTCATATTCTGGTTGCAGAGACTTGTATTGATGCTTGAACGGGAAGCATTCCTCATCAAAGATTACATGACGAGAGATGTACACTCTTCCTGTAGGTGGGTACAGGCAGCGATAGCCTTTGTACTGAGAGCTGTAGCCAATAAAGACACATTGCAACGATCGTGGATCAAATTTGTTATGCGCCAAGGGTCTGAGGTGAGGATAACACGCTGCTCCAAAGACACGAAGACTAGAGTAGTCGGGTTTTGTTTGTAGCAGACATTCATGAGGACTCATGTTGTCTGTGACTGAGGATGGGAGCATGTTTCCTATGAAGGAAGCCGCAGCAAATGCCTCTACCCAATATTTCAGAGGCACTTCACTGTGAAACAACATTGACAAGCCAAGCTCAACGAAGTGGCGGTGTTTCCTCTCTGCTATGCCATTCTGCTGAGGTGTATGCGGACATGACAAGAGATGTTTTATACCACAATTACCCAGGTGACTTTTAAACTTGTTACTTATGAATTCACCTCCACCATCACTCTGAAATACTTTTATCTTGCTTCCCATTTGATTTTTCACCAGTTTTTGAAAGGCAATAAACACAGAATAAAACTCCGACTTTGTTTTCATAGGATAAAACCACGAATATCTTGAATAATCATCCACAAACACTTCATAATACTTAAATCCCAGAGAGGAAACAACTGGTGACGGTCCCCACAAGTCACATTGAATTCTATCTAGGGGATGTAAAACACGAGACTCAGAACTAAAAAAAGGAAGCCTATGGCTCTTCCCCATCTGGCAAGGCTCACAGATGAGGGATGTTCTGCTCTTATTGACTTCAATTTCCTTGCTGTTTTTCAGGTTCTGGAGGATCTTCAAATTCGAGTGTCCTAACCGATGATGCCATGTCGCTTCTGAGGCTGCACACTGACGATTGGAGAAGAACACTTGAAAGCTCGGATCTTCAAGAACATAAAGACTTTCACGCCGAGGTCCCCTTGTCACCACCTTCTGAGTTTGTAAGTCAATTATACACACCTTAGTTCGATCAAAATATACTCCACAAGGATAGTCATCACATAGCTTAGTGACTGACAATAATGATTTCTTAATAGCAGGACATACTAAGACATCATTTAAGGGGATCATACCATTGGGTGATGCAAGGCCAGAGGAACCAACATGCGTGATTGGCAAGTACGTGCCATCCGCCACCATTACTGTATCGTTTCCTTCATACTTGGTGGCAGACTGTAGGTTGGCAGTACTCGCCGTGATGTGAGCAGTAGCTCCGGAATCTGGATACCACTCTTTACCATCAGCAACCTGGAGAGAAATAAACGCCTTTGTCTGATCCGGATTCTCCTGATAGTTGTTGTCGAATCTGTTATAGCACTTGATTGCTGTATGACCAATCCTACCACAGATCTGACACGTAGGTCGCTCGCCAGTGTTGTTCTGACCACTCTGATGTTGAGGAAATCCTCTGCCCCTGGTGGAGTAGTTGCCTCTGCCTCTGTATTGACCACGGTACTGACCTCGACCCCTGTTAAAGCTTTGACCTGACTGCTGGATCTGAAAGGCCTGATGAGTTACTGCTTTTGTTGTTTGGTCACGAGCTTGGAACTTCATATCATACGCCTGGACTTCCGAGATGACATCATTGAGCGTTGGTCTCGGAAACTTACTGAGAGAGCTTTGGACCACCGTTGCCACTGGATCATACTCATCTCCGAGACCATTCAGGAACTGAAACAACTTCATCGATTCCTCTACAGGTTTGCCAATAGCACTTAACGCATCACATAGAGATTTAAACTCACGACAGTAAGCCGCAAAGCTTTTGTCTTGCTTCTTCAGGCATTGGAGACTGGTACGGAGTCCAAACTCACGAGCTAGGGAGCTTTGGTTGAAATTCTCAGCGAGAGACAACCAGATCTCGCGAGATGTTGTAAGAGTGTGGACCGAACCAAGAACCTCTTCAGACAGAGTGCCAAACAACCACGAACGGACTAGCTGATCTGTGCAGAACCACGACTCGTAGAGGGGACTGGTCACCGGAGGAGCTGCTAAGCCACCATTCACGAACCCGATCATCTTCTGACTCGACAAGAGGGACTCAAACTGAGTCTTCCATAACAGATAATTGCTATCTGTGAGTTTGATAGTGACTGAACTTAGAACATGAACATTACTAGGAAACGGATAGGGATTGATTGGATCGGCCATTGTCGCCTGTTAGAGCTTCAATGGCTCTGATACCATATAGAAGAGGACAAGACTTTATGAAAAATGACTTTATTGAATGTATTTTGGATACCTTACAATGATTAGCTTGATCCTCTATTTATAGTACACGAAGGATCAATCTAGAAAGGTTTAACCTAATCTCTTCCTTAGTATATGAAACAGCTGGAAAGGTGAACTTAACCAGGGTTAATTAACTCTAGGGGACCATATTTGTTACTAAGGACTAACGGCTCTCTTCTCTTTGTTGCAGGAGCATCTTTAGACTTTGGCAGTTTATGTGTTGTGACTGTGGGCTTTGATTCGAGTGGGCCTGACTTCAATGGGCCTTGTTTACCAATAATTATTTCCGCAAAAATCGCACACTTAGTAAATCGAATCTTCATAAGGGTAATAGGGTTTTGATTATTAATAATTAAAGCAACGAGTTTCATTGGGAGTATGTGTTCCAAGCAAAAGAAAGAGAGAAAGAGTTAAGGGCATAGAAGCTTTTGACCATTTACTCAATCATTTATGTAAATGGAACCTACATGATGTAGATATCTTTGTAATGTGTAGGCCTCACTCTCTAATGGACCCATATAATTATTTTGTATAAAAAACTGTAAATCAGATACAAAAACATGAGCAATTCAAAGTATTTTATTGAGTTTTCTTAGGATGTCCCCTCTATGCACATGACAGTGACCATCCACCTTAGTTATAAATAAAAAACCCCTGTTTTTGAGACACAATAAAAGAGATACAAAAAGCTTTGAAGAAAGACGCAAAACTTATTTCTAGGAGAAACAAATGCAAACAGAAATAAGGGTTTGATTGCAAGCAATAAATAAAGCGTTAAGCATGCATTTAAATACCTTACTAGTTCATTTAATCAATTTTATAAAGTTCAAAATTTAGTTAAATAAATAACCTTAACTAAGTTGATGTGAAATTTCATTCATATAATGATATCAATGGTTTCACGTGAATTTTAACACCTAACGTACTATTTCACATGATATCACACTTCATCTTATAATGTTAAGGGACTAATGGTTTGTGTCAATTTTTAAACAAACAATATGTAATTTAATCTGATATCATGCTACGCTGCTATATGATTACTATTTTATTCGATTACACGTTTTTTTTTAAGGATGTCACATTATTTACCAAAATCGCATAATTCTGCATAAAAAGAATTGCAAAACAGTTACTCCCTAATTTTTTGAAAGCGTCGTATATATCTGGCTGTTTGACTGAATTACGTACGTCTTAAGTTTTGGTCGATGTTAACAAATTGTAGGTTCTCTTGGATTGTTTTTTTATCAGTCTTACCAAATGTTTACTAAAACACGAACTTTTTTCAATTTTTGTAAGAAAAACAAAAACTCTATTTGAATTCATAGGTTACTGTTAGGATTAAGTTTTTGAATAGTGACGAAAATTTCATATTTCCATTAGAATTTTTCTATATAAAAGTCTATGTTATGATAGATTTCCCAAAAGTCATTGCATGAACTTGTTTTTTTTTTTTTTGTTAAATGCATGAACTAGTTTTTCTTCATTTTTACTGAAGTAATAAAAAAAAAAAATACTAATATAAGGTAGAAAAAGGAGGGTTGAAAATGATGAAGGTGGTGGTTCAGAGAGGCCATAGAAAGAAAAAATAGCTGGCCAATTTACTCCCTGCAGAATCTGGCAATCTATTAGCCTTTCCTTAGATGGGACCTTCTTTGAGATTGAGAATGAGAGAGGAGAGAGAGAGAAGAAGAGAGAGAATAGTCTTCTTTCTCCATTAGATGGATCTGACTCACTGCTACAAAAGATCACTCTCATTATTGAAAACACTTGTCAGTCCTTTTGGCCTCTTAGGACCTCCTACCGATCCTGTTTTGTCTTTTTGATTATATAGACTTCAAAGGTTCAAATGGTGACAGTGTTCTTGATTTTAATTATCAGAGAAACTGCAGTTTAGTTTAAAGAAATTCGTCTCGTAATCCGTTTAAATTAATTGACCTAAACATACAGTTAAATATGTTATTTTAATGAATACATGTTTAAGATTTTGTCTCTATATATTTTTCCATCAAAACACTGTGGCTTAATTCAAATTAGATATGCTAACAAAATCCAATTCCGAATAGTTGTAAATCAGATATAAATATCTCAACGTTGCTGGAGATCCAATCCGTTTCCATAGTATACATGAAAAACTTTGCAATAAAGTTAATTATATTACAAATTCACAATCTAGTAGAAGAAGAAAAAGGGTGTATAATTATTTTAGCAAATATATCTGTGGAATGACATAATCTTATTTGATATGACAACACATAGGATGGTATCTTCAATCTTAATTACACTAGTAAAATTATTATATTACATATAGAAAAAACATATATGTAATTGTAAGTTTCTTTTTTTTTTTGTTAAAGGGTTTGAGCAATTGTAAGTTATCAACTTTTCTTTTACCAAATACGATATGACTCATCTGTATTTCGCGAATCAAAAGATCATTGCTCAAGACAGTACAAAACATTGAGAGATTTTGCATGGTAAGTTTAACTCATATAAGAACTACTAAAAAGTTAAGCAATTCAACTTTTCTAGATTAGTATTTAAGTTTCATAACCAAATAATTAGTACTGAATTGCATAGAACTTTACCACACATTTCATTTTTCTAGCTATCAAATTCTGTTTAAGCATAAATATGGATTGTGTTTTTGCCATGAATAGCAAAAAAATGAAAAAAATTCAGAGATGAGATTTGGAAAATAAAAGTAGACTGAGATAAAAAAAAAAGTACTGAAGAAACAAAATAGGGCCAAATCATTGTCCTTTCTCCTTTGACCATTCCCCACCTCCCTCTCATCCCATTCATTTCCATGTTTCATTATTAGAAAAAATTACTGGATACTTTCTTCTTTTCAATAAAACCCGACGAAGGATGAAGTAAAAAACCAAGAAATGATTATCCAACAAAAAAAAAGAAGAGAATTGTGTATCTAGTATGATTAGAGGAAACTTGGTTGTCAATGATTTTTGGGATACTAATCAGTTCATAATATTATCAAGGGTTCCCTTTAAATTCACAATCTAGGAACTTAGGGTACAAAGAGAAGGAGTTTTGTGTGTATCATATGTTCTCATTCATTATTCATTAATGATTGTTTGTTAGTTACTTAGGCTCCGTATGGTACTGTAAAAACAGAGGGTACTATACCGGTCAAATCTGGTCCTACTAATAATATAACTCCCTTTGTATTTTGTTTTGTTTCTCTTTTCAAAATTTTGAAGTGTCCTTTTCGGTTTAATCTCGATTCGTTTTAAGCCAAATTCGAACGTCCCCACTAAATCTTGTACTCTTTTTAATCGAGAATGATCATATGGCCCTTCTCAAGACGAGCCAAGCTCTGTTTGGTCCAATGGGCCGGGTACTAAGCTCATACAAAAACAGACTAGCAAACGAATTTAAATTTGCTTTGAGGTATTAGTAGGGTATTAATTTTAATTAAACCAAAACTTTACCATACTAAAAAGTATTAGCAAAGAACTACATTTGCTTTTGGGATGTTAGTACTTAGTAGGGCACCGATTTTAATTTTATAAAAATATAGTTGAATACATTTTATCCTTTAGTGGCTAAGTAAAACGTAACTGACTAAATTAGACAAAAAAAAGTCTATTTGATAAAACCACAAATTATGTACATTAATAAATAAATGTTGAGAGAAATGAATCTCAAAAACTATGTAAACAATGTTTTTGTTTCCTTTTTCCGTAAATCATTTCGTGGATTCTCTAACGCAGAGAGGGTTTTACACCAACAAATACAACAAAAACAAGTAAAAGAAAGTCACAAAGTCTCTCACTTGTAGAGTTGATCCATGACAGTCCTCAGCTTCACGACATCTACGCCTACAATCTCTGCTTTCTTCACCCCTCCTTTGAAGAATTGCAGTGTTGGCTGCATCCATCAATCATAACAATCTATCCATTAGATAAAAATGTCAAAAAGCGGACACTGTTAAAGCTCACAACTAGTTTCATGCTTGATCCTAGAAAGTAGAGTAATCTTTGTGAGGAACAGAGTAGTGTTACCACTTACCACAGCAGAGACATTTGACTTCCCAAGGGCATTTGAAAGACCGCCCTACACATATGCAAGCAAATACATTCTTAGTCAAGGGAGCTTACAACAAGAAGATGGGATACATACAAAGAGCTTATTTCATGTAATGGCTCAACAACAAAAGCCTTTAGATAGAAGCTTCTAATCAGAAACACAGTCATAACAATGGTGGCTTAGGTTGCATGAAGGCCTAAAAGACTCCAGTAACCATCAAGCTAGTAGAACATAGATGTTATATGTATATAAAGAAACATACCTCGTCAATGTCAACCTTATATGTTGTTACATCAGGATATTTCTTACTTAGCTCCAGTATCACAGGAGCGATAAGCCTACCTAAAGTCAAACCACTAATACACAAATCAATAACGATGATAATATAATCAAGAACAAAAGCTTGCTTTCAGGGAACTAACTAACTTACAAGGTCCACACCATGCGGCAGTGAAATAGAAAACTGACGGCAAAGATCCATCTAAAGAAAACGAATACACACAAGAGAAGATAAAGCAGCTGTGTGTATGATCATACTTAGCAAAGTCACACTCAGGATTGTTTTTATTTTTAACCTTGAGCTTTGCTCAGTGCATTGTTGAACTCCTTCTCCGATTTCAACACTACAAATCCTGATCGATCTGAAAAATTTCATCAGTAAATTTCTCACGAAATTGAAATCTAATGAATTCAATTTCAACATCGTTTCTCAGCATATAAATTGAATTTCATGAATCTAATGCAAATGGGCAGCAATTGTATACACAGAAGGCGAGAATTAAGCCATTTACCTCCTGCTGCTGCATAGCAGAAGCTTCTTCGATCGGGAAGAGAAGTGTTTGAGAAATTGAATTCGGTGGAAGCGTAAATGGTGGATGTAGCTATGAATGAGTTTCTCGCAATCTGCAAAAGATAACGAATTTGGGTATTCAATTAAAAATTGGACAAGATCGACGATCAAAGAGAGCGGTGATTAACCTGATGGAAGTTAGACCAGTTATTCTTCATCTTCTCCGATAGATCAAACACTGAGCTTCTTCTAATCCAAAGATTCCCTCTTTCGTCGATTTTAGGTTTTCCTCCAAATATCCGATTTGCAGCTCTCTCCCGCCGCACGGCGAACTAAACAAAAGTTACAAATTACAAAATGACCCACTTAAAAACTATTACTTCTAAATTAGCCCCGTAAAAAACATTCTAATATGGAACGACATTAAAATTACAAAATGACCCACTTAAAAGCTTCGAGTTCGAATTTAGCCCCGTTAAAACAAACGACATTTTTTACTTTTATTTTTCGCCGGGAAAGAGAAACGTCATTTTCAGAAGCTAAAAGCCCGTACTCTTCCTTGACCAAAAGCTCCGAAAAACCCTAAAACTCGAATCTTGACGAAATGCAGTTTCTTGCAAGAACTGTATCGAAATCCATAAGACCTTTGCTTAGCTCAAGGACTCGACCAGCATGGGTTCTGTCTCAGCGATGCCATTCAACCTTTCCCGCGAGCCTTACTGACGGAGGAAGCAGAGCTGAGAAATCGGAGTCAGCGATTCCGGCGAAATCCTCTTCGGAGTGGCCGAGGCCGACGGAGATACCGTACCAACCGAAAATCGCGAACTCTGCTGAATTGATTGGCTACGTGAACCAACCGATTCAGTTCCACGCTAAGCCCGACGGAAATTTCTGGGCAGGCACCGTCATTACTCACAGACATCCGTCCGATTACGAATCGGAGTGGGACTCGGATTCGACTCATAAATTCTGGTTAGGTTTTGAAATTTTTTGTTTCTATTGTGGGGTTTGGGTTAAAGTTTCCTTTTTGCATGTTGGCTCTGTTGTTGTTTTGGAACTCTGGACTTAAAAATCAAAACTTTTTAAGCTATGAATTTGAAATTCGAATGCTTTTTGACTTTGATAGATAGATTTGGTTGATTTACAGTTGAAAATGCAACGACTTTGTTACGGTGCATTGATATTTATTGTCATTGATTGATGATCATCAGGGTTCCGGTGATATTCGAGGGAGATTTAGCTCATACTGCAAACTGTCATTTGAAGAAGAACGATCGGGTTTACATCACCGGACAGATCTTTGTAGATGTCAGTGAAATATCTGGAGCAAAGCCTGATCAGTCATATGTTCATGTAAGTATCTAAAAAAACAAAGCTTTTGTGGATAACAGAGACGAGCTATCATGTTTCTTATAAGCTTCTTTTGGGATCAGATAATGGTTCGTGATCTCTACTACGTTAAGGATTCCAAATCCTTACCAAAAGTTTCGTCAAAACCAGATGACAAGGAAGGTGTACTAAAGCATTCCGGTAAGCATTCTTAAGCGTCTCAGTCCTGTTTTCTTTTTTTTGCCCTTGCTGGTTTCCAAGAACATTCGTCTTTTTGTGTGTTCTTAGCTAGCCTTAACAAAAGAAGAGACTTTGGAGCTGATCGTTGGTCTGATCTTCTTGCTAAACCGGAAGAATGGCGTGATTACCGCGAAAGGAAACAGAACGGATCGGTAACAAAGTGGTTCTATCAGTTGCTACATATGCCAAAGTTGTTCCTTTTTTTTGCTTAATGCCTCTCTGTCTCTACAGGTACATCCGAGACACCCTGATTTCAAGAAGAAAGACGGAAGTGTAGCGCTTTGGCTTTCAGATGCTCCAGATGAGATATCTTCTAATCTTGAAGACTTGAATTTCGATATTCCGGTTGGATCAAATTACGCAAAACAACCAAAGGGTAAGGAAATAGATCTCTTACCGATGAATACTTTGTTTCTTCTTTGTATAACAACAATCTTGCTTCTGTGAAAACATGTGAAGTTGGAGAGGAGGAAGCATGGAAAGACTTGGTGGAAAACATGGATAAGTATTGGGACAACAGATTGAACAAGGTAAAAAATGCTTTACCTTTAATCAAAATCTTTTTTTTTTTTTTCATATATTTACGGCAACGTATTTAATCATTCATAACTCAAAACCAATGTAGAGAAATCCAAAAGCTCCGGATTTTAAGCACAGAGAAACCGGTGTAGGTCTCTGGCTAGATAATTCTCCAAGCTGGGTTGTAGAAAGACTACCTCCTCCAAAGAGCAAAGCAAGTGACGCCCACGATGAAGAAGAGATGATAGTGTAGTTTGTTTACTCTAAAATCTTTTGTTAGATCTCGAAAAATATAATCTTTTGTTTAGTCTAATCTTTTGTTAGATGTTGAAAATATGCCGGGTTAGGCTTTGGTGTAACTTGTTTGTACGACCAAAATTACCATGTTTTAAAACACGGAGAAGATTTCAACTGACATGATTGTGGGTGTTGATATTAATCATCAGGTTATTCTGGGGTTACCTTAATCTATAAATCTTCTTTCAGTTTCGGTCGTCATAGATGAATGAGAAAAATGAATAAAAGCAGGAAAAAAAAACCATGTAAAAACCAAGTTAGGAGACCATTGTTGGTATATTTTCATTAGAGTTTCAAATCATGGTATGTGGATATTTCAAGTGATACAGAAACCAAAATAAAGACTCCATATAAAAACTGTCTTCATCGGTTTTGGTTTCGGTTTTCATCAGTTAACAAAAAAAACTGTGAGAAAATGAAAAACAATAAAATTGTCAGGAGTGGGATTTGAACCCACGCCCTCTTACGAGGACCAGAACTTGAGTCTGGCGCCTTAGACCGCTCGGCCATCCTGACTGTTTTTCATATAGTCAAACAACAATGTATATATATTTAATATGTTATCTCATATGCGGAGTTATATAAATTTAGTTAAAGTTTAGGGGTAAAAGATAATATTACACAAGAATGGTCCCTTCTTCTATAAATACAAAGAGAGTAACGGAAGATAAAAATAAAGAATATAAACGACAGAGAATCTGGAGATCGCAGAAGAAATCGAGAGAAAACACTTTGTGCGAATAAGAAACCCTAGCGAGCGGAAGGAGACAAAGACGAGAGAGGGAAGGTTTCAATTAGATTTGAGATTCAAATACGGTTCAATCGTGTGATATAAACACAGAGGAGAAAGGTTTTTCAAGTGATGGGGAAGAAGAAGAAGAGAGCGACGGAGAAGGTTTGGTGCTATTACTGCGACAGAGAGTTCGACGACGAGAAGATTCTCGTGCAGCACCAGAAAGCCAAACACTTCAAGTGCCATGTATGCCACAAGAAGCTCTCTACAGCTAGCGGCATGGTGATTCATGTCCTCCAGGTTCATAAAGAGAATGTTACAAAGTATGTGCCTTTTCTCTATCCCTCCCTTCTCGTTTATCTCTGTGTCAGCTTGATTTGGTTATTAGGATTAATGCCTCTATGATCTTGATTGTGCCCTCTCGTGTGGGATTGTTGATTAATGCCATAATCTAGTTTTGTTTTGTGGTATAAATCGGGTTGATTTTGCATGTCTACTTGGAACATAGAAAAAATTGAATCTTTATTGCGTTAGCTCTCTTAGGTGTTGGTTAATTTCATACAAAGTCTGGTCATAAACCCTAAATTGTACTTCTCTGTGTGCAAATTTTTGGAAAGAAGCATTCTTTTGGTTGATATATTGAATTTTATATTTTGATTTTGGCTCTTTCTTTGCTATTTGGAGAGCTGAGGAAGAAGATGAGTTTAGGGTATATCAAATTCATTACTAAGGCTAGCAGAAGTCTGAGAAATTACTCCTAATTTATGCACAATTTGTTAGTTCCCACTTCTTCTGATTCCTAATAACTTTGATGTTTTTTCATTTGTTTCTCACCAGGGTTCCTAATGCTAAAGAAGGACGAGATTCAACTGATATTGAAATATACGGAATGCAAGGAATTCCAGCTGATGTCTTAGCTTCTCACTACGGAGAAGAAGGTAAGGAGCTGAAATTCATTGTTTAGTTTAACATTATCAGCCATTGAATATGAGAAGTGATGCAAGAAATTTGTCTCTCTCTTCATCAAGTGCTATGGAACTATTGCATCTAATGCACATAATACCTTGAACTGATGTTCTGTATTTTGCAGAGGAAGAGTCTCCAGCCAAAGTAGCAAAAATTGAAATTCCTTCCGCTCCTATAGGTGGTGCAGTTCCTAGACCATACGGAATGGTTTATCCTCCTCAGCAAATGCCTGGTGCTATGCGACCAATGTATGTGCTAATTACATTATGCTCTTCCTCGAATATAGTGAAATATTTTATCTCTATTTGGACCATGTTAAACAATGCTGTGTCAACAGGTATTATCCTGGTGCTCCTATGCGTCCACAAGCTCCTCCTGGTCCTGGATGGCCTATGCCACCTCCTCCCCGTCCACAACAATGGTATCCGCAAAATCCTGCACTTCCTCAACCTCCACATCTCGGGTATCATCGACCACCACCGCTTTTTCCTGTTCATGGTATGGGGATGAATATGCCAACACCATCTCCTGTAGCCAGTGGGGTTGCTCCTCCTGGGATCCCTTCATCATCTCCTGCAATGACGGCTCCTCAACCTCTTTTCCCTGTTGTGAGTAGCAGCACTCCTTCTCAGGCTTCACCATTTTCTGCTCCTCTTCCCGTTGGTGGTGGAGGTCAGCAACCGCTTCCTGCTGATGCCACCAGTGCATATCCGCCTAACAACTCTTTTCCAGGTACCAATCTTAAGCTCTGAAGAATCATGTGCATACATATGATTTCAGCGCTTTCTTGTCAAAAATATAATTTATCTTGTGCTGTGTTGTGTTGCAGTGGGTGGGACTAATGCTCATTCGTATGCGTCTGGTCCAAACACCAGTGGTCCTTCGATTGGTCCACCTCCTGTGATTGCAAACAAAGCTCCTAGCTCTCAGCCTAACGAGGTCTATCTTGTATGGGATGATGAAGCAATGTCTATGGTTAGTTTCCTCTTATTGGTGTCTATGAGCAAAATCTTCATTAACTAATCATCTGGTTTTCGAATCTGACTCGATGTGTCTGTATTTTGCAGGAGGAAAGAAGAATGTCCTTACCGAAATACAAGGTTCATGATGAGACTAGCCAGGTAAGTTCTGATTTACTCTTTTTAAAATTAAACAAAGTTTGCTTTGCACATCTAACCCATTCGGTAGGTGTTATTTATGCTCTCTTTAGTCCAGATCCTATTGTTTCTGTGATATAAGAGGTACCTCTATATATTCTGTTTATGATTTCTTTCCCTAGAATATGATACTTAGGACATAGGCAAGAAGCTAAAGCATGTTTAAGTAGTAAAGAAAGTCGTTTATATCTGCTCGTTCTTCATTATATCTGTGCTCTTTTTCTTGTATTGTATATGAAAAAATTGTGGTGATTGGTTCCACGAGATGATACTCAATCAGGTTTGGTTTCAAACCCAGGTCAGAAGCTCCTTTTATATTCTTAACTTTGCAAAGTTTGGTACCTTTGCACAATCAGGGATATTAAAAAAGAGAACTCTTTTGTAGCCTTTTCATATTTAAGTATCCAACTTTTTGACTAAGAACCGAGTTTGCTCCTTTATGAAATTATTGCAGATGAACTCTATAAACGCAGCTATAGACAGACGGATCTCAGAGAGCATGCTCGCTGGACGGATGGCATTTTAGATTTTGCACCAAACTAAAACTGGCGTTGAAGAAACCTTTCAGGAAAGGCGATGAATGGATGATGATGGAGTCTTCTGTTGCAACTACTCTTCACTCACATTTATTCAGATTTTCAGTAGATGAAGTTGTGATATGCTTTTTAAGTTGCTAAATTATCTGTTGTATTCTTTAGCCAGGTGAGTTAGTTGCCATTGCTTTAGAGACCTCAGTGATGCTTTTTTTTTGTTTCTTTCAAAAGTTTAGTCCTTTTTTGAAGTCTTTTTGAAACTTGGGAGGAAGAATGTTGGTCTCTTTTTCTTCTGAATTAATAGTATTATATAAAATACACGGATTCACCTAAAATGTTTGCTGAATACAAAATCGAGTAATATTTCTTCCATTGAAGGCATATGCAGCATCTGTAAATCCATGGATACAGTTGAAATCTCAACTACTAAGTCATTTGAACCTCAAAATTAAGAACGTCTCTCAGTTATCGAATTAAAACTTAGGTGTATAAATTGATTTTGTTGAAAACAATAAGGGGCTATCTGTAATATTTCATTACTTTCTCACCACTTCCACTTTCCCCGAAAATGGCCAAAATCTCGTCAAGTGTAAACCTCTAAAACCCTTGACTCCTCCTCTGTTACATTTCTTCAAAATCTATGCTTTGTGGCGAGATCGCTACTTCGCCATTGTTGCTAAAAAATGAAAGCTTTTAGATCTCTGCGGCTACTGATTTCAATCTCACGAACGGCGGCGACACCTCGGACTAAACCCAATCAGCCTCACGACTTTCTCCGCCGGTTTTACTCGGCGCAGCCGAATCTAGACGAACCCACCTCCGTCAACGAAGACCGTCCCGTCAGCGACTCTGTTTACGATGGCAGTCAATACTCAATCCCTGATTCCAATGTTGATTCAGCGAAAAAGCGAAAGCAAGCCACTTGGGACAAAGGGTACAGGGCGAGAGTAGAGAAAGAGCTGTTTCCGAAAGAGACGGAGAAATTGGAAATCGCAGAAGAAGAGAGCTCCGAAGAAGAAGAAGATGATGATGATGAGGATAGTATTGATAGGTCAAGGGTCCTCGCGAAGGCTCTGTTGGAGGCGGCGCTTGAGTCAGCTGATGAAGAGCTCGGTGAAGGCGAGGTTAACGAAGAAGATCAGAAGTCGCTTAATGTCGGAATCATCGGCCCACCAAACGCCGGAAAATCTTCCCTCACTAATTTCATGGTTCGATTATCTCCTCCAATTTTACATTTCTGATTGTCTTTAACGATCAATTGAGACATTGTTTTGTATATGTTTATGCACAAATTCGTTGAATTTGGGATTTTTGTGCTGCCACTGACTCTGAAGTTGCTTAATTTTTTCGATTTTCGAAATGATTGTATCCTTAAAACGCCTTGTGTTGAGAATCTTGCTTATGGTTTGTAAGTTTATGTGCAGGTTGGAACAAAGGTTGCAGCTGCTTCTAGGAAGACCAACACGACGACTCATGAAGTGTTAGGAGTATTGACAAAAGGAGATACACAAGTCGTAAGTTTTTTCTCTTATATCTCTCTATTGCATATAGTATACCATAAACTACTTGTTATGGTTAGGTATGGAGATTGGTATTGTATTGTTTCAATCATTTGTAGACTGAAATGTTTGGAACAACCTTGCAGTGTTTCTTTGATACTCCGGGTCTAATGCTTAAGAAAAGTGGATATGGTTACAAAGACATCAAGACTCGTGTGCAAAATGCTTGGACTTCGGTTGACCTCTTCGATGTCCTCATTGTTATGTTTGATGTCCATAGGCATCTCACTTGGTAAGTCATTTGTGTCCTTAATCAGCTTTCGCATATTTCCTTTGACCAAAGCTATCTTGTAACTGAGACTAGTATGGTTAGGATAATCAAGTGGTGGGCTTATTACTTAGCTTCTCTGTTTTGATATGTTTCATATGAAGATTATCCGTAAGCTTGAGTACTATAAACCTAAGTAAACTCTATGACCATAGTTTTGCTTTAATTGGCGAGTAGAAATAGAGTTCTCTCAAACTTAATTTTCAGAGTTCTGAATTATGTTCTCTGTTTGATTTTTTATACAGTCCTGATTCAAGAGTTGTACGCTTGATCACATGCATGGGCCAAGAAGCAAATCCGAAACAAAAACGGATTCTATGTATGAACAAAGTTGATTTGGTTGAGAAGAAGAAACAGCTGTTAAAAGTTGCTGAGGAGTTCCAAAATCTTCCGGCTTATGACAGGTATATAGATATAACCGGACTCAGTTTAAAATCAACGAACAGATAAGTCTTTTGAATTGCAACTGAAAAAAACTGTGTTATAGGTACTTCATGATATCAGGACTTAAGGGATCTGGAGTTAAAGATCTTACTCAATATCTAATGGACCAGGCAGTTAAAAAGCCATGGGAAGAAGATGCATTCACCATGAGTGAAGAAGTCTTGAAGAACATCTCTCTTGAAGTTGTTAGGGAGAGATTACTAGACCATGTTCATCAGGTAAGATAATATATATAACCTCTACTTGTATAATCCTCTGTATTGCAAGATGACAAATTGAAAACAAACCTTTAGGAAGTACCGTATGGCGTGGAGCACCGTCTAGTGGACTGGAGAGAGCAGCGAGACGGGTCTCTGAGGATCGAACAGCATCTCATCACTCCTAAACTTAGCCAGCGCAAGATTCTTGTTGGCAAAGGCGGTTGCAAAATCGGGTAAGAGCTAAACAAGATAATCACACAGGCTGGTTCAAGATTCACTCTTTGAAGTAATCTTTGTGACTGATGTTTTTTTGGTTTGATGCTAATTTTTTGCAGGAGGATAGGAATAGAGGCCAATGAAGAGCTAAGGAGAATAATGAACCGTAAAGTCCATCTCATTCTCAAGGTATTGCTCAAGTGAAGATAAACCATTCTCCTGAAGAATTTAAGTTTTTTTGAGTTTTGATGGATTTATAGGATTTGTTTTGTACACGATTCGTTATCTGTCTGTATATGGATGTTGTCAAAGATTAGACATTGAACATTAGAAATATAAACTTTACTACAAAGCAGACAGGATCATAAATAAGATAAAGGCAACAGAAATGTTTGAAAAAACAACAAGCAGTCTTGACGTCAGAAGTGGAAACGACATGTAGTTTCTTTAACTAGAAGTCTAAAAGCTAACAAGCTCCTGGATATGGAAGTGTTAACTGATCAAGAAGACTAACCACCGGCGTAGTAAGTACCGGGTCATAAGCAAAACCCTGCAGCACCTCTCCGTCTGAGCCACAACCGCCGCCGCCGCCACCGGAGTAAGTACACGGTGGGACCCACAACCAACTTTTTCTCACCACATCAAACAGCAACTGCAGTGAAGTCCTTTTCAACACAATCATCACAAACTCTTGATTTCCGACACACTCGAATCCTTTTCCGCCTTCTTCCGCTGCGAACTGTGTGTAGAGCGGCTGTGGCATCCGTTCGATCTCGACCCATGTGGCGTTATCTTGCTGCAAACTCCAAAGCCTGAGGCTTTTGGGAACGTTAAGCTTGCTTTTCTCAACGGCTGCTACGAGAACAAGCTTTCCTCTGCTCTCTAACAAGCTTGGAGACCGGAGAAACCTCCTCATCGGAGCTTGAATCTTGATCCACCGGTTTCCGGTGACCTCATAGGACAAGACGCTAAAAGGACTATAGTTCATACAGTAAAACTTGCCTTGCACGTAAACCATCTTACCAGATTCCAAGCTACAAAGCCTTGGCAAAGAAGAAGTCATCGCCCAAAGGGAGAAGAAACCGCCGGTGTCGACATGGAAACTCTCCGAGGAGAGGTTTTTCACGGCGTAAGGAGATATGAGGTCGTCTCCGGCAACTGTAACATCAATGGAAGTTGATGTTACTGAGAGACCTATTGAAGGGAAAAGCCTTGGCCTTGACATCGGTGGAAGTTGGCTCACGGATCCAACAAGAGGGTTACATAAGAGAATGGTTTTAAGACCAGCTTCTTCAGAGACCCAACTCACTAACCCTCCTGATGATCCTGAAGGATAAAACCCTGAAGGGATATAAGCAAAAGAGAGACGGTACCATCGGATCTCATTAGGATCAAACAAAAAGCCTTCAGCTTTGTTGGAATCGTCGTCGTTTGAACCTCCTCCTCTCTTGTAAACGTAGCTCTTTAGGGTTTTGTGTTTGAAGAAGAGGAAGCAGTTGTGTCGGAGAGGAAGTAGCTGTAGATATGTCTCGAGGAAAGCGTTGGAGAAGAGTAGAGCGTAGAATCTCTTGCAGACGCAACGTGACCGGAAAAACGCCGGAGGTGGAAGAAAAGCGATGATGCGGTCAAGAAGCGGAGGAGGTAGCTTGCTCCAAATCCGACCGTCCATCCATTGACCGGAGCTTGAATCTGTGGTTGTGCTTGTGGTTGTGCTACTGTTGCTGCTACTGGTGAAGGTGTAAGAGAAAGGTAAAGTTAAAGATGGGTTATTAATGAAGACATTTGTATCCATTTTTGTTGTTTTGGCTTTGAAATAGAAACAAAATTGGTGAAAAGGACTTTGAGATTTTCTCTATCTGAAATGGATCTCGTGTTGGGAAGAGGAAGATTTAATTTTTAGGATTTTTGGGGAAGGTTTTTGTGAAAGTTATGCATAGCTTTTGAGGAAAGAAGTAACAGAGAAGAAAAAGTGTTTCTCTCTGGTCTTTCTCTACTTGCATGGGTTTTTGATATGTTCTTGATTTGAACAGAGTAAAAGTGGTATATATATACTTATATATAAAAGACCAATTGATTTATAAACAAAGGTAAATGAAAGATGGTAAAAGAAAAAAAGCAAAGGTAAATTGAATTTACTCGGAAGAATAATACGTATTTCTTTGTTGTTAAAAAAGAATTGTGTGACAACACCAATAAGTATAACTAATTTTCGTATCTGAAAATTAATTTCACTAGATAATATGTGGTGAATTATAAATTAGCAAGTATAATTTTTTAAAAGTTAATAGTTGACATACATGATGATACACATTAGAACCAGGAGTATATCACAATAACACTGTATTAACTAAACCAAACTATCCAAAAGCCTTGTTATTACCACAGTTGTTGATAGTAATTGACTAACAATTTTTTTGTTTGTATCTGTGGGTAAACGTGAAAATGGTGGCAGAGGAAGTGATGGTTCTTAAAGTTGAGAGAGCTTCAGAGTTATCTTGTCAATGCCCAGCATCAGACATTATTAATTCAGAGACTACTCCATAACTTTTCACACTTGATCACATCTTCATCTTCTTTTCACTTTTTCAACTCAAATATTATCGCAATCTACATGCACGCTGCTCTTTTCCTTTTTGTGTTTTGTTTTTATAGAGGCCAGACAAATTGTACTCATTGGAGATCAAATCAGAGAATAGATTAAAGAGCAAACTATTTTAGATTTTTTTTCTATATCCAAACAAATAAGATGACTTTCTTTCTTCCCTTTATAAACGTATTCTAATATATATTGAATCGTTGGTTCTCCGATCTCTTAGAAATGGGAACCAGTCAGTTGCTAAATCAATTGAAAGATGGTAAAACTGATCAAGGAAAATTGAACGATATGTAACATGCGAAATATTTAACAGGATGAGAATTAGAAATAGATCCTACCCTTATTTGATGTCGTTAAGACTTAAGACTAGCTATAACGTTCATACCAACAACAAAAATGTTGTTAAGACTAAACCAAAAACTGATGTTACCCGACAATAATAATGTTCTCTCTTTTTGTTTAAAAAGAAAAAATATTCTCGTTTTTGTATAAAACCCTTCATTGATATAGTGATCGGTTTAGTTATAAATAATAAATTCTTTCTGACTTACCCAAACCTAGCTAAATGCTAAAGATCCATAATTTCCTAACTAAAAACAAAAAATATTCGACATTCGATAAAACTGTCTTCTAAAACATGTAAATCCATATCTAATTTACAAACTTCAGATTTTTAGACAAAATCATCTGTGGAAAACTGGAAATGGGGTTTAGACAAAAATAAATAAATAAATGGGAGCTTGATGTGGAGTTAATGTGATTAGGGTTAGAGAGAGATATGATGACTTGAAAATAAAGAGGCAGAAAGAGTGAAGTAGAGTCAGCTCAAAAGTCCAATCAGGGTTTCTTATTTAAGGCATTGTTTACCGTGAAAATAATATACGAGTGAGAATATCTGAAGCTGACAAGTCGCAAAAGAGTAATAATATTCTCTATATGAAGTAACTCAAGAGGCTTCGCTTTTGTTTGTGTTTTGATGCTAAAGGAAGTCTCTGAAACCAAACAGTGTCTTGTTTTTGTCAAATCATCTCTCTTCCCGTTTCCCAACTAGGTTTTAACTTTTAATCACGCTTACAAGTCGTACCCATAATAAATTATCCTTTTTAATCAACCCAGCATATTAATTTAAGAAAATATTAATTGATATAGTACAAAACTTCAATCCAGCCATTGTGTAGTGTTATTTGCAACGTAGTGTGCATATGAGTTTATTTACACACACATGTGTAGTATTTGTTAGTTGACATAAATTTCTGGCCCACATATGAATATTGATATTTCCCTTTTAAGTTTTAACTAGTGTTAATCAAATATATAAGTCAAAATCTATTGTAAAAAAATAATCCTGAGATTTTTATTGCTTTCCTTTATTCATTCGGGTGACTTTTCTTTTCAAAATTTGTTTCTAAAACTAATTAAACATAAAATTGAATTTAAAAAGAAAAGGAGAAACCACAATATTCAAAATGCGACTTTATACTAGTTCACGTACATGTGTGCATTTATTGTCTGTTCATTAAAATTCTCTGTAGCCCTAAAATCTATGGAACACAGGGGGTAAAAAATTGTAGATATATCAAGTTATAGAACTCAAAGTAAATATTAACCTTCAAGAAATCGCCATTTATGGGAAAAGGTTAAAACTTTTTTGAACTTAGAAATTTCGGGTTGCCTTCACTCTTCAAGCAACCTTATTTTGTTATTCACCTTTCGACACTTAAATTTAACCTTTCACCTAGATCAGCAAGTCCATTGACACTTACTTTTTACTTTGGGTAAATGAAATCTAATAATGTATCAATAAAGGCATACATATAATGAATTCAAGGCTACAAACAGTGGAGTACCAAAACCTTTTAATTGGGAGTTAAATATACTCGTTTGTTTCTCATAGATTGATGTTTTGAGATTTTCACATATATTACGAAGAAATAGTTAATGTTTAGTTATTAATGTAACACTTTTTATACTTTAAATAACTACTGACCAATTTTAATTACACTCTAAATCTTTACTATCCTGGTCTGAATTTGGGGATTCCAGAAATAATAAATCCAAATATCTGCATAAATTAAATATCATGAGATCTCTGGATATATATCCTGATTTGGATTCGTAAAAAAAATTAATAAAAATCAAAACATATATTAGTAAGTCTTGAAAAATTATTTATGTTTTTAGGTAGTAACAATTTAAACAATTTTTCAAATATTTAATAATAGATTTAAAACTATGATATCGAATTCTAGATCTGGATAAGGGATTGTTCATTACTAATAAATTCAGGAACATTCACAAAGTAACGGTACAGTGCAAAGTATATAAATAAATGACCATAAATCTGTTTACTTAGATTAACAAACTCAAGTGGAAGAAGAATGTATCTATGTATGAATTGTGGCATACATTCCCCAACATCCACATGAAGTGCTCTAGTTATTAGATCAGTAACTGAAGTCATCGCATAATGATATGTCTATCGAGAATCGATGGATTTTGTTTAATTTATGCGGTTACAGAGCAAATAAACAATGGAAGTAAAACATTTGAATGTATAAGTCCCCCCAAAATTGTAATGTTCTTTCTTTTCCTATTTATTATATGATATCTTAGAGAATGGTATTCCTCATTAGTTACACCCCATAATTGAGACAGATAAACACTTTGATAAACTGTGGGTGTTCCATTGGCCACATCAACAACAACAACAAAGAACTTGTGCTTTTACCACTTAAAACTCAAGAAACACTCAAATTGGAAACGTTTGCTTGTTTTTTTTTTCTTCTCTAAACCTTTTTAAAGAAACGCATAAGCTCTGTTCAGATGCACTTTCTCTCCCTCACCAACTCCAATTGTAACTTTCTAAGAAATACAAAGATTAACTCACATAAAAAAAAGCAGAGGAAAAGGAAACAGAACCAATTTGAAGCTGGAACCTTTGAAACGAGGAATATAGCTAAAATTGCAGAAGCAGAATCTGTATGTTAAGGCAAGGGCAGAAGAAGATGAAGAAATAGAAATCTATTCTTATTAAATTTCATATTCGGAAACGGTAGGCTAAGTCCAAACAAAGTAGGAAAAAAAAGCTAAGCGAATAGTAAATTTAGAAGAAATAAGGAAATATATGTTAAGAGATTGTCCAATATATATATATCCCTACATAATTTAGAATCTCTGCCATAATTTTGTGCTCATATATATCCTCTTTCTCCGTCCGATCATAGACAAAGACAAGGATCATGAATCGTGGAGAAGAAGTTTCAGTTTCCATCCCTAATGATCTCCTTTTCGAGATATCCTCGAGACTGCCTTTAAAGTCAATCGCAAGGTTTCGTTGCGTGTCGAAGCAATGGGGTTCCATGCTTCGCCGTCCAGATTTCACAGAGTTGTTCTTGACCAGGTCACGAGCTCGTCCACGCCTCTTATTCGCCATCGAAGGACAAGACAATAATTGGAGCTTCTTCTCTTCGCCTCAGCCTCAGAATCCAGATGAGAAGTTTTCTTCTCTTGTAGATTTTCACAAGAAGTTCCCTCGAGAGAATCTGAGGATCACTTGTAGTAGACGTAGTCGTAAAGATTCATGTGGTTATGCCTCTGGTTTGATCTATCTCCCTGATATGTGGTTCCCAAAGGAGAGTGATACTAATAGTGTGATATGTAACCCTATCACGGGACAGTATTGGATCTTACCTGAACTCACAAGGCACATTAGTTCGTATAGCTTTTTAGGGTTTGATCCGATTGGCAAGCAACACAAGGTGTTGTTCATGACTAACCTAGATTCCGGTCATAAAATTCTAACGTTAGGAACTGGAAAACCTAAGCGGTGGAGGAAAATCATATGCCCCTTAACCCATGAGCCTGTAAGTGAAGGGATATGCATCAATGGGGTTTTGTATTACTTAGCTAAGGTAGGATATGGTATGAAGATAGCTTGCTTTGATGTTAGGTCTGAGGAATTCAAGTTTATTGACGATAAATCATTAGATTTTTTGGATATTAGTTTGATAAACTATAGGGGTAAATTAGGTTTGCTTCGTCGGCGGCATGATGACAATGATGCCATTAAGTTGTCTCTGTGGGTTCTAGATGATGTCGAGAGAAAGGAACGGTCGCATTATGTCCACACTTTGCCCGCGAAACTAGCAGTTCTTGTATATCACAATATTTTGTCTATCGTTGGAGTGACTTGTACAGGTGAAATTGTTTTTTCGATGGTCTCTGCATGTAAACCGTTCTTTGTTTACTACTTCAATCCCGAAAGGAAGACTCTCCAAACTGTTGAAATCAAAGGTGTTGGAGCTAACTATGAAGTGTTTGGGTCTAGTTCCAGGGTTCACGCCTTTATAGACCATGTAGAGGATCTCAATTTGATGACATAATGAAAGAGAGTCTAAGCTAGTGTTTTGGCTGTGAGTGTGACTTCTTTGATTAACAAATCTCGTGTGAGTTCTCTATCCCTCTGTTTTTGTTTTCATATTTTCTTTCTGGTTTTCATTTACGTGCCCTAGTTGTGTTACACGTTACTTGGGAGAAAAGTAATGCTTGACACCACGTTGCGTTTTCATAAACCTCCTTTTTTTTCGTTATGATATAAATTTAAAGGTTCTTCTTTTTAGACTTCTTTAGTACATGGTGTTGAATCTTTAACTATTTCCATTCCGCAGTTTATGATTGTCACTATGTTCTTTTCATAGGGAAAAATTGAGTAAGTAAGCAGTCTATGACAAAACAAAGAATAATTTATTACAGAACATCATATATTCATAAAGGTATTCATAATGGGTTACATATCACACTCTTAGTTTCATCTTCGTTCTCTCTAGATTTTGCAATAAACACTTTGATGATCATCTGATGGTCTCACTCGGAAGTAAAACTACGAACTCTCTGTTTTGTTTTTCAGATTAGGTTTACAGTTTACTTAAGGAGGACTTAGTTCTGTTGATGCAAACAATTGGAAACAATTGTAGGATAGGTCCTAACAAAAAAAAATAATGAAAATCAACAAAAAAAAAAAGCTAATCAAAGCAAATAAAAAATTTAGAAGAAATAAGAAAATATCTTTTAAGAGATTTGTTTTCTCTTGGAAACTTTTTCTTGTCAAGACGATACGGCCGGTAGCTAGGTCTTCATATAAAGTCTTAAAATATCTCTCTAGCCGCCCAATCATGGCAAATACAAGGATCATGAATCGTGGAGAAGAAGTTTCAGTTTCAATCCCTAATGATCTCGTTTTCGAGATATCTTCGAGATTGCCTGCAAAGTCAGTAGGGAGGTTTCGTTGCGTGTCGAAGCAATGGGGTTCCATGCTTCGCCGTCCAGATTTCACAGAGTTGTTCTTGACCAGGTCACGAGCTCGTCCACGTCTCTTATTCGCCATCGAAGGACCAGGCAACAATTGGAGCTTCTTCTCGTCGCCTCAGACTCAGAATCCACATGATAAGTGTTCTTCTCTTCTAGATTTTCACAAGCAGTTCCCTCGAGACAATCTGATCACTAGTAGTCGTGAAGATTCATTTGGTTATGCCTCTGGTTTGATTTATCTCCCTGATATGTGGTTCCCAAAGGAGAATGACACTAAGAGTGTGATATGTAACCCTATCACGGGACAGTATTTGATCTTACCTGAACTCATAAGGCACGATAGTTCGCGTAGCTTTTTAGGGTTTGATCCGACTGACAAGCAACACAAGGTATTGTTCATCACTTGTCTATCTCATGGTCATAAGATTCTGACATTAGGAACTGGAAACCCTATGCGGTGGAGGAAGATCAAATCTCCCTTAGCCCATGAGCCTGAAAGTGAAGGGATATGCATCAATGGGGTTTTGTATTACTTAGCTTCAACCAAGGTCTTGGGTGAATTTGATTTTAAATGGTGTATGAAGATAGCTTGCTTTGATGTTAGGTCTGAGGAATTCAAGTTTATTGACGATAAATCATTTCGTTCTTCGGATGATATTACTAGTTTGATAAACTATAAGGGTAAATTAGGTGTGCTTCGTCGGCGGCGTAATGCCATTAAGTTGTCTCTGTGGGTTCTAGATGATGTCGAGAGACAAAAATGGTTGAATTATGTCTACACTAAGCCTAAGAAGCAAGCTCTTATTGGAGTGACTGGTACAGGTGAAATGGTTTGGTCGATGAACTATACATGTAAACCGTTTTGTGTATACTACCGCAATCCCGAAGGGAAGCCTCGCCAAACTATTGAAATCAAAGGTGTTGGAGCTAACTATGAAGAAGTGTTTGGTACTAGTTGCAGAGTTCACGCTTTTATAGACCATGTAGAGGATCTCAGTTTTATGAAATAATAAAAGAGAGTCTAAGCTAGTGTTTTGGCTGTGAGTGTGACTTCTCTGATTAATATATTTCTTGTGAGCGCTCTATATCACTCTGTTGGATTTTCATATTTTCTCTCTGGTTTTCATGTACGTGTCCTAGTTGTGTTACACGTTCCTTGGGAGCAAAGTAATGCTTGATACCACGTTGCGTTTTCATAAACCTCCTTTTTTTTACGTTATGATATAACTATATAAGTTAAAAGCTTATTATTTTTTCACCTCTTTGGTACATGTACTTGGTCAAATCTAAAGATGGTGTTGAATTTTCAACCATTTCGATGTATATACATTAACGTAGGCTTGTACTTGAATTGATTCTTTCATCTTCAGCTCTCATGGTTATTGATGACCTCACTCAAAATTAAACCTTGAACTCTCTGTTTTGTTTAGTATTTGTTTGTCTTCTTCAACATGTGGCAAACACTTGGTTGACAGATTAGTTCTGTTTATGAACCCAAAACATCATGCAAACAATTGTCCGAAGTTTCAATTATGGCCCAGAAAACATTACATCGGGTCATTAAATTATAACACAATGGTTTCACTTACTGGGACATGAAGGACACCAACGACTTCATGGCCCAATGGATAAGGCGCTGGTCTACGAAACCAGAGATTCTGGGTTCGATCCCCAGTGAAGTCGTTCCTTCTGTTTTTGTTTCTCTGGTCAATACATCATCTTTTGTTTTAAGAAATATTTTTTAAGCAAACACAGTTACCCTAAAAACATAGAATTGATTAACACAATTTTTTCTTCTCAGCTCCAAAATCACAAATTTTCAACCGAGGAGCGTAGAAATAGAAAACATTCGGTGAAGTAACCAAACATAGTAAAAAGTAAAAACTAAGGAAACTCAGCTCTTCTTTTAACAAATGCAAACCATGTGGTTGCGATGGAAACATCTGATTACATAGATTCTACAAGATAACATAGGGTCATATTCAGAAATCTCAACTTGAGATATTAAATCAAAGGCAGGTTAAGGCTCGTCCAATAATAAGCTTCTCCAAACCCAAGTGGTCTTTGCAGAAGCCGCGAGATACTCAGAGGCATTACGAGGAAGCGCGAGAAGAACGTTGTATCGGCCGTCCAACTGTTTCTTGCGAAGCATGGAAGAGAGAGATTCGTCGCGGGTGATGACCATCACATTAGCCGGAGCTGGACTCTGACATGGCCAGAACAATATTTCATCGAATATATATTGCCGAAACTCACCTGAAACAGTTTCAGTAGAGAGAAGCTCATTATATATTGTTAAGTAACCCAGAAAGAAAGAAGATTAACTTACTGGGTGGGACGTGATTGAGAACGACTCCGGAGGAAGAGAGAGCTTTCTTCATGGAAGAAGGGATGCGATTCATGTTGCCATAAGCAGAGATTGAGATTGGACCGACGTAGTTCAATTTAGCCAGCGCCGATCTTATCTGCTCGGCGATCTTCTCAGGTTTGCAACCTCTGGGAACAGGACAGTCCTCAATGTCCCAACAAACCCACGTTTGAGCATCCTCGTACTGAGCCTCCGCTACAGTGTTCACTGCTTATTAATTGAAAATTTAAAAATGGCAGTTAGGTTTTAGTCCGAAATCCGATAACCTCTACTTAATTCCTAACAGAATCAAACATAAGCAAGCCGAGAATCGAGATAATAATCTTCTACCACAAATGGCGACAATCTGTTTTTGATCAAATTTTAAAATAAGATTTACATCGTCAAGAGAGATAACATACCTCCGATAACAGTTTCCGGAGACTTCTCGCCGGAGTCGGAGTGGATACACTTGCAAGTTCCCGACATGGAAGATTTTAGGGGTTTTTTGGATTTTTGATTTAGGGTTCTTGAGAGAAATTCTGGATTTAAGCTAGTGTAATTGTTTTCGGGTGAAACCAGGCCCGGCCCATTTATAAGATGGGCTACATTAATTTAGATCCATTTCAATGTAAAAGCACACAAAACTCGAGTGAGGTTTGCGTTTTAGGAAACAAGGATTTTGTGAGCCAAATCGAATTGGGATTTTGAGTCGACTGAGACCCAGTGACGACGACGACGAAGCTCTCCGATTCTCGGGAAGCTGTTATGGAGACGAAAGCGATAATGAGTAGAGGAGAAGAACCCGATTCCGATTCCTCCTCCTTACCGATGGATCTCATTATCGACGAGATTCTCCCGAAACTGCCTGTAAAATCAATCGCGAGGTTTCGCTGCGTCTCCAAGCAATGTCGCTCGATGAAAATCCGTCCCCGTCTCTTGTTCGCGCTCCACCGAGGCAACAGCGAGTTTCTCATCTTCTCATCGCCTCAGCCTCAGCAGAAACCATCGTCTGAGAAGAAGAAGAAGCCTCTAGTCGTCTCCGCCGATTTCCACACGAAGGTCTCTAAAGACCGGTGGCTAGCTTACCGTGGATTCGCATCGCGTCTGTTCCATTTCTCTAGCCAGCACGTTTACAACCCAGAGCCGCTGATACAAAACCCAATCACCGGAGAGATTGTGAGATTACCGGAATTGGAACGGTACAGGAGGTGGTTTAGCTTTTTCGGGTTTGATCCGGTTGAGAAGCAGTTCAAGGTGTTGTTCATGGGTTATCCATCTTCTCCTGATAGAGATGAGCATAGGATCGCGACATTGAAAACCGGTTTAATGAAGTGGAGGAAGATCGAGTGCAGCGTAACGCATGAGCCTGTGGGCGAAGTCGAAGCGATTTGTATCAATGGGGTTTTGTATTACGTTGCTGAAGTTGATGAAAAGTCTTTTGAGATTGTTTGCTTCGATGTTAGGTCAGAGAAATTCAAGTTCGTTGATGCGAAGTGCTTGTGTGAGCCGCACGGTACTAGATTGGTGGACTATAAGGGGAAGTTAGGTGGGATTCATTTGAGCTATGATGATGATGATGCGGTTGTGTTGCGTTTGTGGGTTCTTGAGGATGTTGAGAGGTGTGAGTGGTCGGAGTTTGTGTACACTTTGCCGGAGAATGAGGTCTTTGTCTACGATGTTTTCGTTGTTGGGGTGACTGGTGCGGGGGAGATTGTTCTGTCGGGGAGGTTTACGGCGAAACCTTTCTATGTGTTCTACTTTGATCCGGAGAGGAACACTCTACAAGCTGTTGAAGTCAGAGGTGTTGGAGAGTACAGTGAGGCGTTTGAGAGTGATTGCAGAGTTTATGCGTTTGTGGACTATGTAGTGGATCCCAAGTTTATAACGTAAATTGAAGAGTCTTTGTGTAGTTTTGGATGTGAGTGTGAGTGACTTCTCTCATTCACGCGTTTCGTATGTAGTATGTGGGAGCTTTTGCTTATGTTACCGTAATGATGATGTTTAAAGTTTCGTCTTTTCAGACCTTTTAGTACATGGTCAAACAAAAAAGATGGTTTTTTCACATTTGCCCCCAAGAAATAAGAAATTAAAAATGGTATTGAATCTTAACCATTTCGATTCCGCAGTTAATGATTGGGTTATAATGTTCTTTTTATAGGAAAGAAATGAACAGAACAAAGAGTAAGTAAGCAGGCTATGACAAAAGAGAGAATGACTTATTACAGAACATCATATATCGATAAACGTAAGCTTATCTGATGACCACACTCAAAAGTAAAACTATGAACTCTCTGTTTTGTTTGTCTTCTTCAACATGTGGCCAACACTTGGTTCATGACGAGTAAGGAGGACTTGGTTCTGTTGATGGACCCAAAATCTTGATGCAAAGTTGCAAACAATTGTAAAGCTTGCTTCTTTTTGTTTATTAAACTTTTTGGAGAAACTCATAGAGCTGTTTAGAAACACAAATAATTAACTCACAAAACAAAAGCTAATACTCTATTAAATCGAAAGGCAAGTTAGGGCTCGGTTATTTCTGGTTATTCAAGTAAGCTTCTCCATAGCCATGTGGTGTTTACTGAAGCGATCATATCGTCTGAAACATTTTGGGGATGCGCCAGAAGAAAGTTGTATCTGCCCGGTGGACTCTCGCGAATTAAAGTTGGGAGATTCCAGTGGAAGAGAGAGCTGTCTTCATGGAAGGACGGATGTGATCCATGTTGCCATAGGCCGAGATGGAGATTGGACCGACGTAGTTTAATTTAACCAGCGCCGATCTTATTTTCTCGGCAAACCCTAAACTGTAAATAAACCTATATATATATGAAAGTCTTTGCCATGATTTTGTATTCATATAAACCTCTCTGCCCGATCAGCAGAACTCAAACGATCATGATTAGGGTAGAAGATTACGATTTCATCCCGATGGATCTCATTCTCGACGAGATTTTCCCAAAACTGCCTGTAAAATCAATGGCGAGGTTTCGTTGCGTCTCCAAGCAATGTCGCTCGATGCCTATCCGTCCACGTCTCTTATTCTCACTCAAACGAGACAACGGCGAGTTTCTCATCTTCTCATCGCCTCAGCCTCAGCAGAAACCGTATGAGAAGTCTCTAGTAGTATACGCTGATTTTCACACGAGGATCTCTACAGACGTGCATCCATATTCATATTTTCGTGGCCTTGCATCTCGATTGATCTATTTCTATTTCAGCCCGAAGCCTCTGATATGTAACCCTATCACGGGAGAGTACGCAAGCTTACCCGAGCTGGATAGGTACAGAAACTGGGATAGCTTTTTAGGGTTTGATTCGATTGACAAGCAATTCAAGGTGTTGTCCGTGGGTTATCCATACTCTGATGATAGGGATAAACATAGAATTATGACACTAAAAACCGGCAAAATGACGTGGAGGAAGATCAAATGTCGCTTAACCCATAAACCTTTGGGTACTGAAGGGATATGTATCAATGGGGTTTTGTATTACTTTCTCGAGGCTTATCGGATAGTTTGCTTTTATGTTAGGTCTGAGGTTTTCAAGTTTGTTGATGCAAATTGCTTTCGTGTGCCACAAAGTACTAAATTGATCAACTATAAGGGTAAGTTATGTGGGGTTGAATTGACTTATGATGATGATGATGCCGTTGTGTTGACTATGTGGGTTCTAGAGAATGTAGACAAACAGGAATGGTCGAAATATGTCTACACTTTTCCGGAGAGTGAAGTCTTTGTCTACGATGTTTTCGTTGTTGGGATGACTGGTGCGGGTGAGATTGTTCTGTCGGGGAGGTTTACATCTAAACCGTTTTATGTGTTCTACTTCAATCCGGAAAGGAACACTCTACAAGCTGTTGAAGTCAGAGGTGTTGGAGAGTACAGTGAAGCGTTTGAGAGTGATTGCAGAGTTCATGCGTTTGTAGACTATGAAGTGGATTCCAAGTTGGAAATTATAACATAAGAGTCTTATAAGCTAGTTTTGGCTGCGAGCCTGACTTCTCTCATTCACAGGTTTCGTGTGATCTTAATCTCTCTATTTATTTATGTACTTGTTTTCACTTAAAACGTTATTTAGGAGCTTTGCTTGTGTTTCCGTAAGGTTCTTCTTAACAGACATCTAGTACAAGTTCAAACTAAAAGATGGTATTGAATCTTAACCATTTCGATTCAACAGTTTATGTTGTTGAAACCCAAATCTTGATGCAAACAATAGTAAAGTTTGCATCTTTTTGTTTTTTGCTAAACTTTTTGAACAAACTCATAGCTCTGTTTACAAACACAAAATATTAACTCACTAGACAAAAGCTGAAAAGCAGAAGAGAAAGGAAACAGAACCAAGTCGAAATGTGCATGCCTATTTTCCAAATCCCAACTTCACATCCTAAAAACGAACATAATGATAATATTAGCCAAAACATGTACCAGAGCTTATCACTTATGGCTCGGTCGTCGTCTCTGGTTCATCCAACAAGCTTCTCCATAGCCACGTGGTCTTTGCGGAATCGATGAAATAGTCGGAAGCGTTTGTGGGATGCGCCAGAAGAAAGTTGTATCCCTGCGCTTCCATATCGGGAAACGTGAAATAGAGAGACTCGTCACGGGAGATGACCATTATATTCGCCGGAGCTGGATTGTTAAACGGCCAAAACATGATCTTGTGGAACACATGTAACCGAAAATCACCTGAAAAAAAATAAAACTTTGATCAGCACAATTCACAAAGAAACAGTCTTTTTACTTCTACTGATTAAATACAAGATTTTTAAGAGAGGAGATTTTAAAACCTGGGTGGACGTGGTTAAGAACGATTCCGGAGGAAGAGAGAGCTTTCTTGATGGAAGGAGCGATGTGATCCATGTTTCCATATGCGGAGATGGAAATCGGACCGAGGTAGTTCAATTTAACCAGCGCCGATTTTATTTTCCCGGCGATCTTATCGGCTCTGCAGCCTCTGGGAACAGGGCATTTCTCTATGTCCCAACAAACCCACGTCTGAGCTTCGTCGTACGGAGCCTCTGCCGCCGTATTCGTCATTGCTTATTAAACATACAAACAAAATTCAATCAGAAAGTGAATAAAAGGTTTCTAATTTACAACTTAAACCAATTTGGTGATAAGACTAAAAGGTCTCTCCTAACTTTCAGTGTTCGACATTTCTCTCTCACAGTCGCTAGAGGTCATAGTCCAAAATCCAATAATCTCTACCTAATTATCCCTAACAAAATCGTACTTAAGATTGGCAGAAATGGTTTATAATTACTCTGAATCTGCAACTTGAGCGATTATGAACAAAAATGAGATAATGAGTAAATGGCAAGACATTAACATCCCCAAAACAGAATCGTGAAGAGAGATAGCCGGAACGAGAACATACCTCCGGTAACAGTTTCCTCAGACTTCATATCGACGCCGGAGGAGGAGATAGACGCAAGTTCTCGATGTCGGAGGATTTAGGGGTTTTTGATTTTGTTCCCTTCCTGATTTTGATTTAGGGTTCTTGAGAGAAACAGTGTACATTACAATACTGGATTTAAGCTAGTAGTAGTAGTAATTCTGTAATTTTTGTTCGGCTCAAAATGAAATGCGTGGGTGAAACCAGGCCTGGCCCATTTATAAACTGGGCCGGGCCTTAATGAGATCCATTTCAATGTAAAGCACACAAAACTCGCCTAAGTTCTGCGTTTTACGAATCCAAGGGTTTTGTGAGAACCTTCCAGAGCGAATCCTTTCGCAGAGACGACGCTAACATCAAAAGCTCGAGCTCGGATTCTCTTAATAATTTTTAGCTATGAAGGAAAATTCAAAACGAGCCATGATCGGAGAAGAAGATTCCGAAACCTCCTTACCGATGGATCTCATCCTCGACGACATTTTCCCAAAACTTCCTCTGAAATCAATCGCCAGGTTTCGCTGCGTCTCCAAGCAATGCCGCTCGATGCAAATCCGTCCACGTCTCCTATTCGCACTCCAACGAGCCACCGACGAGGTTATCATCTTCTCAACGCCTCAGCTTCAGCTTCATCCTCACCAGAAACCTTCGTCGTCTCCTCTCGTAGCTTCCGCCGATTTCCACATGAAGATCTGTACACACATGTGGCCAGTCTTCCGCGGCCTCACCTCTCGCTTGATCTATTTCACCGCCTCGAGGAACGGTTGCCAAGAGCCTCTGATATTCAACCCCATCACCGGAGAGCACGCGAGCTTACCGGAGCTGAGCAGGTACCGGAAATCTTACAGCTTTATCGGGTTTGATCCGGTCGGGAAGCAATTCAAGGTCTTGTTCATGGCGTATCCGTATTGCTCTGAAGGTGGTGATCATAGAGTCATGACGTTAGGAGGAGACGGAGAAGAGAAGAAGGTTTGGAGAGAGATCAAATGTAGCTTACAGCATTTGCCTGTGAGTGAAGGGATTTGCATCGATGGGGTTTTGTATTACTTTGGTGAGAAGAATAATAGCTCTGAAAATGACAAGTCTTGTGAGGTTGTTTGCTTCGATGTTAGGTCTGAGGGATTTAAGTTTGTTTCCGCGGATTGCTTTAGCGTGCCGCATAGTACTAGATTGGTTAATTACAAGGGGAAGCTAGGTGGGATTGAGTTGACTTATGGTGATGATGATGCGGTTGTGTTGACTGTGAGGGTTCTTGAGGATGCTGAGAGGTGTGAGTGGTCGGAGTTTGTATACACTTTGCCGGAGAATGAGGTCTTTGTGACTGATGTTTTCGTTGTTGGGATGACTGGTGCGGGGGAGATTGTTTTGTCGGATAGGTTTACGTGGAAGCCGTTTTATGTGTTCTATTTTGATCCGGAGAGGAAGACTCTACAAGCTGTTGAGGTCAGAGGTGTTGGAGAGTACAGTGAAGCGTTTGAGAGTGAGTGTAGTGTTTATGCGTTTGTGGACTATGAAGTGGATTCAAAGTTTATAACGTAGTTAAAGAGAGTCTTGTGTAGTTTTGTCTGTGTGTGTGTGTGAGTTCTCATTGAGAACGTTGTTTAAGGTATGTGTATTTCTGAGGTAGTTTGGTATCACTCTGTTCTTTTGAAAGCAAACATTGAGCAGAAAAAATGAATCTTTTGATATATAACTTGCAACTGAAGCATAATTTTCACGAAGTGAAAGGTGAAACTAACTACAAGGATCTCTGTGGATAAGTCTCCGTCAACAACAATGTTACAGCGCATTGGTAAACACTTTGATTAGCCAACTGTGTAGGAGAAAACTCAACAGACTAAAAATAAAGCCTTGGTTTCAGAAAATAAAAGATGTTTTGGTAACAAGTTTCTTGCAGTGTACGTCGGAGAGAAGTCAAAGAAGAATATTTCGGATTTAAGCATCTGATGGGCAGCTTGACAATTCTTTGTCCTGAAGATCATTTTTATCAAATGCCATATGTTGAAAATGGTAGTAGCTAGCTCTGGCCTCTGATTGAACTCTTCAACTTTAATAATTATCTCAACTTTTCATTTTTTTTCTATGAACTAGTGTTAAAAGACTTCAACCACAAGGCAAGTATCCGAACAAGATAGTTTGCTTTTTTATTTAATTTATATTTTTTTACTTGACACGATATATATAAGTTACTAGGGGGTGATCCGCGCTTCGCGCTGGTTGTGTTAGTTTTATTGTTTTTTCGTAAAGTTAATATTTATTTCTATAATAACTTTCTATTATTATTACTAAATTATAATTTTTGTAGATTTATATATAATTATTTTTAAATGATTGTTCATATTCTTATTAAGTTACTATAGTAATAAATGATACTTATTATAAAAATTAAGATAGAAAAAACCCAAAAATATAATAAATAAATTGATATGCTGATGTAGCAAATTGGAGAATTTAGAAGCGATCAGAAGAGAGGAACATGAACTTTATATATATAGATAACGGTAGCTAGGTCTTCATATAGGCTTCTCTACTAGGTCATTAACATATAAAGTTTCAACATATATGAACTCTCTTGCCGTCTGATCACCAGCAAATACAACGATCATCATGGACAGAGGAGAAGAAGAAGTTTCAGATTCTATCCTGGTTGATCTTATTCTCGAGATATTCTCGAGATTGCCAGCAAAGTCAGTCGGGAGGTTATGTTCCATGTCGAAGCTATGGTGTTCCATGCTTAGCCAACCATATTTCACAGAGTTGTTCTTGACCAGGTCACGTGCTCGTCCGCGTCTCTTATTCGCCATCAAACGAGCCGGTGAATGGAGCTTCTTCTCGTCGCCTCATCAGCCTCGGAATCCACATGGGAATGAGTCTTTCGTAGCCGCGGAGTTTCATACAAAGTTCTGTGGACCCAAGTATCAAAACATTTGTAGATATACCTCTGGTTTGATTTGTTTCCCTAATATGTGGTTCTCAAAGGAGCGTCGGCCAATGACTGTAGTATGTAACCCTATCACAGGACAACATGCAATCTTACCTAGAGTGATGAGTCACAGCCAGTTGACAAGCTTTTTAGGGTTTGATCCGATTGGCAAAAAATTCAAAGTATTGGCCGAGGTTTCTCCATTTTGTGGTGGAAGGTTTAATATGGAAATTCTGACATTAGAAACTGGACAACTTACGTGGAGGAGTAAGATCGATTCTCCCTTATCCAGTACTTTACGTGAAGGGTTATGCATCAATGGGGTTTTGTATTACATACATGAAACTTTTGAGCGGCCTGGTCATGTGATTGATGAAGATGATTACGGAACGTCTGATGAGGATAGTTTTCATGTGAATATAGTTTGCTTTGATGTTAGGTCTGAGAAATTCAAACTCATCGAGGCAGATTTCTTTTGTCTTGATCAAGATAACCATAAATTGATAAACTATAAAGGTAAATTGGGTGGGATTCGTTGGGAGTATACTGACAATGGTGTCATTGAGTTGCATCTGCGTGTTCTAGAGGATGTTGAGAAAGAGGTATGGTAGAAATATGTCTACACTTTGCCAGAGAATGAACTCATTAGTCTTCACTCTTACTTCATCGCTGGAGTGACTGCTACAGGTGAAATCGTTTTGTCGATGAACTCTATTTCTAAACCGTTTTACGTCTTCTACTTCAATCCCGCAAGGAACACTCTCCAACGTGTTGAAATCCAAGGTTTTGGTGAGACTGTTGGTAAAATTTATGCTTTTGTGGACCATGCGGAGAATCTAAACTTGATGAAATAGTGAGCCTAGTTAGTTTAGCTGTGATGTGGCTTTTTTTTTTTCTATCTTCATGGTGTTTCGTTGTATTGGCTTATCATACTTTCTTTCATGTTTTCATCTCCCTCAAGCTATCACATACCAAAACTCTTACTTATATCCTCATTATGTTCCATTTGACTTTATCAAAACCTTATCCAATTTTAGGGAAATGTCATGGGGGCGATAAGAATGTTATAGTAATCTGTCTCTGTGGTATGAATTGGCAGAAATGACGCAATGTAACCATGATTTATGATTGGTTTCAACTAGAGGTTCGTAGCTATTTTCATTTCCTTTAAAAATAATATCTATTGGAACAATCTCCACCGATATAGAAAGGGTTTGAGACTACTTCAACAACAACAAATGGACGGGTTATACAACTTTTAGTAAAACTCAACAAACTCTTAAATCTTTCTTAATGCCAAGCAAATATTTGGAAGGTTTGATTCGTTTTGTTTTCACTAAACCTATTGAAGAAACTCATAGCTCCGTTTAGATGCATTGTCTCTCCCTCACCAACATAACAGAAAACTTGGAAACAAGGAAGATCAATATTGTTACCGTTGTTAATCGTCACAATATTCTTTGACATTTTTGAGACTAAAGCGGATTTGTAACTATTTTATTGTGACTGAATATTCTTATATTGTGACAAAACAAAAATGGTAACAATAACCACTTTTTTAGCAGTGATTTCTTTTATAAGAGAAGAGTTTGAAAGTTTGGATTCACTATTGGGGTACGAGCTTTCCATTGGCGGTCTATAAAAAACGTTCATGTTCGAAAAAATCTCACAACCTATTGGATCAGAAAACGTGGATCCTAGTCCTACACTACAGGCTGAGAGCTCTGTAAATTGGGTCCATTATGAAAACTATTTATCAACGGCCAAGATTTTTGTTAGTGAATTTCTGTGGCGGTGATGAAGATTTAAATTTATGATATTTTCTTGTTTTTCTACTTTCTAAACCCTAAATCTTAAACCTAATACAGTATTTATATTAAGAGGGTGTTATTCGTTTTACGGACTTCATATATACATCAGCAGATACAAAAGTCGATCATGAATACAAGAAAAGAAGAATCAGATGCCGTTGCCTGTCGAAGCTGTGGAGGTCCAGACTTCACCGTCCATATTTCACCGAGTTATTCTTGACAAGGTCATTGTCTCGTCCGCGTCTCTTATTGGCTCTCCGACAACTCGGTGAGTGGAGC